TACCTTCTTCTGTAAGATACCTGCCAGTGCCAGTGCCAGTGCCAGTACTCTGGTTCAAGCTCTTCTCTCTTCTCCCCTTCAACCTTCTTGAATTCCACAACTCAAACACATAACTAACCATCTTCTCACCGGACAATAATAGATGGTCAACCCAAACCTTCACAATAGCCCAAATGACCCCAATCTGGATATTCCCCGCCTACCCAATGCTCATCATCGGACCCCATGCCGGCTGTTTAAGCGCTAAATTGGACCAAGCGCGCTCGCTGCGCGTTATTATCGGAGGCACCACGATCCAGGGCGTCGGATTCTTGGTCTCGATGATGGTATATTCAGCCTTCATTTACCGACTCATGACGCAGAAGCTTCCGAAAGAGAATATTCGACCTGGTATGTTTGTTTCTGTCGGACCGAGTGGGTTTACGGTCGCGGGGATCGTTAATATGGCCGCTGAGGCGAAACGTTCGTTTCCCGCGGATTTTATGGGGAATGGGCCTCTTGCTGCTGATGTTTTACGCGTTGTGGTTGATTTTGCGGCTCTTTGGTTGTGGGGGTACGTTAGATCGGTTTCTTCATTTTTTTTTTTTTCAAGGGGCCCCAGCGGAGTATGTTGTACTAATTCTCTCGATTAGGTTGGCCATTTTCTTTTTCATCATTGCCAGTGCTGCTCATTGGTCTGCTATTGGGCCGAATAGGATGGTCTTCTCGATGACCTGGTTCTCATTTGTGTTTCCCAACACTGCCCTGATCACGGCTACATTTGCTATTGGCAACGCGTTTGACTGTAAGGCCATCAACATTGTTGGATGCGCGGCGATATTCCCGCTACTACTCATGTACTTCTTTGTGTGTTACATGATGATTCGGGCTATCCGTTGCCACCATATTTTGTGGCCGCAGAAAGGCGAGGATCGAGATGAGGGTGGATTTGAAATCCATATCATCAAGCCGGGCGCTGAGACCTCGGAGGATGAAGTGATCGTGTAGCGTCGTCGTGTTTGTGTTATTCTATCAAAATACTTTACGAGATTTGTATTTTGGACCCAATAATAATTATTGAGAATACAAATCTTGAATGTTGAATGAAAATTCAAGTTGATAACTGTCGCACGTAGACACGATTAATGTCTGGCAATTCTTGGCCGTTCCTCCTCCGTCTTAGTCAAGGTGCTCAATCTATCTAAGAGATAATGGATAAAAGATCATCGTAGGTAGATTTTCGCGATTTTTCAAACGCTATTAGAACTCAAGAAGTCGTTCTTGTCATTTTGTCATGCGACGACGCTGAGATTCCCGAATATGTGCCTCTGTTTTCCAGACAGGCAGGACAAAGAGATAACGAAGTAGTATTTGATGAATATCCCAGTCCGTAAGAGGGTTAAACATCATCCCTCAATTTTTAATATCATCTCGAACAGAAACCATCCAGCGTTGTTTTATCCACGCTGAGTCGCAGGCGATCCGCTTAGAAGCGGCGGCCGCCGCCACCCTGGGGAGGGCGCTCGGAAGCCTTGTCGATGCGGAGGGTGCGGCCCTCGAACCTAGAGAGATGGAGGTTAGTCAAAAGGTCTTTAGGGAATGGTGAGAGTGGTGGGTATGGATGGGCTTACTCCTGTCCGTTCATCTGCTCAAGAGCGATGGTGGCCTCCTCGTCGCTGGCGAACTTGACGAAGCCGAAGCCGCGGGAGCGCATGGTCTCACGGTCCTTGATGACAATCTAGAATGGAGAAGTGATGTTAGAGAAAGGGGGGGGGATCAGGATGAGATGAATCCAGGGGAAACTAACAGCCTCAACGACCTGGCCGAACTGGGAGAAACCCTCACGGAGAGAGTCATCGGTAGTGGCCCAGGCAAGACCGCTAGAAGAAAAAGTCAGTACGGTCACAGATCACCTGTAAAGAGTATCACGAACCCAACAAAAAGCTTAGACATGATGAAGAGTGTGGGGGTGGTGAAGAGAAAATAGTAATAATGGCTAGTGCGGCGATCGCGTTTTGGGGGAGGGAGAATATTTATACGATTCCAATGTATTCTTTGGTGGGGGGGGAAGGTGCTGGTGGTGGGTGGGTGGAGCCTGCCCAACTGGTTTAAGCGAATCGCATGGTGGCTTAGCGGTAAGTCTTATAAAGAGGGGGACCTTGCGGAGTGAATGGAGCGATGAGTGAATTCTGCTGCTGATTCATCTACCCCTCTATAGCGTATGAGTACCTACTAGGCTACTACTGTTTTTGTATGGTCAAATAGCGGGTGATTTCTCTATTTTTCTGTACGAGAAGGGGACATGAGGGGGACTCGGGTATTAGGGGAACATTAGAGAACACTAGGGGAACATTCTGGGCCGCAAGTTTCAATATGAAAGCTAGTCCTATTTAGGTGGAGGAGGGGCAGAGAGGGGGGGAAAAGTAAAAAAGTAAAAAAAAAAAAAAAAAAAAAAAGAGGGGAATAGAGAACAGACATCAAAAATCAATTACAACTTCAGCAGCTAATAGTAGTCTAACCAAAATCTAGCCCTTGCATTAACCAAAAATCACCACTTGCATTAGGTCGGCTGCCTGATCTACTCTCATACAGTCGGTATTCGCAGCCTCAGAGCCTCACGGCCTCACAGCCTCACGACTTCACAGGATACTTTGGGGTATCCACATTACTTTGCGCCACAAGGTCTAATTAAGTGAGACCTTCTAGGGCTGCACTACATTTTTTTCTTTATTTGGCTTATTTAATGAATGAGGTTTGGAATGATATTTATTGGTACTTCCAAGCCCTGGAGGTTGTATCGAAGGGTTAACTAGTACGGAAGTTAGCTGGAATTTCGTGACTTCAAGTTGATACCAGTATAATATGTTCAAGTTGTAAGCAGGTGTACTACCCTGACAGTTCAGCCCTAGAACTTGAAGGTTTAGCTTTGAAACTTCAAGCTTGAAATTACCCGGGAGCATCTACTATTACCTCCTAGTAGGCAATTATATTCAAGCCCTCACGCGTGCCTGGGTCCATGATAGATACAGGCAATCTATTTTCATATCCACTGGCAGTGGTGATCTCGTCTCAATGTCCGATCAGATGAAGCACATCATTCAATATTACTATTATGCCACGACTACTTTCCCCACTTCAACCCCCATGCATCCCCATGGTAAGACCCTACCTCAAAAATTAGGTTAATTCTTTCTGGACCGAGCTTGATTTACTCCGTACCCGTTCACTGGCATAACCCCGAGTCATAGGATCCTTTGTCCGTGTCGATCGTTCCAAATGACCGGATTATGTATGTATACTACTGTAATAGACTCTGTAGATCGATCTTCTTTGCCATCTGCCCTCCTAATGATGTGATATCTCTATTTAAAAATGCTGCTATGCCCACAGGGCCCGGGCGAACATATCAAAGATTATATCTTGCATTGAATTGCTACTGGCTCCTACAAGCAGATAAACACCCCGATTACATCCATTACTATTGTCGAGGCTAGCTTGATCTGATCTTCCACCACTATGAGCTCTACAATATCCCAAGATGCTTCGACCAGCATCGAGAAACCGCCCAACTCTGTTGATGTCGAGCGACAAAGCGATACGGCTGCGCCGATAGCGACGGCTCCCGCGCCAAAGTCTCTAGGTGCAGGCGTAAGTGTTGAGATGCTGCTGCTGCTGGGTCGTGGTCAAAGCCAATGCTAATGATAATACTCTTCCCAGTCTGCCCTCGCCCTCGGCGCATTTGGCACGACTCTAACGACGCTGTCGTTGAGTTTAATGGAATGGCGCGGCGTCACTACGGATAATGTATTCGTGGCCAATTTCTTCTTCATCTCCGCATTTGGGTTGGTTGTTACTGCTCAATGGGAACTTTCTATCGGGAATGGATTTGCGTATACTGTCTTCAGTGCTTTTGGTATGTTGAAGCAAACGATCTATCTATTCTCGACTAAATGCTAGGCCAGTACTGACGTATGCCATATTGTGCAGGTCTATTTTACGCTGGCTACGGCGCCCTCCTAACGCCAGCATTCGGAATCGTCCAAGCTTACGGCAACGACACAGCACAGTATAACAACGCGGTAGGATTTTTCATGATACTCTGGACAGTTTTCGTGTTTACATTCCTGATTGCTTCGCTTCCGAGCAATATTGCTTATATCCTCGTGTTTTTCTTTGTGGATCTTGGCTTTTTGACTGTTGCGGCGAGTTACTTCGCTGAAGCGGATGGTCACCATGCATCTTCTATCGCGTTGAAAAAGTCCGGCGGTGCTTTTTGTTTCCTGGCTGGTCTTGTTGGTTGGTATTTGGTTTTTCATTTGTTGTTGAAGGATTCGCTGGTGGATTTACCTCTTGGTGATACTTCACGACTTTTTGGGAAGAAGAAGAATAAGGCTCAGTAAATCATGTTGGCTAAATGACAGGACGTCCACGAGGGTCGAGGATGGCTTCAGATGGGATGAGATGGGATGGGGGATAGGGGTACTACCCGACAGCTAGTACAGTAGGTTGGGGCAGGGTGACGAGGAACGAGGCTGCTTTGTTGCGTGATAAGTTAAAATCGAATGCAATCGATCTCCAACCAATTTACACAATATAATTCTCTCGGGCGAGAGATGTTAGATCATAGTTAGTATCGGTACGGGAGTAAGGTAAGGCTTTCTCAGCTCCCTTCTACCGAGTGTGGGGCCGGATGATCATCCACAAATGCCTGCGATAACGACATTCCCAACTACATTGACGAAAAAAACACCACCTGAACCATTCCATTCAAAGGGAGACCCCTCAATTTTGGGTGCGCAATGACGAGCGCCGCAAATAATTGCATCATCTCGCAGACACAGCATGTTATTGCGAATCTAATGCCCCCCATCGCATCAGAATGGCTACAGCCTACCGTACATATAGAAGTATTATCCCAGACTCGGATACTTTGTTCCTGAGACAGCCCGAAATCATTTTCATTTCCAATTCCATTCAAATTGTTTAACCCTGTTTAAGCCAACCAGTGCAAAGATCCCAATATGGCACAGGATATCCCCGCCACAGACCCCGCTATCTACGCCCAATACGAGGCCAAGTGGTCTGCGCTCCCAGACAGCGCCGATGCATGGCTGGCCCGAGCTCGTGAAGTCGCAGAGGTCCTGGCCCAGGATGCTGCACAACGGGACCAAGAGAATAAATCACCGCGCGCTGAGATTGTGCTCCTCAAGCACTCGGGTCTATTGAAGCTCCTGGGTCCTGAAGAAGTATGGCGGTGGTGAACAACCCTGGAGCGTTGGGTATAAGGCGATTCGGGAGGTTGCCAAAGCAGATGGGTATGTATCGATGGTTTGGGAGATTATGTTTATGTCTGCACATACTGTAAGCTGAACGGTGCGCTGACTGCTACTTGAAATAGTTCTATTGGTATGCTGCTGGGGTATCATCTTCTATGGTCCACAACCGCGAATGTCGTCGGCAGCGAAGAGCAAATCGAGCGCACCCATGAGTTGATCATCTCGAATAACTACTTCGTTGGTGGTGCGGTGAATCCCCGTGATAGTGATTTGAAGATTACCTCTGATGGCGATGATATCGTCTTCAATGGGGCGAAGTTTTTCAATACTGGTGGTGTGGTCTCGGATCTTACGGTGCTGGAGGGCGTTCTTGAAGGCACCGATGGCCATATCTTTGCCTTGGTCCAGACGAGACAGCCTGGTATTCATTTTGCGCATAATTGGCACAATATTGGTCTGCGCTTGACCGAGTCTGGCGGCGTTAAGATTGATAATGTTCGTGTGCCTTGGAAAGATGCACTTGGCTGGGATGACGCCTCGAGGAAACCACGCGAAGATGTTCTGTTGATTCAGTTCCCGACATTACTTCTGCCGACGTAAGTATCCACCCCTACTGCCCGGACGTTCTCCCGTCTTGCCAATATTGACCGGCTAACTTGCCCTTGCTTTGAATATTTAGTATCCAACTAGTCTTCAGTAACTTCTACCTCGGAATCGCCCTCGGATCTCTAGAGTTTGCCTCGAAATATACTACAGCTACGACCCGACCCTGGCCCTTCGGAGTAGACGTGAAGGAATCCGCAACAGAAGAATTCTACATCCTCGAGCGCTACGGAAACTTCTTCGCGCATCTTCGGGCTACTGAGGCACTGGCCGATCGGGCTGCCGATCAGCTCACGGCAGTATACACCAAGTATTCGGGTAACCGACCTTCGTTAACAGCCGAGGAACGTGGCGAGGTGGCCGAATGGGTGGCCAGTGTCAAGGTGGTTACCACCGACGTCGGGCTCCGAGTTACATCCGGCGTGTTCGAGGTGACGGGGGCTCGAGCGACCTCATTGAAGGTCGGACTGGATCGGTTCTGGAGGGATATTCGGACACATACACTTCATGATCCGGTGGCGTATAAGAATCGTGAGTTGGGGCGGTATGTGCTTCATCGTGAGTACCCCGCGCCAACGTGGTACACTTGATACCGGTGGTAGCTGGGTAACTCGGAATGAGAGACAGATGGTGATGGAACAACAGCGTATATCGGGTATGAATGAATATGTTTCCAATTTCCAAATACCATTATACCAGTAAAACCCCGCGAGTTCCACGAGAAGTCCGGGGAGTGTCAAAAAGAGTCAACCCCAAACCCTTTAAAGTGGGTTGGCGATAAGCCCCGCCTGATAGCCACTTTGGACGCGGCCGATCCGAATTTTTTTCCCGATTTTCTGTGGGCGAGTGAACTTCTCCCCTCTATACTCCCCTGCTTCCCTTTTTCCCCTCAGCCATTTGTTCCTTTCAGCCTCTCTCTTCATTTATTTACCAACCGCCAAGATGGTGCAAAAGTTCTATGTCACCTATAACCAGGTACGCTATATTATGCTATGCGCTGTCGCGCGACCCCCTCCTCCGCGCATACATCTCTACCATGTCAAATCGGACCAGGATGAGGACCAGGACCAGTGGGAGTTACCCTACTGGGAAGGTTTAAGCAGGGGGTTGGAGTTGACTTGGAAACTTCTCCGCACAAATGCTAATCGTTTTTGTTCCACTCAATCTAGGTTCACCAGCTCTGCCAAAGATCCGCAGATGCTATCCTGAAGGATTTCCACCCTCACCTCATGATCGCCATCGGCGGTGGTGGTTACGTCCCTGCTCGTATTCTCCGGTAAGTTCTGAGCCTGAGCGAGAGCCCTATGCGATTGGCCCACACATTTCCCTGGACTGGACCGACAGAGAAGCCGAGCCGAGTACTAATTCTTCAACTCATATAGTTCCTTCCTCAAGCGCCCCGGTGACCCCAACATCCCCATCCAGGCCATTGGTCTGTCCCTCTACGAGGATCTCGGTCGCGGCGATGCCGAAGAGGTCCCCGGCACCAAGGTCACCCGTACCCAGTGGCTGGACCTGAGCTCCCTCGAGATGGCCAACTTGATCGGCAAGAACATCCTGATTGTCGACGAGGTCGATGACACCCGTACCACCCTGGAATACGCTGTCCGTGAGCTGGAGAAGGATGTCGAGATCGCTCAGAAGCAGCTTGGTCGTGAGGGTGAGAAGACTAACTTCTTCGTCTTTGTTCTGCACGTGCGTACCCCCACATACTCGTTTTTGTTTGAAGCGAGATCGCCATACTGACATCTCTTTTCCCACTTAGAACAAGGACAAGCCCAAGAAGGGCGTTCTGCCCACCGATATGATGGAGGGTGGTCGCTACCACGCTTCCGTTACTACCGAGGATGTCTGGATCTGCTATCCCTGGGAGGCCAAGGATATCGAGGAGCACGATGCTCTCGCCAAGGAGAACCCTATCATCTAAACCTAAACAGTTTTCCGTCTTGCATAGTGCGAACAGCATTCCATTTTGCGCGGTGCCTTTTGATCCCCTTCAAGTTGGTGGCTTTTTTTGGGCGAAGTCTTGTTTTTTTGGAGACTGTGACCTTACCCCTACTACTTACCCCCCACCCGGTGCTTATTATAAAGAATGCTACCGGGGTTTGTTTAAATTTACGATATCCTTTACGAATCTAGAAAAAAGTTTTATTCTTATTATAAAGTTACAGGCTGCTTGTTTCCTTCAACCATAGGGTATGGTTCGCATAATATGATCTTTATAGAGATGTCTTCTTTACTCCACGGCGGAATAGGATAGAATAGAATAATCGTGAAAGGGTATCAAGTGGATTGTATATTGATAAAAATAGCAATCAAAGAGTATTATCGTGTATTATAGAGGAGAGGAGAGGAGAGGAGAAAAGACCCTTGCATGTATTGCATTGCATTGCATTGCAGCTACTTCTGCTTCTGCGTAGGGTGCGGACAAGCTCCCTCCTCCTCCTCCTTCGCCGCATAACGCTCTAATCGCAGACGAACAGAGACACGATTGGTTAATCCAAATTTCTCGACGTGACTTTGGCGCATTTAGTCGACATCAATCTTGCCCTGGCGCAGCTCGACCTTGGCCTGTTCGATCTCCTTCTGCAGCTCGGCGTGTGCCTCGGGGACGTCGTTGAAGGTGAAGATCGCGACTCCTAGACGGCCGAGGAGGTAGCAGCCGAAAACGATGAGTGCCCAGAAGGGGAGCTGTTGTAGAAATGTCGCTGTTAGTATTGTTCTTGAGGGAGGTGTTTAGGGCGCGGCCGCGCGGTAACGGAGTCGCAAACGGAACGTATCGAACGAACGTACCACGGGGATGATTTCGGTTTGGAAGGTCTTGTTCAGGGGGACGAGGCCAAGGTAGGCGACGAGGTAGAGCTGTTGTATGTTAGAAGATGGTTCTCGGTGTCTTTATTCCGGTCTTTTGGGCGGGTTATGGTGGAGCTCGAGTAACGTACAGAGGAGACAAGGAGGAGGACGGAGACGGTTTGCTGAGCGCGTGTCATGGTGGCGGATGTTGGCGGGATAGGGTGCGATGGAATGACAGGAGAAAGAGTGTAGAAAGAGATCCGATCACAGATCCAGATCTAGATCCAATTGACCGCAAAGAAATAGAAATAAAGGAGAGACGGGGGGCCGGGTGGAGGTGATGACGGGGGAGCAGAGGCCAGCTTGACTTGCGCGGGTTGGCAAAGGCGGAACTCCAGGCGGAGTAAGACTTGGAGTAAACATGGGGGATTCGGTCGCATAGTTACACCACAGGTGATACGAGGAATGATGGGAGGTAGATTAGGTATAATCTGACTCTTCTCTCTTCTCATTATTTTCTATATTTTTTACTATTTTTATTTGATTTCTTCACGGTGTACAATGGTGAATCCCTCCTTGAACTACCTATGGTCCACATGGCTGCCTGAATCTCCCCTCAGGCAGCACTCCCGCTCTCCTTGCCAGGCCCGCTTCATATATGCATTAGCTTCGCTTCCCTGTCAAGAACCCTTGACCAATTCTAGTGGACCCTATCTAACTAATCCCTCCCCTCTCCACAGACTATCTCTAGTCAGGAAACGAGCCTCCACCACTTCCAGGCACACGGTCGGCAGCCTGGCGCCAGAATCAAAATAAAAAATGGCTTCGATAGATATATCTAATGCCTCTGTGGCACTGGCAGGTAGCAAAAATGCTAGCCAGCAATCAGCAGCAGCGAAAGCTCTCGGGTTCAAACCTTCGATTGAGGAGGTTCTGTCAGATTTACCAGAATTGTCTGGCAGCTCAGAGTCCAGCTCGTTTCCCCAGCGAAACTCAGAGACCCTCGCACAAGACGAACAGGAGAAGATGTTCCGTGCCTTGAAGAATGTGCTCGACAATTTCGAGCCCTCAGATGACTCGGAATCACCCGAGAGCTTTGATTTGAAGGAGCTTCAATCGTCCCTAGAACAGGCGGATGCGGATGCTCGCCGTGGCGAGCGAAATGCCGGGCCGTTGCAGAATGTGCATACCATCCTTTGCAAGCTGTGGTCTGTCAACTCGGGGCTTTTGAGCCAAGCCGCCGAAGCTCTGGCAAATGGGAGCCGTGATCGTGAGTCTAGTGTTGATGGGCTGAATTGAATCGCTCAACCGTTGGCAAATATGCAATTCCACTGACAGTATCCAGCTTCCTGGCGATTCCCGATTGGACAGTCTGGGATTTTGAAGTTCTTCTTGGATGTTATTGCCTCTAAGGAACAAGTCGAGACTGGCTTATTGCTTCATTCTTTGCGTTTGATTGGCAATTCTTGCGCCGATACAGGTATGTTTCAATCCTGGCGGGAATTATCTCTGACCCGCGGGCCTGGTAACAATTGACACCGTTGTAGATGAGAACAGAGAGATTGTGGTCAAGGATAACTATACACTGGCTATCATTCGACATTTCTTGAATCCAGATATTATACATGTGGCCATCCCGGTGATCTACAACATCTGTATGGACTATGGTAAGCATATTGTCCTTTTCTAAATTAATCTGCGAAATTTGCTAATGAGACGGATACAGAGCCTGCTCATTCTCAAATGGCTGCAAATAGGGCTGCCTATATTATCTTGAGCTTGCTCAAAGATGGCGCGATCCCAGAGAACGAAGCTCTGCTGGGCTTTGCATATGACTTGATTGAGCTCTCCTCTGAACAAGGTATGAAACATTGACCCCTGATATTGGTGGTTTCCCAGCTGACTCTAGAAATTGAAACAGCTGCCGGGGTTGAAAACTCCCCAGATGGCATCATCTGGCTCATTCTGGAGCTTGCTTTGCACGAAGACATCGTCTTTGAGCAATACTCCTCTCTGGTCAATTCCCTGTCCGCATATCTGGACAAGGAACGGTTCCAGAATGCTTGCATCGTAAACAGCATGGTGGAAAAGACCTTGTCTGTTCTAGAACGCTCCTTCACCATTGAGATCGACACATCCTCGAAAGAGGACGTGCAAAACATCGCCCAGCTCCGTCTGAAAATCAACACGTCTCTGGCCGAAGTTTCCGCGTCGCCATTGTTCGCAGAGTACTACCCCCTTGACTCAGAGCTCTCAAAGACTCTCAAATCTTGGGTCGTGGCGGATGAGGACCAGCTCCAAATTTGCGCATGCGTCATGCTGGGCAACTTAGCCCGTTCCGACGAAGTTTGTCAGACAATGGTGAACGATCTTAAGATCCACGAGGAATTGATATCCGTATTGAACAGCGACGACGCCCGTGGCGCAGTCCTACACTCTGTACTTGGATTCTTGAAAAACCTCGCCATCGCGGGCGAAAATCGTCTTACCCTCGCGCGGGCTGGGATTATTCCTGCTGTATCACGTCTGTGGGCCTATGACTCTGTTCCGCAGGTCCAGTTCTCCGCTTCAACTATTGCCCGCCAAGTGATTATCTCGTCCATGGAGAATATTGCGCGTCTACTGGCTCCCCTCTCTGAAGACCCTGACTCCCCGGCTCATCAGCGAACCTATCTTTCCTTGCTCCTGGCACTTTTCGAAAAGACGGACTCAGCGCCAATCAAGACGGAGATTGGTCGCACTGTTGCCTCTATCTGTCGCACTGTCAGTCCTAAGGCGCGAGACGGAGATGCGGAGGCTTCTTCGTTGCTGGAAAAGCTTTTCAAATTGCACGAGGGTGTTGCTAATCCGGTTGGGTCTATGATTACACAAACGCAGTGGCCGGTCGTTCGAAGTGAAGGGTGGTTTGCTTTGGCACTCATGGCAACTACCGAGTCGGGTTGTGTAACAGTAGTGGACTGTCTCCGTAACGAAGAGGTGATGGAGGTTTTGAAGACGACTATGGCTGGCGAGCCCCCAAGCTCAGAGGAAGGTACAGAGACGAACCAGACTCAAGTGCAGAAGGACCATGGTAATGCACTTGTCCTGCTTCAGGCGCTTTTGAAGAATGAGGTTAGTTCCATCCCCAATACCCTGGCAAAAATCTGAATGTTTGTTATTGTTTATGCTAATTGGTGGATAGTCTGATGTACTTCCGATCGGCTACAGGGAAACCATGGAAGATTTAGTGAAGAACCACGCTACACGCCTTTTGGATGGTAGCCAGAGCCAGGACACTTCATGATAACTTCGAGGTGCATAAAGATGAATATAATGAGAAAATAAATGGGTGATATAAACCTGCATTATGAAACTTGAACTATCCATACAATATGTTCCTGGTAGATGGGATGCCCTGCTTGGATATACTCCCGCTCTCACTGGCTGCGTCCAATCGGCGATAAGAACACGCTTATCTAATCAATGATTATGTCATCCGTCGCGATTGTCAATTTTCTCCCCGATCTTTTATCGCGCGCCGACCAATCTACTTTTCTACTTCGACAAATTTCCAATTTTCTACTCAAAATGGGTTGGTTTTGGGCAGACTCGCAGCCAAAGGTGCCTGTGGCACCGCACCCAACAGCTCCTGGGGCCGCTATTCCCGTACGTCTCCTCAACATTGACAAATATCCAATTTAGTGACGTCTCCATGCTGACCCTTATCAACAGCCCGGATGCCCAATGCACGAGTCACAACAGTCGAAACCCTCACTGCCCGCCGCCGCGCCTGTGCCCGAGAAGACCGAAATACCCAGCAGCTGTCCTATGAAGAAATCCGCCGATTCCCCATTCTATTCCGCGCCCAACTCATCCACCCCGGAAACTCCGCAATCTGCACCTCCGGCGGCGCCGCAGAAATCAACATCCACTTTATCCAAACTCAACCCGCTGAACTACATGTTCGCCTCTATCTCGCAAGAACGCGCTCCGAACCAGACCGTCGACTTGGGCGTTGATCGTGAGGTCTCTTCCATCCCGCGTGGTGACGCGGAGGGAAATCGGAGTATCCCTCCGCGCAGCAGATGTACAACGCCATGTTGCGCAAAGGTCATACCGATACGCCCCAGGACGCGGTTGAGTCTATGGTTGCTGTGCACAATTTCCTGAACGAGGGCGCTTGGGATGAGATTATTGGGTGGGAGCGTACGTTCGCTAAGGGTCTCGGGGCTGGATGGGACCGGTGCCGTCGCGGCGAGGAGAACCTCGCTTTCAACCTTATGAAGGAGGATGCGTTGGGTCAGGTTGATGAATCTACTGAACCCCGTTTGATTCGATTCCAGGGTCGGCCGCAGGAATTGAGTCCTAAGGCTCAGTTCTACCAGCTTCTGGGCCGGGTTTATCCGTCAATGTTTGAGTAAGCTATTGCTACGCTACTTTCGCGTGGACCCTACTTGTAAGATATATGGCTAACATAAACCTTTTCTTTTCTTTTCAGGACAAGCCCTCCTTTCGACCGTCATGACTGGTTCGTGCAGCGTCGCACGCCATCCGGTTCGAAGGAAGTTCGTTACGTGATCGATTACTACTCCGCACCCCCCGAGCCTAACGGCGAACCGGTCTTCTACCTTGACATTCGTCCTGCACTGGACACCCCCACTGCTGCTGTTGAACGGCTCATGAGATGGGGCGGTGATGTTTGGTGGAAGGCTAGTGGAGGTGTTGTGAGAGAACCCGGCCATGCTCACCCTCAGGCATGAACATGAAATTCGACCCCAAAGCAACTTGTTGAGCGTTTTGATGCTCCCCTCCCCTCTCCACACTGTACATTTATAGACATGGCACAGGCGTTTTTTCATGGTTTTGTTGGACCTTTTCTCTTTTTTTCTTTCTTGCCCCTTGTGTTATAACATACGTGTCTTAGTATTGCATTTTCATTTTCATTTTCTATTTTCATGTGCAAGATGATAATGTTACCAAGTGATGGATTTTGCCGTCATTGGTTGGTTGGAAGATCTCCGATATTTGCGTTTTTAGCTTTAATTGGAATATGTAAATTTATTTTTGAACTCATTCAATTGGATCGGCCTGAGCTACTAATAAAACTTGAAGTAGTCTGAATGAATCGCTTCGTGTCATTGAAATTATCGTATCTGAAGGGAGAAATGCTTATAGTACAAAAGGGGGAGTCTCTATGTCTAGATGTTCGGCGATAGTTGATCATACTTAACGCAATGTTCCACACTCTCAATGCTGGCCTGCAGCAATCCGCGAGCTTCGAGGCCAACCCAGACCCGAAGCATCGAGGTATCACCGGAGCGAACGGTCTGTATGAAGGTGGAGCCGGAACCCAGCTGTCGAAGGATGGGCAGGGCACTGTGGAAACGTGTGATTAGCGGGTGTTCCTCAATATTCGAGTCGGCGTCTGTGGGAATACTAACCTCTTGAAAAGATCTAGATCGGGATTAAGGCTTCGTCCGATACCTTCAAGTAGGAGACAAGAAATAACCACATTGACAAAGTCTCCTTCAAACCGGACATGATGTCCACGAACCATGGTCAATACCTCGCTCAGAACGTCGCCGATTCTAATATTTCCCAATGCGAATGTCCGAGACTTGATGCTAAGAACGAGATGCTGCATTTTCAAAGCAAATATCTCCGGATCAATGACTTGCTCTGGTCCACGGCATCGCTCCACCATTAGATGGCCTGCCCGGTAACCATCGAATTCAGCAATTGCTCGGAAAAGATCCAGGAAATTGCGTCGATTTTTGTCATTCAGCTGAGTCACTAATCCGGTGTCGATAAAGATGAGCTGTGGGCGATAGCCCTCGTCATTGAGTTGCGCTAGGGCAGATTCCCATGTCTCGCTGTTTCCGATATGCGGGCGTAATCGAGCAAGTACAGCCTCTGTCACGTCGACTTCAGCTCGTGTGGGGGCGTCGATTGCTCGAGATTGCTTGCGAAGAGAAAGATCCAGTTCACTGGGTTGGTAGAAGCGGACCATGATATTTCCCGGGTGAAGATCAGCATGGACGAAGTTATCAATCAAGAGCATATGCAAGAAGGCATCCAGTCCTTCATTTGCGATCTCGTGTTGATAAACACCGCCTCCCGTTTCGAGGAAGGTTGCGAGTGGGATTCCCTGGGCAAATTCCTCGACCAGGACTTCGCGGGTCGTGTAGTCCAGGTATGGATATGGGAACCAAGCCGTTGTGCGAGACTTGAATTTTTCGCGGAACATGACCAGATTGGAAGCTTCGATTCGAAGATCTAGTTGAAGTTTCATCATTTCGCCAAATTGCTGGACCTCATCGGGAAAGGACAGCCAGTTCATTGTGGGAATGGCATTGATTAATGACGCGAAGAATCCCATAATTCGAAGGTCTCGGTGAATCATCTGTTCGACTTGGGGATGCAGGACTTTGATAGCCACGTAGGAGGAAGGGACACGTTGGGGTGAGCTCTTAACTAGAACATTGATGTTCTTCTGAACCTTCTCGCCGAGTGTGCTGGGTCCGAGCCCGAGCTCCTGGGTGCTGGAGGCTAGGCTCGGTTTGAGCCTTGCTTTATACACCTGTGCTATAGCTCCAACGCCAAGAGGCTCTTCTTGGAACTCCTCGAATATCTCTTCGAATGGCAAGCCATTGAAGGCTTTGCGAATCGTTTTCTTTGTAGCATGCAAGGAATGGGCTGGTGCATTTGAATGAAGCGAAGACATTATGGTGCACATCTCTGGAGGGAAGATATCGGTTCTTGACGCGGCCCATTGGCCCAACTTAAGACGAATTGTGAGCAGAAGTTCATCAATCATGGTAGAAGGGGGTATTTACCTTGATAAAAGCAGGACCAGCGCGCTCCATGGCTTTCACCAGGAAACGGTACCACCACAGGGTTCCAGAACGCGCGTTGTTTGGACCCTCAACCTTCCGGCCCAGCCATATTACCGGCACAGTGATAACAACCGGTACAAATATCGCAGCGAGATGAAGAAACCGAAATCCGGTCGCAATAGGGTCATAGATATACCGGTACCAGAAGACCCATACTGTTTGACAGACTCTTGAGAGACCCCGCGCATCTGCAGCAACCGCTTTACGGATCTCATCGCGCGACGCCTCCAGCATCTGCATCTCTGCGGTTATATCGCCTCCATCCGAGTCCTCCGCCATTTTGAGGAATGCGCTGGGCGCGAGGGCAGCCATCACGAGCCCGCCGATGATCGGGCCCGGATCCGCCCCGTTTCGGGGTGTGTTGAACAGGGAGTCGCCATGATGTTGTGAAATGGTGGCGCGGAATACGCGGCAACCCGCGGTTGAAACAAAATCGCCTGAGGAGGACCGTCCTCATGGTCTGTAGTGTATTTTCATGGAGGACGCTCTGCAAGTATGTATGTGAAGTGGATGTGAGGTGGAACTGAATTGAGGATCGCGGACAATGGGGACGGAAGCGCTGATAGCCCCGATAAGCGGCACGTGTTACGACGTCATCGTAAACAATCTCGGAACTTGGCAGGCCGAGGTTGTTCAACAAGGATGATCAAGTAGAGAATTGATTGATTGAGATCATAAACGGAGCATAAATTATTGTAGAAGGCTAGAAGCACTGAAATTAGTGGGATTAATATAGAAGGGCCCATCATATCCCGAGGTCCTGAGGCTGTATCTACATAATCTCCACTGCTAGTATAATTGCAATGATAATAGTACTCCATACTAACAATCAAGGAGAGCAAACATACACTTGACTAGTAGCATAATAATGAGAATTATTAACACAAGTCTACAGATATATTCAGTTTCATAGATACTAGTCTGATCAACTTTTGTTTTTCCCATTCGAGCTTCGCCCGAATCCGAATCCAGCAACTGGGTCCTCCACATTCCAGTCTACATTCCTCAACGCCACCCTTTATCCGTTTTCTTTCTCGCCTTGCTAATTCCGGGCTTATCGAGTCCGATCGTCAAAAAAACTCCTACCAAAAGACCGAAGTCGACACTGAAGAGCACAATGGCTCTCCAATGCACCCCACTATATCTCCGAAGCCCCGTTTTCGGGACAAAGAGTTTATTGAACGACGCAACAAGACAACTTTACCCTGCATTAAATGAGACCATGAATCCCCCGATGCCTAGGCTGGCTTTTTACCATCCTCAATCTCTCGAAGCACCCTCTAGCTTGCGACCCACTTGTTCATCACCATGGGTCGCCCACTGAACCTGGACGATGTCGAGTCCAACCAGGACCAGGATCAGGATCAGAATCGGTCTCACACTTGGCGCGATTGGATGATCGTGTTCACATGGAGTATCGTGGGCTATCTGGCACTTATCACGACCGTCATCGGCTATTTTGATCCGTCCCTTCTACCCGTCGATCCAGCGGCGCTGTTATTCAACAAAGATATCTCTCCATTCTATGCATTCTCGCGCGGAGGTCATTTCTCCAAACCGTCAGGCTTTAAGATCGTCGCTCTGGTTCCTTTTAGTAACCATGAGCACACTTCGATTCTGGAATGTTATTTGCAGGTAAAGTTTGAATCTAGTCAGCTTCCTGGGAAGGTTATGCTAAACGATTCGCAGAAAAATTTAATCCACAACCACGGTTTCCTCGATCAGGTCGTTTTCATTCCTCAAACGAACGACGCCACCAGTCTACGCTGGCTCAATTCTCTCGTGGAAGAAACATCCGAATATGCAATCTCACCAGCTGGAAGAGACATGGATTGGAAATTCGCCCAGGATAACGTCATGTACATCCGGATCGACGGGGACGTTGTTTACATGGAAGACCATACCATTCCAACGATCGTCAAAACGAAACTAGACAATCCCGACACTCTCATGGTCTCTGCGAACGTCGTCAACGAGGGTGCCCTCGCTTCACTGCACAGTCATCGCGGAGTGTCTCTCCCTTATCTGCCCGAGCTACAGCATACCCCGCAACCATCTCGATCAAAGTCTCAACTCGAACACGATTGGCGAGCCTCGAGTCTTCCATCGTGGACAGGACCAGCAGACTTCAAGGTTCGAAAGGACTTCAAACCGCCCTTCGAGGGTCATAGATGGTTACTTCCGCGTGAATCGGCCACGGATCGCGATCCGATTGCGGGATCGGTTTATACAGATACGGGTCCTAGTATGTCCGACTGGACGGTTGGTGCCCAGCAACACTATTCCTTCTTACACCATCTTGAACTGGATAATTTGGATCGGTATAAGTTTCCGTTATGGGTTAATCCTACCGAGCCTGTTACTATCAATTTTGGTTGTTTCTGGGTAAGGATACCCAGGGCCTTCGCGAGGTCTTCGGTCATAAATCTAGTGAAGAGATCTATGAATCTTGGGCTGGGTCGGATGGGACTCGGCCGAATGTTACTATTGATGGTAAAGGTCTTGTTTCGCATTATTCGTCTCGACAGGGAGTTGAGGGGTTGGATTCGACTGATGTTTTAGAGAGGTATCGGGCTTATGCGCAGGAGAGGGTTTGTCGACCGAGTCAGCGTCAGAAGAAGCCTCGCTTGGAGGTTGATTAGACCTGACTGGCTAGATGGCTGATTCGGGGAAGGTGGATGCTCAGACTTGTATATAGTAGCATCCTGAAATTCGGATAAAGATAATGCACATAACTAGTAATTTCATACTATGCTATTGACAAACCTTTCCATACTTGGATCTCAGCTTACTAAATATCATTCATTGGCTTTTTACGGGGCTTTCCTCGGCATAAACTGTCAATCGAGCATATTATATTATGGCAAGTCATCGTTTATCTTATCAAGCTTCTTCCACAGGTATTACATAGCCAGACATAGCTTCCTCCCAAACACACCTCCAATCATCATCCTGAGTACCAGGAACGAAGAAATAATCAGCAATAATCCTCGAAACTTGCTCCCAACTCTGCCATTCGCAAATCATAGCAACACGAGCTAACCGCTCAACAAACCATATCCGCTCACGATGACCAATGGATCCTCGAGCTCCGATGAACAATGCCCAGGCAAACAGATTTAAACTTTCTTTTGGCAAATGAAGAAGACTCGATATCTTGCAATTGCCGACAGCTTTAACGAGGTGTTTTGTCAGGGCCCGGCCAAGGCCAGACGAAGGGGGTGAAACGATCAGGAAATTATTCAAAAAGCAGATTACTGCTACGCGTGCGACGGCTTCAACTGGGTGGAGTTTTTTTTCCCGGGTTGTTCGGGCCAGGTTCGCTCTCGCTGTCTCCATATATGTAGCTTAAGAGTTGATGTTCTGATTCGCAGTTGAGCATGCGGAAGAAATGGTGATCGGACGGTTCGAGTTCGGAAGACAGTGTTATGGCGACGCCGTAGAAGATAACATCTCGAATGACGTTTAGTATTCGGATGAGGGGTGGACTGAGAAGGGTGTTTGCGAAGAATCCCAAGCCAAGTTGATGTAAAGATGAGGAAGGGGGTGGTCGGATTCGTTGTTGAATCGCTTTAGGAACGGGTTGTGCGTCCCAAGTCAGTGGGAACACGGGTTTGACTAGCAGGCCGGAGCCAGCTTTGACATCGGAGCTAGAGAATCTTTTAGCAGATGAAGATTATTTTCAATGTTAGTGATCAGGTCAGGTTATACATACGTGATTATGGCTGTTAAAATAGAAGCAGATTGAATGCTTTCACCTGTAATTCCGCCACGAAGCTCTACCATGCGTCTGAGACCTGTTAAGTGGATTCGAGCTTCGTCGAATAACCCAGCAATTAACTGTGGCAAAGGCATAGATTAGACAGTGAGGCTTTTAGACGACCCTAAGCCTATGGGCTACTACTTACTGAACCAGTCAAAAGATTCACGATCGTGTCAAATGCCTCATTGGTCAATGCTTGTGTAGGATCTCGAACTTTCACATTCATTTCTCGAATGCACTTGGCTTTCATGATACAGTAATCGGGGTCATTGCCGGCTTGCTTGTCGTCGGGTTCGATGAGCATGGAATCGAGATGACTGGACGACAATGCCGCTCTATGTGCAGCGCACATACTCATGAGACCGAAGAAACTACCCGGATCTGAAAAGGAAGAGCGGACCATTAATTCGACTTCTTTAGTATTTTGACCCTTGACCTCATTTGGAAAGGTCACTGGGACAAATACCGATTTCCCTAATTAATTCGTTTCGTAAGTTCAAGCCCCAGTTCATCGAGCAAGCCCTGGATGTATGTAAATAAAACCGCTTACAATAGTATAGCAGATGTGCAACCATGCCAGGGAGTTCACTGGTTCCTGGCAATGTGCAAAAAGGATCGAGAAACCACGAAGTAGGCAGTAATCCCGGTTCAGGGTTCAAATGGGGTTCAAATGGATAGCCTGTGGTCCACTTAGTGGGACTCCTGCGGCGATATCTGCTAACGAATTCTCCATGTAGCTCTGCTTCATAGAGAGATGATTGACCGGAGGAATCGGATGCCCACCTGCCAGCGAGGATCAATTTCTGTTCTTCTTGAGACTGGTCGTATTGAGCTTTCGTGTTCACTGGCAGTCCGCCTCGACTTTGACTTTCTCGTCGTGTAGTTCGCTTTAATCCAGCGAGTCTCTCCCGTCGGCGGACATCGCGCATCACATGGGATCGGATGGCCTTGCGAGCATTAACATCTTTGATTCGCTTGGAAGTCAAGTCATCATCATGATCGATAAAAGTAAAAGATGGCCGGTCCAGCGGTGGTGCGTTTGGCTGGGATGTGGGATCTGAAGTCGAAGTTTAGTGTACATCTCAACTCGAAGCCTCAGGAATTAAACGCGGGGAGTGGGGGAAGTGGGCGACATGCAATTCGAGCAACAAATGAGAATTGATGGGGGAAAACGCCTCTAACTGGGCGCCACGCAAACGGACAGCAATTATAAACTTGAATGCCAAATATACTAGTGCAAATACATTGAAACAAGGTGCGGCCCTGAGAGCAAAAGCAAACAACGCCTAGGCGCATAAAGCACAGAGCAGCACGAACCTGAAAGGGAAGCTCGAGCCAAAGAAAAAGACTGCAGGTGATCCATTGTGGGCCCGAAGGCCAGAGCAAGTGAAGAAAAGTAAAAAAAGCGTGGGGGGAAGGCTGATTTAGAAGAGAAAAAGGAGTAGTTACGTTGTCAATGCGGGGATTCGAGCGGAGAAGACGCTGACCCGGTGATGACCGGTGTAACGCCTCACGCGGCTCTTTACATGGAAACACCGGGGAATACCCAGGGTACTTGGCCACGAGATGCCAGGGGGGAATGACAATGAGAATGGCAATGGTAAGATATATTCAGTAGAGATAAAAAAAAGAATAGATAGAATATCCCCATTGGAAAAGAGGGAGTCCCTCCGTGATGCGCCCGGAGATGCCGCAAACCGCTAAACACAGAAAAAAAAAAGACATAATGGCCAAAGATAGAAAAGAGAAACACAAGAGCCAGGATCACGAGCACCAATTGTTTCCAGTGTAGAATCATCCCTGCATGTCGCTGACAAGTCGTGAAAGTAACGCATAGCCAAAGAGTACAGCCAGACCAACCCAAACGCGATTCCGTCGCACCCAACTTTGTCCGGCTTCCCGCGCCACATGGCCACCTTCCATGACTGCCCCGAATCCCGGGCCACTTCCATTTGGTCGCCGACGGAGAGCACTGGTCTCCGGGGAACACTTGATTGGGGCGTTGGGATCGGGCAGGATTTGGCCGGTGGCGGTGTCGATGCGGTGCTCCTTCATCCATGTCCAATTCTCCTGATCCAGCTCTGGCCATTCAGTCCGGAACTTTAACCCCCCATCACCTGCCTTGACATTGTTAATCCCCTTGGTTGTTCGGGCGACACCTGGAGTAGCGTTGGCGTGTGAGCCTCCACCGGTCGAGTTCCACCATCGTGATCGGGCGGCGAGTACTCGGCGTTCGCCTTCTGAAGCGCTGACACTCTCCCGTGGTCATTTCTTCGCTCGTCATGAATGAGAGTAGTCCGATTAGAATTGTGGAAACCTCCCATGCGGGGTTGAATGACTTGGGGTGGAAGTCGGAGATACTGAGACAGAGGCGGGTGGATGGTTGGAATCGGCCACTAGGTGTGTGCATGCGAATCGCAGGAGGGGCGAAAGGGTATTCCGGGGGGAAGATCAAAGTGCCCCAGTATTGTCCATTCTCATAGGGAGTCCCCGGAGGACCGGTCAGGATGTAATGCCATCTGGCCGATTGTCAGCGCTGAGTACTCGCAAGGCGAATTCCAAGACCAAAAGGGAAAAAGGACCAGGAATAAAAAAAGAGTCACATACTCAAGAATGTTGGTTTCCGACGGGTGTGCCACGATAAATGGTGGGGGGTTCTTTTGAATGCTTTGGTACTCGCGAGTAAGCTGTATACGCCCACGGCTGTTAGAAGGCATGGCTTATCATTCATCGATTGGGGTCTGGCCACTCACCCGTTTGAAAGCCGCTTTTGTCGCCATAATCTTGGCGGTTCTGATCAAGTGCGCAGAAGGGAATGCAGAGAGGTACAGTCAAGTCGAGTCGAGAGAAGCGCAGTGAGAGAAAGAAAAGAAACGGACAAAGTGGACAAGTTCAAAGTCCGCAAGCGCAGGCGCAAACCGCTGCCATCGCCCGATGGTCACGTGCCCCCATCGGATTCACGCGACTCACGAGGATCTCCCCGGGGGAAGGTCGCCGATAAATCCTGGTCCATTGCAGTCGTCACCATGTCCTCCCTGTCGGCCGAAGATGGCGATGTACGTGGTATTTCTATGCAGTACATGCATTAACTACTTCCGTTTTGTGTCCGGCCATTGGTTGCTAATTTGTCGCGGCAGATCTTCGAGCGCTTGCAACAGCGCAAAGACCCGCAGGTTCTCGAGGAGCAGCAGCAGGCCGTGAATGAGCGGACACAAGCAATTCTGCAAAAGGCTCAAGCCCGTCTGGGTGAATTGGTATGATTGCCGACCTACTATCATACCCTTCTACCACTCCCTCAATCCGAATGGCACTTCCTATGGGAGATATTCCCATATCTGGAGCTTGCGGAGCTTTTCCCGTACCCCGGCTAACCGTTGAAACTACTTCGATCAGCTTGACCAAAACTCGACTCTACCATGCACCATCTCCTCGGTCCAGGTCTTCGGCGCTTCCAACACTCGCCGTAGCTTCCTCGAAAACGTCCTGAACCCTCTTTTGAGCGAAAATAAGAATCGGCCCTATACTCTTTCCGAGGCGTTGCGGGAGGTATCGGCTACGGCAGACAAGCTTGGGCGATTTGGTTGGTGGTCCTGCTGGAGCTTTAGCTGCTATGATGTGGATGTGGACTTTGTCTTTCTAACTTGACTCCAATTCCAGACTTGTTCCATCAGCCCATCTCTGTCCACCTGGATGAGGCTAACCACAATGGCGACCTGCGCAATCTCGATGTTCTGCTGGCGGTCCGCGAGAAGTCCCGCGTGATTCTGAAGACCGGTACCGATCTTGGAAACGCCGAGGGCTCAGCTTACGGAAATCTCCTTTGGCGCAATCTGTTCGGCGGTGCCGAGACTCTCAACCTGAATGCCTCATTGGGAACCCGCACACGATCCGCCTACCAGGCCGCATTCGAGACACCACTTTTCTGCGACCCCGACTTCCGCCTTGAGGTCGGCGGAATTGCTAGCGCTACGCAGAAGTCGTGGGCTAGTCACGAGGAGGTGCTCAAGGGAGGCTGGAGCAAGCTTCGATGGCTGTCCAAGTCCGGACATCGCCACGAGCTGGGCTACAACGGCTACTGGAGACAGATTACCGGCCTCGGCGAGGGTGCTTCTTCTACTGTCCGCGCCGATGCGGGTGACAGTGTGAAAAGCAGCATTTTCCACAGCTGGGTCAACGACCAACGTGATAACGCGATGATGCCCTCCCGTGGATACTATGCCAAGATCTTCAACGAGGTTGCTGGCTGGGGCCCGCTGAAGGGTGATGTGTCTTTCTGGAAGTCGGAGGTCGAGACCCAGGGTGCGATCCCCATCCCGATCCCCGGTATCAAGGGTGACAGCGGCGTGAGCTTCACGACCGGGTTCCGCGCTGGTCTTATGGTCCCGCTGGGCCTGGACTCGAACTCTCGTCCTCAACTCTCCCGCATCAATGACCGCTTCCTGCTCGGTGGACCTACCGATGTTCGCGGATTCCGTCTCTGCGGTCTGGGTCCCCGCGAGGGAGCTGATGCTCTCGGTGGCGATGCCTACGCTGCTGGTAGTGCGAACCTGCTCTTCCCGCTCCCCCGTGTTGGCGTGGATAGGCCTCTCCGCATGCAACTGTTCCTGAACGGTGGCCGCTTGCTGCCATTGCGGACGTCGCAGAAGGCTGCTCCCGCGACTAGCAGCGAGGTGCAAGATGCGGTGATCTCCACTGTCACTGATTTGCAAAATGGTCTACCTAGCATCGCGGCTGGTGTTGGTATTGTTTACGCCCACCCGGTTGCACGCTTCGAGCTCAACTTCTCTCTCCCGCTTGTCCAGCGGAAGGGCGAGGAGGGTCGCAAGGGACTCCAGTTGGGAATTGGCATCAACTTCCTATAGAAACATGTATCTGATTAGAGCTTAGCGAGATCAATTATACCTCTCTCCTTATTTGTCCTTTTACTCTATATTTTATCTAGCTTGCACCTATCTCAAAATAACATAAACAAATACCAGGCTCTTTTTCTGCAACTATTTAAGCTCAGAAAGAATACAAATGCATATTGCATAGTTCACTGCATCAGAGCACACGAGTACCTTAGCATGGAGTATGTATACAGAGTGGGTCCGCTGACTCATCAGCCATCAATCACCAAGTGTCCACCTGGAGCTTCAGCTCTACTCCAACACCGCACTCATACCACGTCAAACTAATTCCTCTTTTCCTCCTACGATTCACACTGTGAAATACAACCTGCGCCTCGGATAATCCATTCCTCGCCGCCCACTCGGCAATGGCCCAATATTACCCCCAACAGCAGGGCTACGCACCCCAAGGCTCCGCCCAAAACCTCCAGTTCTTCCCCTCCTCCTACGGCTCTGTCTCCGGCCATACCACTCCCGCACAAGCATCCTACGGCAATAGCGCGGGGTTTGGAGGCGCACCGAACCCCTCAGCCCAGGCGTACCCCGTCGGTGGTGGATATGGGGGCTTCGGATCGCCGGCTACGGGGGTTAGTGGACGGATGGGTGAGCAGGGTGGTTTAAGGACGGGTTGGTTGGCGGCGTTTGGAACGGAGGGGTATGATGGGGAACCGCCTTTGCTTGAGGAATTAGGGGTGAATTTTGAACATATTCGGACTAAGGTGAGTTGTTGCATTTGTGGTGGGTTGTTTTTGTGTTCGAACTGGCCCTTGTGTATACTTCGTGATCACGAGGGGTTCATTTCACACACTTGCAACACTGTCACAATATATAGAATTACATGGGATTTGAATCATACTAACGAGTCTCCTCTCTTCTCCAGACCCTCACAGTCCTGAACCCCTTCGCCTCAATCGACAACCACCTAATGGACGACAGCGACCTCTACGGCGCCCTCCTTTACATAGTCCTATACGGAACCTTCCTCCTCCTCTCCGGAAAGGTCTTCTACGGCTACATCTATGGCGTCGCCGTCTTCGGCGCTCTAGCCCTCCACCTCATCCTCAGCTTGATGTCTCCGTCCGGCGCAGCCCTAGTGGACACCTCCGATCCCGCCAACTACAACCCCCACCACAAACCCTCAATTTCCTCGTCCTCGGCCGGCCATTTCTCTGCGACATTGACATTTCCCCGCTCCGCCAGCGTGCTGGGTTACTGCTTTCTCCCGCTCGTGCTGACCGCTCTGATTGGTATCATGATCCCCATGGATACGTTGTTCGGGTATCTACTCACCACCGCGGCGGTGGGTTGGTGTACGTACAGCAGTTCTGGCATGTTCTGCTCCGTGGCGCGTATGAGTGGGATGAGGGGTCTTGTGGCTTATCCGCTTGCGCTGTTCTATGTTGTTTTTGGGATTATGGGCATTTTCTCGTCTAGGGGGACGGGATCTCTTGCTGCGAAGACGGGGGCTGCTTGATTTGATGTGAAGAGTATCGTCACTTGGGGGGAAGAGCTCCCTTTTTTTGTCATTGATTTTTCCCAGAATCCGGAATGGAATGGGTGGGGTTGGCTGGGCTGGAACCAGGCGTCTTGTCTGAATTTAACATTGCTTTGCCTTGCCTTCGGGTTGAGAAGGCAAGGTAAGCCAATCTAAGCTCTCATATCTTATATGCATACGCATAAGCGCGAGGGAGAGGCTACAATACAGCGCTACCGGGAAGTAAAAAGGTCTCAGGTGTCTACTTACTTACTTTCCTGGAAGGGCTTTGCATCTAATATTATGAATTTCACGAGGTTCAGTTCAGCCACTGTTTTTGATATATAATTATGCATTGTTAGATTCGTCGTCTCGCTCCATGTAAACGCAACTCTTTATGTACATGGTGGATGGGTTAGTAGCCGAACATTTCATGAGAGATATCAGCCTCAATTCCTATCGGATTGGTTTGAGTGATTCGTCCCATTTCGTCCTGGCCGCAGGACTACTGGGGCTGCTCCAGGAGTATCCGACTGCCCATTCGCGATGGATTCTCAAAGAGATGACAGCTCATAAGGCAGAGGCGAATAAGCATCGCAACAAGGAGTTAGGCGGGTGTGAGGGCTAGCTTATACGGACTTGGGGCGGCCGACGAGGCGCCAAGACACGGGGTTGGAGCGGCCGCTCGAAGCCCTAACTGTCCCTTCGAGGCATTCTATATAAACCTGAAAATAAGCCCATAGAAGCAGCAATGCTTCCGTCAATTGGGTTTTTTTTCGTGAATTTTCGTATCATATACAAATCTCCAACCCTTACTCCCCTTTCATTATGCCTGCTATGGATGCGGACCCAGAAAAACGAGGTTGCACTGATATCCTTGCTAGCACCGACTGGAACGACGTCCCTAAGGAGACATCCCCTCGTCCAATTCATGGATGGAAGGTACTGCATTATTCTACCAAACTCTGTGTGCATTGAGAATTGTAGCTAATTGCATGCAGTGGGCTATTGCATACGCCGCTATGATCTCGACGACTTTTCTCTTCGCATTGGACAATACCATCGTGCGTACTCATAAGCTTCCCACCAGCTTCTCATCTTATATTAGACCGGTGCAAGGAAAGTTAGTAGCTAAAAGAAAGTATGTAATTACGGCTATAGGTCGCCGACATCCAACCTGTCATTCTCGACCTATTCGACGAAGTCTCCCTCCTCCATGGATCGGAGTCGGCTTTGCTGTCGGCACAATGTGTGTTTTGCCATGGGGTAAGGTTTACGGAGTATTCAATGCCAAATATGTTTATCTGTTTAATATTGTGCTGTTTGAAATTGGAAGCGCTGTCTTTCCAAAATCATACTGCACCACGCCGCCATGGCTCATATGTGGCTGGCTGACGACTACATCGCCGAGTCGGATGTCGATACTGGCACTAGGGACTCCACCTCCAATACCCACCATCAGGCCGAAGCGGATGGAAGGGAACGCCGACCTCATTTGAATCGCAACAGTAGCAGCTGGGGTGGTTCCTGTCAAGCCATAAGGAAGGCATGCCATGACAATATTATGCTGACCTATACGGCCCAATGTATAAAGATTGCTATCGACATCATTATTTCGAGGGAGACTTGGGTGCCTCTCATCCATCATCTTGCGCGAGGCAGCCAGTTCAATCGAGAGGGCGCATACCCATCCTACGTGTAATCTTCGTGCCGGAAGGGAGGATGTGTCATTGAAAGTCTGATGATGCGGGGGTTGTGTCAGGAAAGCAGGGCAAGTCACTGTTACTGCGTTTCAGTGCCTGGTAAACTGGGATTGGGGTAGAAGGTGTGCAACTGTTGTGCATGTGGGAGTGAAGTTTGAAATGAGGAGGGGCTGCCGTGAGTTGGCCAATTGACGAGGGCAACTCGGCTCGCCTGCAGGTAGTCAGCCTCACTTAAAGGGAGTAGTTTCATTGGGGTTGCCTATACCCTAGTACATGAGCCACAGCCCTCAGTACAATTACTCCGCCCCTGATTTATTAGATTGGCCAACTTCCGCCGTGAGTCCTAATCACATCAGGGAGGCATAGATAATCTTTAAGTAGTCTTGTAACATATGAATAAAACGAAAGCAAAAGAACCCCCGAGCTTCTATCGTACCGTTTCACCCCGAGAAGGCGCCCACTTAGCAAGCCATTCTCGCGTCTTTTCAAGATCACCACCGGCTGCTTCGGCGCCTGCAACACACCATGCCATATCATATGCCTTATCTCCATCGCCGGTAGTTCCCTCCGCGTAAATCATATCTGCTAGATTCCGACGGTGCTGACCCGTTTCATCGGTGCAGAAATAGAATGGGGCGGTGTTGGTTTCTTCGGGTTTGACGTTCAAGGCGTCGACAAGAGGACGGGTTACTTTCATTATCTCGGCCACGCTCATTGTTGCTGCTTCAGGCGCTGATTGTCTTTTCTGCTTCCCGTTCTTGCAGTACTCATTCTGACACCAAGCCTTCCCGCACCCGGTCATCATTTGCGAAAGATATCTTCGTTCAATGCGGCGTCGAAGAGCTTTACCCTCCGGATCATGTGTGTCGACATATAGAGGCCCGAAACAGATATTACAAAGACCAAGAGACTTGTTGCCTGTGTTTGATAAGGTGCGGCCGCAGTTTTGATTGAGACATGTACGTGGCGCGGGTCGGGAAAGTCGTTCTAGATCGTGGTGGCGAAGGTGGGTATTCATATCGCGGAGTCGAATGATTTTGCCGCATAGGTGGCATTCGGTTGTTCGTCCGCCGTCTACTAATTCGTGAGGGGTGAGACCAGAAACCAAGACTTCCGGGTCGAAGAAGTCTGGGTCTGAGTCGCCCTTTTGCGGGACGATCAAATGGCAGAATTGGCACATGATCAATTTACCGGGACACTCGTTGGTCCGGTGGAGAGCTAAGGCGGGCAGGCCTTCGAAGTTGGAGGAACAGTCTGTGCATTCGTAGTTATTGTGGAATATAGAGTCGTGGTGGATTTTGCTGGCGGCGTCGGTACCGTGGGAGGAGTCGTGGGGACAGTGCCAGTGATTCTGCCATTCGGGTGATCGTTTTTGGAAGACGTTATGGCACTGGGGGCAGAAGATATTATTGCGTAGACAGAAGTTCTCGTGGAGAACTAGAGTCCGCTGTGGAACCCATCGTCGACAGTTTTGGCACTGTACATCGTCTGGCTCATGTTCATCGTCCTCGGCTTCGGCCTCGGCGCCATCTTCTGAATCATCAATCGAGATCCGTAGGTTATATTTGACAGGAACTCGTTGTGAAGACTCGTCCTCGGTATCTTCAATCTCAGCATAAGCAGAAATATAGATAGATTCCGCCCCCTCCAGCGCAATATTTGTAGGCCGAATCTTGAATTTCTTCGATCCCTCAGCAGAAAAGTCACCCCAGACATGCATATCTCTCCTTGGACGCCCTCTTTGGCGAGCACTAAGAGGACTGGCGAATAGAGACACGGTAGGATCATCTGTCAAAAGCTCAATCCGAAGCGTTCCCTCGTGCTTCGTCAACTCCCGCAACTCATAGTCCACATTTTCCCCGGGTAACACCTGGGCTGCGACATTCTCTCCAAGAGTGAGGACCCCACCAACCGAACTACCGGCCGTCGTACCAGGTGCCCGTGCAGCTCGCTCTAGTCGCTTTTGCAACGTCTCGCGCGCCTGTTCTTCTGATAGTGCCACGATATCAACTTCGAGATCCGTGTCGACGACGCAAATTCCTTCTCCTTCGGGGTAGACCTTGTCTAGTAGAAATCGGAAGGACTCGGTGCGGGAAGTCGGTACCGTGAGGATCTCGCCAACCGTCAGCGTTGTAAAGTTATCCCGAAGATGTCTTTCCAGCAACGCCTTCCAGTCTTCGGGATCGTAGCCAGCTTCGAGCGGACGAAGACGCACGTATGTGCCCTTGGGTAATTGCTTCGCGTGCACCGTGACCCTTGGGCCCGCGGGTGTGGATGTGGTGGGTATTGTTGGTGGCGTTGGCGTTTGGTGTCCGTTACCTTCTACTCCATCTACCTCCATATCTGGCACTTCTTCACTCTCTTGGGTTTCGGGTGTAGTAAAGTCGTCATCGGAAATCTCGAGGGACTCGCGGAGGAGACTGCTGAGGGCAACTTCATTCTCGGGTGCGGAGAACTCGCGGATCCCCGCATAGACGAATCGGCCATTTTCAGGGTTCACGATGCGAAAGGTCAATGGGTGTGGAAGCTGCTGTTGACGCTGTTCAATCTGCTGACGGGCTCGAGACTCGGCGGCGAAAGTGTGAGGATTGAAAGGGTCGAAGGTATCGCTGTGTTGCACGCGTGCGTTGGAGGAATTGGGAACAGCTTGGAGCGGGGCGGCGGCGAGGAGTTGTTCAAGCGCAGACTGAGGTAGGGTGATTTTATCACCAGTTAATCGAGGCGCGCGCTGGGGAGGTGCCACGGCCAGTTGGGCAAACCATGTCAAAGTGTTCTCGTTCTCCGCCATGATGGAGAAGCTTGAAGGGAAACCCTCGGCGGGGAGGAGCTATCAGATAATGATTATGTACACCCCATCGTACTCGTATAGGGTTCCCAATCGGGTAGGTTCTAGAAGACTCCCCCGCGCCTCCTCTGATTATCAATTATCTATACTCCGTACAGTCAACGGCAATCATCTAAAGTAATCAAAAGAGGTAAAATCATGATTGATTACTACCAGAATCCGAGGACCTGTGAAAGCCAGCCCGAAAGTGACCATTTTGACGCCACAAACGTAGACCTGTGCAATGGGCCGCCTATGGGCCGAGATTTTGCAACCCGCCCATGTGCTGGGTACCCATTTGGCCCCTAAATTGCATTAATTTTATGATTTCCTGAGTATATTTCTTGGTAGTATTTTTTAGTATTCTAAAATTACCTTCTTAACTATAGCGAATCACAGAATAAAATATAATTTGATAAATATATATCTACACTGAATATATATATTCATACACATATAAGATAGTCTACTTATTTGTATATTATATCTAATAATCTTAATCTTAGTAACGATGTCTAGGATTGACAGAATAAATAACAGAACCTTCTATAACCTTGGAAGCAGTATACTGATACTACAACCCTAGCAGCCTTAGTAGAATCTTTTTATAAGGGGGAATATATATATTGAATTAATACTCTGGAACGAACGCTACTTATTCTTCCGAAACAAGACGGAAGCCTTGTTGCTAAGGCTTCTGTCATATGACCCTAGGATGCCGATGTTGAGAGCGGAAATCCCTATTACAATAGTTAATTAATTAAAAAGGTTATAAAGATAAGCAAAATTGTATAATTATGATTTATTCAGGCTTTTCTAACCGGCCTAGATTTAGATTCCATTGCACGAGATGAAAAGGCAAAAGTTTCCTAATACGGAAATATTAGACCCGAGGGAAAGAACGGATGGAGGCATTTTACGGGCTGAGTTGAAATATTCCTTGGCTGGTTAGCGCCAGGATTGTTGATCTTTTGTATTGTACATTATTTTTCTTTATTTATTAATCAGGAGAAGTTCTGTGTGCCCTTGTTGAATATCTAATTCTAGCAAATAGAATAAGTCCCAACAGATTCAGCCAAGTTATTATCTTCGATTGAAAATGGATCCATTGGATGACCCGAAGCCTCATTCTCCGGGCCGCTTGCACGACAGAGTTGCTATCGTCACAGGGTCTTCATCCGGCTTTGGAAGAGCGATAGCGTTTAGATTTTCACGCGAGGGCGCAAAGTTATTATGTGCTGATATCACACCTGAGACAACGAAAGCAGGATCACGAGATGCAGATCGCGCATATACCACGCATGAATACATTGTTGCGAAAGGCGGTACGGCCGAGTTCGTCAAAACCGATGTTGGCCATGAGTCGTCGGTACAGGCCTTGGTCGCTCGTGCGGTTGAGCTGCATGGCAGGCTCGACATATTCATCAACAACGCTGGGATTTGTCCAGAATCTGCACCAGATCAGATATCAGAATTGATTCATGAGCAGGAAGTAAAAGTGTGGGATACCACCATGAGAGTCAACGCACGTGGATCCTACCTGGGCTGCAAGTACGCGTGCGAACAATTCATGAAACAAAACCTTCTTCCATCGGGGGACCGAGGCTGGATCGTCAATATTGGATCGACAGCATCGCTGACTGCCTCACAAGTTGGTAAGTTTTTGGCGTTTCAGGTATCTGCGACAAGTGAAGTTTAACCCATATTATACATATCAGCTGCATACGACACTAGTAAAGGGGCGGTTTTACAACTAACCAAAACGGTCGCCGTGTCTATGGCACCGTACAAGATTCATTGCAATATTGTTTGCCCTGGGGGTCTGTCATTACCGCCATCAAAAGAAGCTATAGAGGGCTACTGACTTTGAACGTTTTTTAGATGCCACCACGGCCTGTTATGACCCGCACGTGAATGATAGGGAAGCAATCAACAAATCCATTTCTCTTTATCCCTGGGGTCGATTCGGGAAACTGACAGAAATTGCTGGTGCAGTTCTCTTCCTAGCCTCAGACGATGCTGGATATGTGACTGGCGCCGTCCTATCTGTCGATGGCGGCTTTGTTTCGCAGTAAACCTACCTGTGTGTAGGGATCTTACAGAAAGATTTGGTTGATGAGCCAGGCATAGTTGTTTTTGAATTTGACCCAGAGCCAGCCTAAAATAGCGCTTCTGGCAATGATGAAGAGAAAAGCGATGACAAGCAAGATGGGGGGGGGGGGTTCTGAATCGTCTTCAACACCACGCGACCTGCCTCATTATTTTGAATTACATCTTGCACCTCGCTGATCCTTTTCAATGACGTGAAGGTATTGGGGATGATCATGTATCCCGCAAGCAATATCCAGTTGGCTGCATTCGCACAAAGGTTGAATCTCCAATCCATCTATGCTTCTTCTTTCAGCATCTTTGTGTAGAGCGTATCAATTTTGTATTCTAGAGGCTCGATTCTTCATTTGAGCCGCGAACAGTGCTCCCATGACATGATGTTGCGTGCCGTCCATTGTTGCAAGAGCTAGTAATCTGGGCGGGCATGGTGCGGTATACACAATGGAATTCAGGAGATAGTGGGGTTTTAATACTCCAGCTGACGTGATCTGTCAAGGACATTACTGGCAATACGACGGTGGTATTTAAGAACAAGCATCATATCAACAGAAAGCGTTCATTGTCGAGGGGTCGGAATCGGATAGCGGCCAACTTCCTTGGCTTACACGGGGGGAGTTGGCAGCTGTTGTCTGACCCTGTACATCATGCACCCGGCCCAAATAGTTCTGAGGGAAACTATGCAAGGCATGAGGACCAAAAGGTACGATAGCAATCACGTCATCGTAACCGGCTCTTCTCATAATTCTACAGATACCGAGTCTCGAGAAGAAACCCATCAAAGAATTGGCAAAAAGGAAAATCGTGCGACATGGACAGCTGATTACTGAGTATCTCATCCTTTGGTGCTCTTGGGAAAGCCTGGATTAAGGTAGAGAGCAGATGAATAATTTCCTGCCTGATGATGATAAATGCGACCGTTGTTTTTGAAATGGTCGAAGGTGCGACGCTGCCGAAAATGGGATGCCTGTGCCGTTCAGTTGGCGAAGTAAATCCCTTGGCCCGCTCACGAGGCAACAGAAATTGAATACACTTAGCAAAAAGGCTAGTGTCATAGAAACTACTACCGTTGATCAAATTGAGCGGGGGAGCCCCAGGGTGTTTGTGCTTGGTAGGCCACCACGCATTTCACATGCTTTGTTTGCCATTGTATGTGCAAGGCGCAACAGGGACAATTTGCACAATTAAAGCTTTGGGGTACAATTCTCCAAGTCTCCTTTGGATTGTAGCTGAATTACATTGAGGCTTCCAGAGGGAATGCAGGACTTATCATATTTCCAGATTTCGGAGATGATGTTTTGCCCACCACTGTTACAGCCAGTCAAATCATGAAGAATTCGGTGCATTCAACGAAGCAACTAAATCTAGAGGAGAAAAGAGGAAGAAGTTCTATCTATAGCATGGAAGCCTTTTTGTTGTAGGCTAAAGGAACCTTCTATCAAACTCCAAACACAAGTTGGCCAGTTCGCTACTCGACCATTCTGCTCCAGTTCGTCCTCGATCGTCACAACCACTAGACAATTTACAGCAGGTTCGGAAACATCCATAGTCCAGCGGAGCTACTAAAAGTAGGCACGGTAATCTCAAATCTCGGCCGCGAAGTGGCTAAACGATGTTTTCAGGGGATTTATAGCCTAGTTTATCCATCTTCGGCACAAGCCCAAACTTCCCCCCTCCTGGGTTTGACGTGACTTAGGACCTAGCCTCTTATCGAAGCATATTCGTAAGCGTAAACGAATTACGACCTTGGTCATGTAATATTTCTTTCGGATTCGATTTGTCTGATACTGGCGTCTTGCTGCTTAAAGCTTTGTGGATACTCTTTGACTTGCCACATTTCAAGCAGGCGCCTCTGGGAAGGCATTTCCCTAGAATGATAATGATGATAAATTCTTTTGCCCGATTTAGCTTGGTCTAATATATACTGCTATGCGGGAGTGCTGTTAGGCCTGCCGGCAGCTTCAAAGTGGTTGCCAACCCACTGAACGACCGTTTTCATAGGGCTCGCTGAGCGGACCCCCTGAATGGGCCGTTCGAGAATGATAGGTTAGTTAGTTAAAAGTAAACCTAAATCGATTACGTAAGCACATTGAACATAGGAAATTAAAACGAGCGCCACCCACGCGTCCCCAATAACACCGCGAACTACACTACACAACTCCTCCCCCCTACTCTTCTATTTTACTGTACCTTTTCACTTCTCTCATGATTTCCATCAAGCAACGGTTATCATATCCTCCATACTCAATGGCATAAGATAAATTATCTGTCATAATATGAATGAATCAGGAACTGCCTTCTTCTTGATGCCCCGTAGGAGTTATATTGTCAGTTATAGCAACTTCAGGATTCAGTATTATTCATATACATTCTAATTAATTCCTAGAAAAGAAAATTGCAACTTCGGAAAAAGCCCCACTATGAGACGATCGATGAATGTGATTAAGCTGAAAGGTCTCTGAACCTGAAGCGATTCAAATAAATGCCTGACGCCTACACAGGTGTTCGGCTCAGTCGATGCCAGGAGCAGCAGGCCAACCGCCATCTCGCAGGCCAACCTCTTTAGCACCTGTGACTCTCTAAGTACTACAGTCTGGTATTTTACACAAATGAGAAATCTAAATGAAGTACTATTATTGCCTTTTGATAAATACATCGAACAGGGTCTCGTCAAATGTGTGAACAGTTAGGGAAGCAACCTGTACCCAAATATCCCCTGGAATGCACAATACCGGTTTCTACCACGCCTTTTCCTAGAACTTCGGTATGTTCAGGCTCTCATTGGCGCCCTTAGCTTTAATCTAATTGTCAGCGTGAGTGAGTCGTCGTCTGGCTCCCAACGTTTCAAGACGTAGGGGCATATTCGAACGGATTATGGCGATACCACTCAGCAACACCGTCAAGCTACACTAGCGAAGACGGGCTAACAGCAAACGCTATTCAACATGCGGAGCCAATGGATATTCTCTCTGAAGCAGTTTAGATTCATGCATTCCATTGCTATACGTAGATACATCATACATCTTACAATCTAACCAGAGTGGCTATATATTGGGTCCCAGTGTCCCGCAAGGGCTCTGAGCGAGATCCTTGACGTCATTATTGACTGGCGATGCTTAAACTGAAAACTGCGCTCTGTCTCAGAGCCTTGACACGGACAATGAAATTAAGGTACTGCAGGCCCTCGAGGCGTTCTTCTTTCAAATTATGCAACCTAAGCGTAATGTTAGTATCTTTATACAATATGACATTAACCCAACCACACCAACTAGCTGCTGCAAATCGAATGCAGTACAAAAGGTAGGCTTTAAAGTCTACGAGTTACATTATATATTACGCTCGTAAACCAGTTCGCGTCATCTTGTCAAGGATGATGACATTTTGAAATTGATGCCAGATCAATTGACCAATCGCTTCTTCATCTTTGCCAAGCCTCGGCTTCTTTCACAAATGTGGACCACAAACGAGGAGAACCTGAAATCACCCATGAACATGACTATTGGAAGGCCACCCAAAGAGTTCTGGAGGCGACCTGGTGAGAGAACGAGGTTGCATTGATTATGACGCTAAGCAACCTAAAGTCGATCATGCTCATCTCGTCAATCACGAGGATGTTCTTATGGGCCCATAGTTTTCTGATGCGACTGGTCACCTCTGCACTTTATAAGAATAGTGATGCCTAGAGAAGTATGACATGTATTTCAATTGGTTGAATATTAAGAACATGAACACTTCAATAGTTAATCTATAACCTTTCTCTAGAATGGGTCTTCTTGTCAACAAATAATACAGAGAGCATTCGAATTACCCCAGTACATGCAGCAGATACTTGCCGACGATAGAAAGATAGAATGTCGGACGAACGGCAATTTCCAACTAATTTACTTCAACAAGCCTTAATATATTCCTAAACACACTTCCAGTTTCGGAAATCTTTCCAGTCGCCTCCTTGAAACACATTGCGTGTGGGATACTTACAATGGGCGCGCTGGAGGTCGATCTCAGCGGTAAAGTCGTCATTGATATACTTCGTACCAAGTAGCACCTCAGGACCAATACCAATTTCGACCCATTTTACCAATGCCATTAAAGCATTTTGGTCAGGGTGAGTTGCGACCGGGGAATAGCCTGGCTGTCCAATGTACCAGGCGCCCGATCCGCCACTGCAGTGGCCCATGCCGCCAATTTTGAATAAGCGATAGAACTCATCCATCTGGCTGGAAGAAAGTCCCATTGTATGTGAAACGTGCTGCCAGTAAATTCTGTCGATGGTCGAAGGTATATAAGCATCTTGAGTGCCGTGGTATGCAAGAATCTTGGACCCTCTTTCGGCGAAAGCAGTGAGGTTTCCCGACCAGACTTGTAGGCCGCCCGGATCTTTCTGTCGAGCATAAAGAATGTCATCCTGAGTCATCGATAGGGAATCCCACTTTGGGTCATCGTATACTGCGAAGCGAAAGTAATCCTGCGCTGCTTCATGCGGCTGGCCAGATAATGTGCCCCATGGCACGATCTCAAGCTCACTACTTGGAGGGAGGCCGGGATATATGAAGATTTCGTCCTGTACCAAAAAGTCAGAGTAGACTTTTCCAACTGTCACAGCCTGAGGAGCAGTAAGGCATTGATCGAAATCTGTGCTGCTTGGGCTGCATATCAGCTGGCTAGGATCATAAGCACATGCAGACGGGTACTCCACAATACCGTCCATCGCACCATCCAGACCGTCACATTGTTCAATGACATTTCCATGCACAATCTCCCACTTTGAGAGGGGCACGAAAGACGCCGCTTCGGGGGCCCCAACAATCAGCCTGAAATTGGCCGTCCAGGAGAAAAGATCAACGCCTCTGAGGGCAGCACATCCTACCAAAATCCCATCGAAATCGTCTGGAAAATCTTGCGCCTCTTTCCAACCTTGACCGCCCCCTCTTGAACAGCCATAATAATAGGCCTTGGTACTTGGCTGACCGTAGAAGGAATGCACAATCTGCTTTCCTACGACAACCGCAAGATGCGCACTAGATTGGATTAGTACATCAGGATCTAGAAGATCGGGGGTGTTATCTGAATATATTACGATCTTGACCCAAAATCCAGAAGACTCTCCTCATTCCTGTAGAAGCTGAAGCCACGGGTCCCATTATGTCCCTCACTATGGTCAGTGGTTGCTGGTATGTTCAAAGAATCGCTTAACATACCCCATTCCCAGAGACTGAGGCAAAACCCATGCTGTTTCCCCATGCCAAGTCTTCGTGTTGAATGCCTTCGTCTTGCGTTAGGGCTTTTGGAAGGCAACTGATTCTTTAGGAAACGTACAGCCGCCTAGAGCCCCATTGCCAGTGCTCAGTAGTCGACCAGTCCAATTCCGCGGGAGCCAAGTCTCTATGCTGATTTCTGAGCGATCAGAGGTCCTCAGAGCGGACGTTATTCGACACATGTCCACCGTTGTGATGAATGGGACAGTGGTCCCCCATCCAGGATCGGTGCATCTGGCAGAACCCTTTGACAACGGCTCATCCACGGTCAAATTCAACTCTGTCCCAGCAGCAACGTACTGAGTCGTCCAGACTGTGAGGTCTGCGATGTTCAGTTTCTTCGCTAGCACATCACAATTATGAGCGAATTCATCCTGCTCCGTTCCAATGAAAAGTAGATCTCCAAGGAGACCAAAGGCACTAGGCGCAATGAGCCAGTGGGCAACTGAGATGGCTACTATCAAAACCACGATGGACTCTTTGCGCCCAGGACCATCAAAAATCTCCGAAATAAATGGGTGCATTATTGTCACAGCGCGACAGCCAGTCTGAAATTGATTTAATCTCTGATAGTTAGGCTTTGGATTCGCTTCAGGTGTGTAGGAAGAATCGGATAGCGAAAGTTGAGCCAGCGAAATTCATGCCTGCCTGGGAACAATTGAGTTTTCCGAACTCGAGCTTTTAAGCAAGACTTTACGGACACATTTAGTTCAGGCAGCCACCCTTGTCTTGATGGTCACAGTCAGGGAGTTATGATCTGGTTGTATATTGGTCATTCAGGCTAGTTTATCTTAAAATAGTGGTTCTACCCGCACCGGTCTATGCGACGGGTGGTGGGGTAATTCCAAGAATATCCAACCAAATACTGTGTCGCCCGGAGACTTGCCAAACTCACCGCAAAGGATATCAAACATAGTCTTAAGGGACATTAGAGAAGAATACCGGGGATGACTGCGCTTCCTCCCCTTTATACTAACCTGGTTGCATCTTGGTTATTCCAGAAAATCAAGGAGTCTCCGCCTCTTCGAGGGCCTGCGCCAGATTCGGAGTTCAACCCGCAGGCGAAAACCGAGTTTTCTTGATGATCACGATGAGTATCTGCGTGTGGTCGGGGAGTAACTGGTGGTTGCTAGAGTACATGTAGTAGAGCAGGAGTTCAGCGTATCTCCGCAAGCCGTAAATGATGCCCAGGGTATATGGGGTTGGCGTTGGTCTGTTATCATGCCTCGGGAAAGTTTGAGATCAACACGAAGGATAATCAAGAAACATCGGCGACAAGCAGTATTTTTTTGCAACATGAAACCAAACAAACACAAAACAGCAACTGAATCTCAAAGTGGGCGCGGTTTTGTGTCTTATGGTTTGCGTCCTTACGTTAGTCCCTGGACTAATGCCAAGAATGTATTTCTCGATAGTCAACGCCCCACTCCAGTTGTTCAACCAGGTCAGCCACTCAGGAGAGCGCCGCCAAGGTGTAAAGGTTGCGGGGAGATTGTGCATAAGATCAATAAATTTCAAACTAGCTAGTCTCAAATCTAGATCATATTTGTTTGATTTAGAAATCATGTCGCTGTTCAGCAGTGATTTACAAAATTTCGCCGGCTTCGACAGATTCTAACTCAGCAGTCCTGCCAATCAAGAAGACTGGAGCATTTGATTTGAAAATATTGTATGGCTACTCTTCGGCCTGGATCTTTTATGCTGTCAATCGAGGAGTATGATGCCTACCAAAAATTATTATTGACATGGCGCAAGAACTCGGCTTGATCTCATTGTCTATGCTACCGTTGAGCCTTCTTCGATTTCTCGTTGAGCCACCCATAATCACATTGGCACGAAGTTTGACTTCTTTGCATATTGGTGTAATGTAGTTCCTTTTGCATCTGTCATATTTCCCATTGCCTGAACAGCGTTTTCCCTGACGAGGCCTTGATACACTTGGATAGGAATAATGAACCTGCTTTTGGAGTAAACACACCAGGATAGTGCACTGATAGCAGTTACTGTACCAATCACGGCACTAGTGTAGTTCATGTTGTTTGCCGTTACAGGTAAATAGAGAGGAAAGCACATCCACACAAACATCCACAACATCCAGGCCAGGCCAAGAATATTGGCAACAATGCCAAATCGTCCGAGATTAAAATACCGGGTTTTGGGGAGCGTTGAGCGTGCCTTGAGCATTAAGATGATTGGACTAAAATAGGATATATAGACGCACAGTAATCCGCCGCCAAGAATGGCGTTCAGAGCAGTAGTAGACCCTATGCGAGATGGCGCTGATCAGCACGGTGAGGACAGCCAAGAATGTAATAGCATTGACCGGGATAGAGTAGCGCTTGTTTACTCTACCAAAAAACTTTGGAAATGGAGTTCCCTGGTGCTCCGCAAATGCCCACCATGACCGACCGGCGGCACAAAGACAAGCGGCGGCAGCAGCTATTTCACCGACTAAAAGGATAGCTGTTGCAGTGACCGTCAGAGCTTTTGAATCGTATGCGTCAAGGTAGAGCTGAACGATGGGATTGTTGCCAATAGGAGTGAGCAAGTTTTGCGGCTTTGTGTTGCAGAAGGTATAAGTGAAAAGCATTGGAAGTCCGGCAAGGAAGCTGATGGCTGATGCGCCCACCATCACAAGGGGTACCACCCGATGTGGATCTGGTACTTCATCGGCCATATGAGTAACACAGTCGAATCCCGAAACGAATCCTACTCCCGGTACCAACCCGATGAAAAAGACCACGACATTGCTGTCCCATCCAGTGGCATTGATCATAGAGACAAAGACATCATGTGCAGATTGTTTCGGATGCGCTCGAGCCAGCAAGCTGACAAAGATGAATAAAGCGCCTAAATTGAACCAGTACAACATGGCCTTAGAAAAGTGAGGGTAAAAATTGAAAAGTGGAACGTTAAGTATCCAGTTGACCAATGTGAAAGCAGCAACCAGTAGGTAGATCTGCCAGGAAGAGGCCGAGAATGAGGGGTAAAAGGCTGTCACAATAGCGGAGAGTATCTGAGCAGCCAAGAGATTTGTGCCACCGACCCATAGAAACCATCCTGAACAAAGCATCCAGCCGGTATAGTAACTCAGCGAGCGAGCATGCTTGTTGTTGGAGAAAACTGCAGTCCAGTAGATCTGTCCCGAGGCAGAAGGATAAACAGCTGCGATCTCGGCCAAGGACAGGCAAAGAAGGAAACTGAAGGTGCAGCCTACTAAAGTAGGAGTAGATAAACACGGGAGGCCCGCCTACACCCACGATCAGGGAGAGGTAGCCGCCCATTGCCATCGGAGTAGCTTGAGCTGAAGCCATCAACCCTACAGCACTCCAGATGTTGAAACTTTTCTTCATCTGCTCGTTGTGGTGGACCTCGCCAACGACGACCTCGTTGGGCATGGCGGAATCGACATGCGGGCGAGAGGCTTCGAGTCCTGCAAGATGTTGGCTCATACTCGAAGAGCCACTGCACGGTGAGTGACGAATATTGTAGAAGGTACGCAGGGCGATAATCCTCGAAGCTGTGGTAGGCTTAAGGAGTTATGTGGAGAGTTCCTTGGACCAAAAACATGCAATTATCAGGCACCCCGCTATCTTCAAACAACCTTTGGCCCCCCTACCTTATTGTTGTTCGTAGTCAAAGCCTGCCTATTTTATCGATTATACGCACCCTGGATGGGAGTCAGTGGTTGCTGAAAGGGAATCCATAGCCGACACTGTGCCAGAAATTTAGAAAATACGCTGTCAGAAATAGACTGGCTCCGCGTATTATCGCTGTACATGTCCAGGCGAACGGGAAAACTAGGCTGCGGCACATCCGAGAATGCGAAGAACTTTGGTATTCGCTCCACAATTTGCGGATTGTTGACGCTACTGTAGTTTAATGTCTACGTGGTGCATTTCCCACGGAAGGGACCAAAAAGGAGCCTTATGGAGGAGGGAGGCGCGGATTGTTTCGGTACGCCGGGAAGGATGCCTACATCAGGGTGGGGTTAAGTACAGGAAATAAAATGGCGAGTTGAAGGAGTGGTAATTCCCCACTTAAGACCCTTTTGGGATAGGATTGGAATGCAGGCATTCCTTCGCGAATAGGGAGTCTTCGGGTTTCAGCAAGGATTTACAGTTTCTGAAAGAATGGCCCCAGCACATGAATGCCGATAGCTGTGATATTCGTTAGTAATCGTCGAACAATCGGGTCTTTTATGAGTTGATCAGCAGCGAGTTCTTTGAGTGCATCATGTAGTTGTACTGTGCCAGTACAGTGACGTGACATTATTAGCCTACCCTTAAGCACCTCACTAAGAAGAATCCTTAAACCCCTGAGAACTGAGACAGACGGATAATTTTACTTATTAGCAGCACATTTCCTAGTATATTCTAACAAATGTATAGTTAACTAACGTTAGTTACCTCTTTACACTGGTAAGCATTGGGTGACGGTCCTTTTAGAAGCGCCATCGGCTTTACAAAATGCTGACTATCCCCGTCAAAGTATAAATAAGAGCAAGCAGCTAAAACAAGCTCGCTTAGATTAAACTTTCCTCAAAACGTGAAAATCGCAAAAATTACAGGGCTCATAAAATCGATGAGGAGTTCTTTGTTCATGGATTTGATTTTTCTGCTTATTGGCTTCCAAACTACTTTGACTGCGCCGCTTTCGGAAGTCAGCTGAGTGAAAGTTTATTAGGATCAAAAAATGGAAGAATAAATAGCGGAAGAAAAGTTACTGCTAAGCGCCCACAGATTATGGGTCCAAAGCGGGGAGTGCGCGTAAGGGAAATGTGCTCGATAATAAATCAATCCCAGACTGGCATAGGCCTAAAGAGAAATAGATGCGCGCAACGTAGCCCCGCATCCTCCAGATCGGGCTTTAATTTCTCCTTTTGGAATACTTAGGCAGTTTGGAAGCTTTTGAGTGCAAAGGTCGTGTTTAATGTTTTATCGCCACATTTTGCTTTGTTCCAGGCTCGCCCTATGTTGGTTCACTTGACTCCAGTTATCCAAATGTTCACAATCTAAAAGTATATGATTGGCATGAGCCCTGAACACCACTGCTTTATTAGAACTTATGGGAGCTGCAGTCCTGTTTAACATATTGAATTATAGAAAGAATGAGTAACCAAGACTCCGCAACTTGTCTTGATCGGATGAGTCTTCCTTCTTTGTGTCCAATGCGAGCCCCCGGGTTGAAATACATCCAGGTCCCCTCGGTTGGCTTCGGGACATGGGCTGCAGGTATTTCTTCCCCGATTTCCATCTCCCACTCCTAATCAAGGAGGAGAAACTGATAGCATCACCAAATCTCCAGAGGATCCGTCGTGGTGTACCCAGGCCGTTATTGATGCCCTACAAACTGGAGTTCGCCATCTGGACTGCGCATGGGAATACGGAGTGAGTTAATTCTAGAGAAAATTACATCTATGAGGTGCGAAACTTTCTAACCATTCTCCTTCATTTTATAAGGTGGACCGCGAAGTCGGTGAAGGAATTCGGCAATCTGGCATCCCCCGTGAAGACATCTTCATCACAACAAAATTCTGGCCCAACTTCGCTGATCCGAAGAATGTTTCCATGGCTATTGATAAGATCCTGGACTCCATGGGGCTAGACTATGTGGATTTATTACTTGCACATTTTCCTGCTGCTATCAAACCTTCCGGGGACCTCAACAGTGCCGTCAACTTCACCGGGGCCACACTTCAAGATCAAAGATGCTCTGAGGAAAAAAATGGCAATTATTTGCCGGACTTAGAGCACTGCCCTCGCGCTGTGGCTGCAATAAATGGGTTTCCAGGTGTGGGCAGCTTCGTGCCTACCTGGGAGGCAATGAAGTCACTCGTGCGCGCAGGGAAATGCCGCGCCATTGGAGTTTCCAATTTCGAGCGCGTGCATCTGGAGGAAATTCTTCCATATGCGTCTCATGAGGATATACCTATTTCCTGTAACCAGATTGAGGCGCATCCATGGTATCCTAATGTTGAACTAATCGAGTTTTTACATAAGGAAGGAATTTTGCCAACAATATATAGCCCGTTCGCCCCTAAGACTTTTATGGTGAAGTCTGGGGTGGTTGAAGGGTGCGAATTTGCTCCAAATGGAGTGACACTGCTGCAGGAGCCGGTTGTTAAGGAGATTGCCTCAAGTAATGGCATGGACGTTGGGCAGGTCTTGCAGAGCTGGGCAGTTCAGCGAGGTACAGTACCATTGGCAAAAAGTCGATCTAAGACACGCATCGCCAGTAATATGAAAGTTCGTCGGCTTTCTAAGGAAGATGTTGCGCTCCTGGATTCTTTGAAGAAAGACGGGCTGTCGGGGAAATCGACTGATGTGAATTTACTTTTTCCGGGTGTCCGATTGCGATAATATTGGCTTGATCTTGAGCTTATATAGAAATTTGATACTACCAGATTCATGACATCCTGTTGCTGCATACTTTCCTCGTCCCTTAAGCCTCAGGGGCTCACGAAGATGACGAATTAAGAATGGGGTCTGTAAGGAGCGATTGCTCCAGAGGATGAAAGCGCGAGGGATACCGGAGGTCCTGCTCCGGTGGGTCGAAGCGTTCTGCTCGGAGCGAACGGCGACTATCCAGATCAATGGGCAAGCATCTGAGGCCCAAAGCCTCCCACAGGCAGGGCTGCCTCAGGGATAATCCCTGTCCCAATCATCTTCCTCTTCTTCAACGCAGATCTCGCTCGTACAGCGACAAATCGACGGCCAGGGAGGAGCCTTTGTGGATGACTTTACCGCATGGGTGACCAGGCCGACTGCGCAGAGCAACCGGCAAGGTATCAAAATCATCGTCAATGAAGCACTCGACTGGGAAAAAAAGAAGTGGAGCGACGTTTGAAGCGGAGAAGACTGCCATTATACACTTCGCCCCTAAGGCCCACAAATTGGACTCGGAGCCATTCACTATCAAGGAAGAGACCGTTGAACCCAGAGGCCATGTCAAGGTTCTTGGCGTCATAATGGACGCGAGACTCAAATACAAGGAACATATCGCGAGGGCAGCGTCCAAGGGACTCGAGGCGGCGATGGAGCTTCGGCGGCTTCGGGGTCTATCCCCTGCAACAGCGCGGCAGCTATTCACATCGACCGTAGCCCCAGTGGTGGACTATGCCTCCAATGTCTGGATGCACGTATTCAAGAATATGAACATCGGGCCGATCAACAGGGTGCAGAGGATAGAGCGTAAGCGATTGTCGGGATATTCCTCACAGTTGCCACCAAAGTAGCGGAAGCGGAGGCTCATATCGCCACGGTGCAACACCGGCTCTGGAGACGAGCTGCGAAGATGTGGACAGACCTTCATACCCTACCAGCAACCAATCCCCTGCGTAAGGATTATTTTGCGTCGGTACTGTATTTGTTAACCTTATATATACTCCAAAGATAATCTTCGTTACAGATTAATCCTTATACATAAGTGCCGTTGCTCCTAGAGTAACCTAGGCAAAACCTATAATACTTAAGATAGACCTAAGAGTAAGAATAAATTTGTTGATATTAATAACCTATTGTACGTTTGGGATGCGTTTACTTATATCTTTACAGTCTAGAGTCGCTGCGCTTAACAGAAATAGGATATGGTATAGACTATTGTTTTGAAGAACTAGAGCTATAGTTATTTCTAGATAAAATACGAGACAAGACGCTTTCGAAGATTCAAAAACCTTAGCTATCCTTTGTACAGTAGAGATCCTCGTTCTTTGTATGCCTAGAACAAGAGAAGGAGAGGTAGAAATATAATGTTGTTGAGAATATAATATAATATTAAAGTTAGTTACCGGAAAAGGGGAGGTTTTATATAGTACTTAAACTAACAACCGAGTTATAAAGGGTTTGCAGGAATTCAGAGTCGTTATAATAGCTTCTAAATAATACTCGATTATTGCAGAACTACGACTAGGACCAGTACTGCCTATAGCCAGATCAGAAGAAGGTAGAAGGATATACTGGTTAGCGTACATTAAAGGCAAGTATGATATATTTCTAAACGGATACAATTAAAGAGAGTGTAGGTTAGGGTATGTTAGAATCTGGATTATTAAGGGCCACCTTATCTTATCTAGGCTAGTTGACTGAATATATAAGGGACTCCAGAAGAGCTCAACTCGAACTCTATCCTATCTGAACAAGTCTAGGCTGCTTTGACATAAGGACGAATAATAATAGAAAAAGTAAGTATTACATTTGCCCTTAAAAGCAATACTAATAATTATTTCTATACTGACAAAGACAAAAAGCAAGATATATACCCTATAAGACTTTAGCCAGGAAAAAAGAATCAGACTGATTCTAAGTAGATCAGAAGGTCAGAGTTATCGTAGGTTTTAGTCTTTCTAGTTATAGTACATTGATTATTGAAAGTAGTGTCCCTAACCTTAAAATATACCACTAATGTTAACGAGACTATAATATTATACAATAAAAACCTCATCGATTATACGAAAACTAGCGGTTACCTTCAGAGTATTTATATTAGCGAATCTCATACCTATTATTATAGGGTTAAACCACCTATATTAGTCTCAGCCTTATATTGTTGAAGATTATTATAGGTTAAGACTAGTACACAATATAGTCAACCCTGCCTACAAGAGTAGATTAGAATTAATAATATCAGAATAAACGAGTCGTAATTAGACAAATCTACTAAAGTAATCTAGGCTTAGGGTCAGTATTTATATTCGGGCTGGTCAGAATTAGAATAGACATAAGTAGCTTAGCTTCATACTAACCCTCAGCCACCTATAATTCTACATCTTGAGGGTAGACTATCCTTCTCAACCTCACAGATAAAAGTAAACATTTACTTCAGAACTTATCGAAAAGACAACCTTCACTATACGCTCTAATCCTAACCATTAATACTCTCTAACTACAGCCTAAATAGTTAATCCAGGCCAGCAATCAGCGCACTTATATTATTATCAAAAAGATCCATCATAATAGGGCCTTCTGGCAAATTTAGGGTTTGAAATAGGTCAATAGCGAATAGGCTTACTCTTGGCTGTTCTGCTTAAATTAGTAACGGCTAGACCAGTCGACCTGTAGTAGCTATGGAACTCAGTATAGTATCAAAGACTCGAAATATTACTTTACGGCCCTTTTTACAGAGATCTTGATCGCCAAATCCTGGTTCTAAGTTGCCTAGCTTTACTGTAAAGATTACTAAGTCTTGAATCATTCTGCTGTATAGCAGAAGTAGGTCAGCTGGATACACTGGCTACCGTTCCTGCTAGAGAAGCTTGATCGTAAGGATCACTGCGCTGCATATTCTATATACCGTAAGGAAATAGTGTAAGATGGGAATGCTCGTAGGCTATCTGCGTTGGCAGACGGGTCGATCGCAAAGAGACAAAACCACCATACTCGCAGAGTGTAGGAAGACGATAGGCAAAGTATGACGCTATAGAGGATTGACAGAACAAATAACAGAACCTTTTATAAGTAGTATACCAATACCACAACCTTAGCAGCCTTAGTAGAATCTTTTATAAGGGAGAATATATATATTAAATTAATACTCTAGAGCAAACGCTACTTATTCTTCTAAAACCATACAGAAGCCTTATTGCTAAGGCTTCCGTTATATAACCCTAGGATACTAATATTAAGACCGGAAATCCCTATTACAATATATAATATATATTCTGCTATATACTGATTATTTATATAGGATTTAGTAAATATCTTACTATACTTTATCTAGAATCCGGTTTATTATAGAATGAATACCTATTTCATATACTTATCTTTTGTAAGATATATATCAGATAGATATTCTAGAAGAAATTCAGAGATTATCTGGCTATTAGGGTCCTAGATAACCTTTCTACTGTATTAAATATTTATACAGTCTATACTATTATAGTAGATATAGTTATAAAGTAGCCAGAGACAGAAGATTAGTTTAAAAATAAGCCCTTGGTGATAGTTATCTTACCACCACCCACCGTTCGGGTCAATGTTATCGTTCCTTATTGCGGATTGCGTGCGCGGATAGCGATAGAGCTCGGATGCTCTGAATGTTCTATCTCTAGGGTCCTGCCTACTCTCTACGATACGTGGCACCCTGCGGGTGTGGTGTTGTCTCTCTTGCTTCTCTCCCCTCGTCTGTAGTGCGCAGACTGCCATCGAGCATTCCCATCTTACACTAGTTAATTCAGGTGGTCTAAGTAAGAAGGCTTATTAAAACGCGATACGCTAGCTTGACTGCTTGACAAAAATTAGCTTCGTGAAGTTACCACTAATTGGCGGTCTTTCCCTTTGTAAACAGAATGTACCTGATTAATTTCGTTTTATTAAACAGTTGAACCTATTGTGATTTAACACAACTAGGAGCATTCTCTGTTCTTCCAACACATTCCCGATTTAGGAGAACTGTAATGGTTACTTAATTGTCAGGCTAGAGACCTGTGACTGTTTAATTAGGCGATTTTGAATAATACGTTTGATTTTTAAATAATAATAATATTGTAATAGTGGGTCATTAAAACAATCAAAAAACATACTGTAAAGGTGCTTATTGGCTAATATATCTGCGCAAGCAGACACCTACCTTGGATGGAAGAGCTATACCAATCTCTTCCATCCCAGCAAGCTACTAGTTCCCCTCGAGAAGGCAGAGATCAGGACGGTCAGCAGGGGGTTTCAAACCTTTGCAACGCCACTGTACAGAGGTCCATATCCATAGGCGAGTACGGGTATGAACTTCTGTACACGCGGTATACCCATTTGCCAGGTCTACCTTTGCCGTTATATTTGCACCTGCAAACTGAAAAACAAGCTTATCAACTACTCACTATGCTGGGTAACCTTGAGAAGTGCTGAGGGGGTTTCAGGGGCAAAGTGGAAGGCGCTGTGAACCTTGACTCCGTATTGATAAAGTAGCCAAATTTTACTATTTTCGGATAGCCGATTCTCACGGTGATGGAACGACCGCTCTATTTGAGTCAATACCGTTCCATTTTCATATCACTCTCGAAATCCAAATTTAAAAGAGCGATAAGATACTCGTTGGTTTGGGAAACCAATTCTCTTGTCCTTCAACCGCCACCAATCAAAACAACCGATTCAACCTACTGGCTAATTTCCCAAATACCTCCTGTCAAACCGCAATGACTTCCGACAAAAACCCGAACTTGACAGTCAAGGCACTACAGGAACGCCTTAGGCTTCTCGAAGACAAGCAAGAACTTCACGAACTTCTCGATCAGTACTGCAAAACTCCGGATAGACATGACTTTCAAGGCCACGCAAACACTTATGCCGAAGATGGGCAACAGCAATATGGTCCTTGGGGAGCCGTTAAAGGCCGCGACAACATCGCGCGAATTATCAAGAAGAACGAGAGCAACGTTGTCGATCAATTGCATTACATGACGAACATGAGGTTCGAAATCGATGGCGATACGGCTACTGGGACCTCATACTTGATTATGGTCGTTATCAGAGATGCTGAGAAGCGAACAGATACCTTGTGGCAAGGGGGGCCTTATGAGTGGAAATTTTTGAGAACGGAAGAGGGTTGGCGTATTAAGACGATGAAGCTGCAAGCGACGTGGATGAATCGGGAAGATCCTTTGGGCGTCTTTAGCACGGCAATGAAGGTGTGATTGTGAAGTAGATGCCGTTGAAAATCAATGAATTCCATTTCAACACCGAATTTTTCTGTGCCAAATGTCAGGTCTTGGAATATGTCAAACGTGACCAATAATTGCTTAGATAGATGTTTTCGAGAAGACTTTCCCAAATTGAAAACATGAGAATATATGGTATAGTAACGCTCTGCATATCTTGGCCGACACATTATTTCAACCTTAACACTTGAGAAGAAGTTTGGGTCTACTTCGGCGTTCTTTTACGATGAAATACTTGGTTAAATCATATATTAAACAATGTTTACTTCTGAGATATCAGCCAACATATAAAAGCGCTTTCAAGGTAATCCACTTTGTGATATAGCAGTGGGATACGTTTCATAAAGACTTTGCAAAGTACCCGCGCAGAGCCTGAACATAGACAATGACTGCATCCTGCTGCTATCTCTCGCCGATTTCAATTCCAGCGCGTGCACTCGCTTTGCTAGACTGACTGCGGTAACAGCAATACCAGGCACCAAAATAATGCCGAGATGGCGAGAAAACAATTTGACAATTGATGTAATGTCGCGCGCTGCGTCCGACAATCTGACATGCCACACAGAGCAACTTGTCTGTGGCGAAAAGTCCAAGGAGCGAAACAGATAACAAAGTGCTGAACGATGGAATAGATAATAGTCCATCCGCTGTATGGCCAATGAAACTCTCATAAGATTATCCTCCGAGCTTATAGCGGCTAGTTCTTCCCGAAGATCAAATAAATTGGCCTCAGATATCTTAGCGGCGGAGTCAAGGGAGTCTTCTGCAGACACCCCCATCCTCAAGGTGATTGATGTGTTTGGCTGTAACAGCAGAGGCAATTCCGGATCGATAGCTTGTGTCCATGACGCATGATAAAAGTCATTCAAGACCTTCCCAGTCTGAAGTCCGAGATGAATAGTGAGTAAAAATTGGCGGATGATTTTATGCTGGTCTCTAGAATTAAGCATCCCTGTAGTGATGCGAGTGCGGGGAAGATCCTGTCACTGATGAAGCAGCAGTACAAATCCTCTTCTGCCAAGGGCTCAACTGTGACGTCCTCATCCTTAATCTGTCTCGGTCTGCATAAAGCGAGGCTAAGGCGGATATCTTGAAGATAGATACACCACCATAGCCGTCGATGGAGTGGAGCATGTGGTGCACTTGACTTTTGATGTAGTCCCAGCCGCTGAGATGTGGATATAGCGAGACCGAGCCAGTAATGGGAGTCTTTCGCGTAGTCGCCCTCATCTTGCCACGAGCTCATCATCAGCAAGGACTGTATTTGCGTGATAGTATCTGCCTCGGCCTCCAAATTACTTTCGTAAAGCATCTTTTTTCCCCATCAGACATCAGCAAACTGGTCGAACGAATGAATAGTCGAATACGTGATTACCTTAGCTTTTTGAAAGAATGTCTGCCTCAATTCGCGGCGTGACAGGCAGCCCGGATAGCATTTATCAGGGGAATTAATAAACGCAGCAGCAGCAAGCATTATGGATTGAACCAGAAGCAAAGTTGAAGCTGAACCATCTGGCGCATTCAATACCTTGTTCATAATATCTGAAAGATCCAAGGCCGGCAGGGTTGGATGCACACAAAGGCAAAAGACCTGCAGTAGTTCGCGGCGTATAGCTAGATGCGGAACTTCCATTGCTCCCTTTAGTCGGACGAATTGGGATATATCTAGTTCACTGTACAATATTGGCGCGGAATTGTTCACCTTTTGTGGCCAACTCTGCATATCCTCTAGATGTGGCAGTACCTGAATCCTTTCCCGCACATTGGCCTTGAACTCTTTATTTAGGTTTTGGCTGTTATGCTCGCCAGGCCAGGTCTCATAGTCGGAATCGAATTGTAGAGTATCACCCAGAAGGAAGGTGGATATGGACAGTAGATGGTCCAATGGAAACGTCGAATCAACTCCTGCGATTCCTGTCATAGCCCTGGTGACTTCTGGTTTCTTTACGGGTTTATCTGAGTCGTCTTCCCTCTCTGTGAACGAATGTAAATGAGTATCAAATGAATTTGAAGCCATTGTCCTTTTCGGGAAGTCCTTGGGACTAACCTTTGGTTTTCGCGACACGACGACGTCTTACCTTCTGAGTTGATCTTTTCGGTGTATAATCTTTCAACTCAGATGATTTTAGAGACACCGGTTCTGGGTGGCCACGAGTGTGACGATTCTGGCATTTCTGTTCTTGAGCAGGCAAAGATGGAGAGTTCAATGGCTCGGCCTCGGCGATATCGAATCCCCATCGTAAAAAGTCCCCATCTGAAAACTCAAGGGCTTCAAAATATCGCATGGCTGGAACGCGACAATCGTAGAATGGCAGCGTCTGGGGTAATGCCGATATCAATGGGATCAGCGATTCGATGTGGAGGACCTCGGGAATCACCGGTAGCACCTGTCAGTTGATAACGGTTCGGAGAGAATAAATGTCATAATCACCCAGAGTAGTGTTGATTTCCTCTTACCTATCTTCTGATAAGGCTGTTGAAACCTTTGGAATGATATCGTCGGCTGAGAAAGTTCCGCCTAACGGTTCCACTTTCGGATTAGTTAGTCTTTCTGGATGCGTTCGATGTGGTCAAGTCGGGTATTTTTGGCTCCCGTCGCGGCAAACCGTGACAGATCGGGAGGTCCTAGACATTGTTCGTATGAGCTATCGATGCTGCCTGGGGCTAGAAAATGCTATTCAGGTGGTAGTATTCAGCATTGCTGACCCATAATTCCATATGTTCACTGTGGGGTAGAATTCGACGGGTTAACTTCTATCACTGTTCCGACGTCTTCACCTTGGCCCCCTTCCAAAGAAGACACCTTACTTATTCTTTATCTGCCAAGTCCGATGAATATGGAGGTCGGATCAGAAAACAAAAATATGCCTCCTGACGATTCAAAACTTGACAGTGGCTGTCCCGGAGCGACCTTCGATTCTATCGAGCATGGAGAGACAGTCATGGAAACCAACCTGAACCGTGATTTCGGTGTTTGGGGAGTTCTGAGCGTATCGTGGAACATTGTGAATATTTTCGGAGGAACTTCCTACATCTTCGTTGTTGGTTTCTCTGCAGGTGGAATGCCTGCAATATTATATGGCTTGTAAGTTCTCCACTTATCTAGGTACTACCTGACACGTGGACTGAGAGATTCGTATGCAGCATTGGTGCATGCGTTGGCCTGATCAGCGTCATCGGCATCCTCGCCGAGTGTGCTTCTATCTTTCCCACTGCTGGTGGTGCCTACCACTTTTCGACCTTTTTAGCCCCAGAAAAGTATCGCAGATACATCGGGTATCCACTCGGCTGGCTCAACTTTCTCGGCTGGGTTTTAACAATCGCTGCCTGTGCTTCAATTGCCACCGGACTTACCTTCTCTGTGGCCATTTTGACTCATCCCGAATATGTGGTCGGAGGGCGATGGCATCTATTTCTCGTCTACGTGGGCTGGGTGCTTGTTGCCTGGCTGGTCAACCTGTACCTCCTCGGGTTACTGGATAAGATCGAAAACGTCGGATGTATGTGGATCCCCTCGCCAATTTGTGATTTCAATATCAAATGTCTGATTGCCATCCCTCATAGTCATAATCAATGTTCTAGGATTCGTGGGGTTTACTATCGCTTTACTTGTGAAAGCACCAAAGTCAAGCGCCAACTTAGTTTTCGTGGATGTGATCAATGAGACTGGGTTAGTACCAAGTCATTTAATTACATACTTGGAGCGCTCTCTTTTAACATCTGGATATTTGAAGTTACTCGAGTTCCGCAATAGCCGTCGTGCTCGGCTTATACAATAGCCTCATCTCCTTTGTTTGCCTGGACGCAGCATGTCACTTAGCTGAAGAAGTGAAGTCACCTACGAAAGAAGTACCAAAGATCCTGTGGATTACTTGGGCATCTCAGTCCATAGTCGGAATTGTTTGGATCATGGTGATTGGATTTAGCATCAAAGAGCTTGATCCTGTCATCAATACGCCTACCGGGTAAGTTGTCCAGCATTCAAGCATTTCTCTATGCGGAAATTGACCGTTAGTAGAGTTCCGGTAGTCGAGCTTATGCGCCAATCACTCTCCAGTAACGGAGCAGCGATTGCTTTCAATATGATCCTGCTTATCAACTATGTGATGGCTACTACTGCTGCAACGATTACGTCTAGTCGACAAGGATATGCCCTTGCTCGAGATGGCGGGCTGTTTTTCAAGCACAGGTGAATGGCGCCGACAACACTAGTACCAAATGTCGAGCTAGGCTGACAACTATACAGTTTAACCAAAGTCGATCAGAAATTGAAGGTTCCAACACTATCTGTCTGCCTTGCTTCCTTCGTCGCAATTCTGGTTGGCATTGTGTCAGTACATCCCTGCGCTTGGCGACTCTCTTCATATCTAAGCAATAACAGGTATTTGTTTTCCACTCAAGGATTCAATGCAATATTAGGTGCCGGGGCGGGCTTCATGCTTCTGAGCTATTGTAAGGCATTCAACCCAGCCGAGAAACCTATTAATACTTCGGTAGCTGACAAGGCTTCTAGCATCCCCCGCATTGATGATGCTGATCTTTGGCCGGAAAAATCTACCGAAGACCCCATACAGCTTGGGACGATACGGATATTTCCTCTGTGTTATATCTGTGATATACAGCTTATTCGCAAATGCTATTGTACTGGTCTGTCTTATATGTGTTGGGAATAGCCGACTCCACACAGCTAACTGCTCTATAGATCCCAGGCGCATCCCCAGTCACTGCGAAAGATATGAACTATACCTGTCTGCTCTACGGTAGCTTTTTTATCCTTATTATTGCCAATTGGATTTTTGATGCTCGCAAGTCCTATCGCCCTCCGTCTATTGGTGAATTTTTGGAGGCGGTGGTCCCAGAAGACGAAGAGCAGATTTGCGACTTGGCTGGGCGAAGTGAGATTGAAGACCGGGGGAGTGCGATTGTACAAACTGTATAGGCAGGCCATCTGGTCAAACTACCGCTTATTAATGAGAAAGCAGAATTTTCTTCCGCCTGAGTATGATTTTTGTACACGTTGTTCTTATAATGCAGTCAACTGGGAATAAGGCCTATTTGACTGTTTCATTGCACCAAGCGCAAGATGAACTGTAAGGTACTGGTAATTGTAGGACAGAATCAAACAGTTTATATCTGCCGTATAAGAGACAAGACATTTTGAAACACCCGAAGAGTTCCAGTTTATGCCTAGACCACTTCATAGGTAAAGGAAAAGGACACGAATTTCAAGGTCCCAAATGCTTCGAGTTGGTTTGGTTGATTGTCTGTGATGAAAGGCAAAATAAATGTTATAGACAAGATATGGCTGGTATCAGATGCCCTCGTGAGTTCTTCCTTAACACTCTGAGATTCTTTCCCTTCGCAGGTGAGCAACAAAAGACACCGTTGAGCATTTCTTGTGCAGAATTCTAGCTGCGAGGCTACACCAGAAGATATTTGAAGATGACACACCCAAACGGTTCTATTATTACCAAACCACTACTGCTTCCAAGCTATGTCAACAAGTCCGCTAGTTTCACTTAGTTAATCGATGCTACATCAAGGAATACTATGACATCAGGAGGCTCTCAACTGAAGACTAAATTGAATGTCACTATCGACAGGTATTACCCATTTCACTCGTGACTATGCGACTGGAGGGGTCAAAACTGGTTTTTGGCCTGTAAAACTCTCGGAGCCCGGGCCTTCAAAGATGATACCCTGGAGGTCCCTATGAGTCCAATCTTGTTGCTCGCTAGCAACCAGTTTAACCGGGTCGTCCATCTCAACCCAACCGCAATACGGTTGACTAACTGAATAACCGATCAACTGCTGAACCTCGAAAGGGTAAGATTTGACGACATCGCGAGGGATGGCAAGGAATTGATTTTCGTCCTGCCGGAGACAACCCTTGACCATGTGCATAGAGTAGATATTTCGTCGACTGGTCTCTGACTTGTTCTCTCCGGCACCATGCCAGATGCTGCCGATGATTATGAAAGCGTCGCCGACCTTCATCTCAGCGGTCGAGCAAAGAGACTCGTCAGCTGGGCCACGATCATCTCCCCATTTGTGAGATCCGACGATGACTTGTGTAGCACCGTTTTCGTAATTTGTTTCCTGGACGCAAATGAAAATTAGCGATTGGAACCACCTTGATGCGCCATGTTCGCATTTGCCATACCGTGCCTGCGATAAGAATACCTAGCAGACTGCTGTCTCCACTCCCCTCTTCATGCTCGTAGTGCTGCGGAATGTCGTCACGGTGCAACGGCTGTCCTGCAGTCTTGGGTCCACGAGTGAAAGCTTGTGAAACGGACAAAATCGGATCAGAGATGCAAATGCTTTTCGAGTCACCCCACCAGGGATAGCTGGAAAGTGTCAGTGAAATTGTGACCCGTTGCTCAAGAGAAGACTGACGTGACGTCGCGAAGCAGCTTCTTGGCTGCTTCACGATAAACCGGATGATTGAGACACTCGAGCGCTATTGTTCGGGATTTGCCAACAAGACCGCTGAAAGACTTAGTAAGGACGTTTTCCCAAGCCCCTTCCAGAAAGCTTACCTGAGGGGTGGATCCTCCGCGTTGAACAGGTTGCCTTTATAAACACCCTTTTTTTCCCAGTGCGGCTCGATCTCCTCGTTGATCTTCTGCACAGTCTCAGGAGTGATGAAATTCTTTATTACAACGCCTCCATCGCGACGAATAATTTCGACAATCTCGTCGAGAGACGCTGTAACTGGCAGTTCAACCACTTCAGGGTTGTTACGTTGATGGGGTGGGTTAACCATATTGACTTGCGGTCAGGTATGAGAGTGTTTGATTCCAATCAGGAAAAATGTCAAAGTCCTTAGGAATTAGGTACTGGGCAAGTAAAACCTCAAATATATGATCTGTAAGGGTAATTTTGCCATGAAATAGGCGGAAGCGACGATAGGTCTGCCCGTTCGAGATTCTGTAATTGGTTCTCTCTATCCAGAAATGAATACCGGAATATGCGCCAAGTTCAGGATTTGATAACAGGATCTGGAATTAGTCGGCCAGAAACAGGAACCATGTATGGCTTATCTGGTACTATTTCAGAAGTGGACGTGCTAAGCGAGCAGACGATTCAATCACATCAATTGGCATCTCATATTGGAAGCTGAGCAAATGACAGATCAGCACGTACAGGAATTTCCAGCCTAATTGATAGTTCATGAGTCCACTACTAGAGTTCTGTCTGAGAAGTAGTAGTAGAAAATCATTCAGAGATGATTTGAGATAGCAAGCACAATGCCTAGAGACCGCGGCTAAGTTGACCGATTTAGGAAGTGATAGCCCACACGCAACTTTAGCTCACCTGGACCCATCATTGACAGTATCAGGAAAGGATGCACTGCCTTTTTCATAAGAGACCTCGGATTCAAATCCATTAAAAGGCAGCCTAAGTGCACTTGGTCGCCGATTGTACTCGACGACAATTTTCCACCACTCGTGATTGAAAATGGCTGCAAACAACACCGAACCTACTAATGGTGCCAATGGCATCCCCGCTGTCGAGCCGAAGCTAGCCCGCCTGCCTCGCACCTCAACGCCGCAAGAGGTATTGACGGTTCTGCTCCGAGACGGCGGTCTGATCCTTGAGCAAATAGCCGATCATGAAGACATCGACAAGGCCATTGAAGAGATTCAACCTCATCTGCTCGGCCAGGCAAGACACGATGGCGTTACCATGCCGAAAGAAAGCAAACAAATTTCAGGTCTGGCGGGCAAGAGCCGCACCTTTGCAACCAAGCTCCTAGCCCATCCCTTATACCAAGAAGTGAGCAATTTACTACTCGCCAAAACGAGCACAACCTACTACGGCAAACAAAAGCAAACCTCTGTCAGCATGCCTCAAGTCACAAACACCATGGCCTTTTGGATTGGACCTGGGGCTAAGGCCCAAGGACTTCACCGAGATGACCAGTGCCATCACACCCGCCATCCAGCAAAATATGAAACCGATTTGGGCTTGATGTTCGCAGCGACAAAGTCGCATAGAGCAAATGGCGCCACGCGAGTCGTGCCAGGCTCCAACAAGTGGGACGACTACCGAAAGCCTCGACCATATGAGGCTGCCTCAGCTGAGTTGGAGAAGGGGGATGCCTTGATGTGGTAGGTCTACGACGAATCGATCATCCAATTCTGATTTGTGAGAGTTTCGCTAATAATAGCTGGAACAGGCTTGGATCAACCTACCATGGAGCAGGTCAGAATACTACTTCGGATGAATACAGACTTCTATTTGCTGGGTTTATGACACCTGGTTGGTGTAGGCAGGATGAGAACCAATATCTGGCTTACAGCTTTGAAGATATCAAGGACTATCCGGAAGATGTTCAAAAGCTATTAGGCTACTATGTAAGCCGTCCTTATGGTGGTTTTGTGGAGCAGATGGAACCATTGGAATTTTTGAAGTGCAATGGCGACTGGACCAAGTGGAAGCCAGGTGATCTTTTGTGAACCTCGGATAATTAGTTTCACTAGCACATGAAATCCTTTGAAGGGCACAGGCTAGTTGGCTGGGTGCATGTTCAGGACTTGAATTTCTTGTTTCATATTGATGTGAAGTCTGAGAGACAACCATGCATTTTAAGTGTGATTAATTGCATGGATATATTAGCCGTATGTGTAGACACAGCATTGATGTCTTTTTCTTCAATTGAAATGTCCCTGGCTTTAAAGCAGACTAGCAAACACATTTTCTACTCTACTGGGTAGCTTCTCCCGTGTTGCTCATCATCACAGACGTAGCCCCATAGGTTGAAGTTAACAGACCTGACTCTATCAATCGTAGAAAGATATGAAGATAATATTAAGCAATTGTGATGAGAAAAAAAAGAATGGATGCAAAATAAAGCCATTCAAACTAGTTGGCTGCCCCAGTCATCTGATCAAGCCCCATGTTGACAATGATACTCATGTATTGTGCAGCGTCTTCAAAATTGCTATGGAAATATTTGATCATGTCATGCGATTCTACTAGACCGAGGTCGTGGCACCACCGTCGAGCTTCACATCAGCTCCCGTCATGTATCCAGAGGTGTCACTGAGCAGGAATAGAGTCACTCCCTGTACATCTTGGACGATTCCCAGTCTCCCAAGAACAGCCCCAGACATAAAAAGAGATTTCATATCTGCGTTATTTTCCAAAAGCTCGCTCACCATATTGGTCATGATGGGACCTGGCGAGAGGCTGTTCACCCTGATTCCATGCTTTCCCCATTCATATGCAAAAGATTTGACCATCATTTGCACAGCGGCCTTCGAAGCGCAGTAAGCACTTCCGTGGATGCCCTGGAATTAAAGTTAGCAAGTTTCATCACCATCGAGCAGGATAATAACTCACCCTGTTTGCGACGTAGCCCGCAATTGAACCGATCAGCACCATACTTCCTTTCCAATTCTCTGCGATCATCAGTCGAGCTGTATGCTTAGCAACTATAAAGCTGCCCATGACATTGATATCGATGATGCGTTGGAACTCATGGACCGGGAAATCTTCTGCATTATCCGTGTGCTGCACCCCAGCACAGTTTACCAACCCGAGAACAGGCTTTCCCCGTTGCTTTGTTAACTCTCCCACTTGGGTCAAAGCTGACTCAATAGCTGGTTCATCGCGAATATCGGCTTGGAAAAAGTTAAATCGGGATTTGCTACCCTCCAACAGGGTACGAATCTTTTGTCGGTTCTCTTCGTCGGGTTCTGGGAGGATATCGATGCCATACACGTCGCCACCCGCCTCCAAGACTGCTTGAGCGATAGATGCTCCCAATCCTCGGGAAACACCAGTGATAACTATGGTTCTGTCCTGGAGTCCTGGAGTAGACATAATGGCTGTGCTGTAGCGAATGCACATCAAAATTATCTATGAAAGACAATTGAATAAGAGCTTCGATGATTCCAAGGTTTTGAATATAGGATGGAAAAAGGGCCAAGTCCACTTTTATTGTATTAGGATTACTGGCCTATCAACTGTCAAGTCTGGCTTCTTCCTATTTCCCCGCATTCACGGTTGATTGGAGAGGAATTAGCCGGGAATGCTCGCATCAGGAAAGGTAACGTTCTTCTTCACAAAAGGCAGGGCATTGGGTAAATACAACCAGAGGACATCGATACTTGGCCAACCACATAGCTCCTGTATATTAAACAGCGTGATTTTGCGTCAAACACTCATCTGGGTAATATACTCAGGATAGAGTTTTCATCCTTCAAAGGTTGAAGTAATAGATACGGAGAGCTCAGTGCGGAGTAGCTAACTCAAAATGGCAATATTAGGCACACCAAGCCTGCATAGGTATCCCAACTGGTAGGTCTAAAGATATTTGGCTCAAATTTCGACTGAGATTAATAAAGCTTCATTATGAAAAGAGAATGAGAATGAAAAAGAATTCCCTGGAGGTAAAAATAAACAAAAGTAATGCAGCATTGGTCTTCTTAGCGAATTTGAATGGCACCGGCAAAATATCTACTTGTTCCAAACTTCTACATTAGAAATACATAGTTTGGTAGGCCAGGCCCAGTAGAAGAAGATGATGTCAAGTTGAGAGAAGCGTTTCAAGGTACGCTGCAACTGTAGTATGCTGTAAATTTCACCCGAGACCTCCAGGGGCTCTGAAATGACCCAGTGACTAATTAAATTCTGGATTCTTCAGGTTGAGGAGCAAGCTCCTCCGTCAATCAATAGATCTGTACCTGTCACATAGGATGACCCATCCCCTAGGAAGAAAATCGCCGCTGCTTGAATATCATCGGGAGCTCCAAGGCGCCCAAGAACATTCGAGGCCATGAACGAGGCATTAAGTGACGGGGTTTCCTCGAGCATGGCATCTAGCAAATCTGTCTTAATAGGACCAGGGGAGAGAGAATTGACCCTAATTCCAAGTGTACCCCACTCCGTGGCGAGAGAGCGGCATAGCGCGTGCGTTGCAGCCTTAGAGGCGCAGTATGCAGCTCCGCGAACGCCCTGAATTCGTTAGCAAGCCACAATGGAAATTGATCATGAATTCGACAAACCCTGCTCGCAACATATCCCGCTATCGAGGCGACGAGTATAATGCTTCCTCCTAAATTCGTGTCTTTCATAATTCTCGCCGCGTGCTTGGCTATCAAGAAACTCCCCGTAACGTTGATATCCAGGACCTTTCGGAATTCCTCGACGGGAAATTCCATCGCATCGTATCTTCTGTATTCCGGCGCCCGCTACAAGTCCGCGAATGGGATGATTGCGCTCTTGCGCAGTTCTTTGAGCCTTCTCAAGTACCACTTTGATCTCCTCCTCGTTCGTAACATCACAATGATGATATGTTGCAATGGTATTGGATTTCGCGGCCCAGGCCGTAATTGCGATCCATAGCTCTTCCGGTGGCTGGGCAGGTAGATCCAAGCAGACAACGTCGCTGCCTTCTTGGAGAATGCCGATAGTCAATGCGAACCCTAAGCCCCCAACGGCGCCGGTTACGACTGTAGTCCTTCCGGACAAATGGGATGCCATCGTATTTTGGATCCTTGGGATTGTTGATGGAAAACTGAAATGTTGAAATGTTCTTGCAATTTTCCAAAAGCTCCGGATTCCAACCAAATGACCTACAACTATATGAAAGCTCAATTACCGAAGCCTGGACCAGAAAAATAGCAAGAAAAGGTTGAGCAGTATATATCAAATCGTACTGTTGTGTGCCATCATGAACAGCGATCACGGTAAATTGAACAATGGCCAATGCTTGGGGTTAAACCCAAATAAGCAACGGTAGGCGGAAATCGCACAGTTAATCAGATGCGCTAAATCTCCGTGTTCCCTCGTTGTCACTAGTAGAAATATGCATCAAACAAATCGGGCAAATTAGGCTCAGTGATGATTGTTTGGAAATCAGAGGATTCTCTTACTGTGTACTGGATGGTGAAGATAATCAGCCCCTTAGTTGATTTTTGTTTGGTTGACAATGACCCTCTGACTGATGATTTGTAACGAAAGTTCGAATCTTGTTTATTAATTGGCAACATCGATTACAACTAGATTGCCCATACTCAGGATTGGATTAAATCTGATTTTACTCCCTTCCTCCAGTGATCAAGAGTTCTCATTACAAACAAATCTATCGATCAATCGACATCGCAAATCATGGCTCCGAAGGACAAGTACCTTTGCCCCACTTTCATCAACCCTCCAAGTCTGGCCGATCCGGAGTTCTATTCTCACGCCGTGTCTGTTGACGGGCCTGCACGTTTGGTATTTACGTCGGGCCAAGTTGGAGGCCGTAAGGATGGAACATTTCCCGACTCATTCAAGGAACAAGTTGAACAAGCTTTCAAAAATCTTGAGGAAGTTCTTCACGCTTCCGGTGCCCAGATTCGGGACGTGATAAAACTGAAATGGTTTTGTGTGAACTGGAAAGCAGACCAAAGTTTCCAAGACCTGCTCAAGTTAACATTTGCATTTCTCACGGACCAGTATGGAGTACGGTTTCAGCCCCTAACAACTTTGGTTCCAGTTCCGGCGTTGGCGTTCCCTCATATCAAATTTGAGGTGGAAGCAACGGCGGCGATTGGAGGGTCAAGGAATCATTTCACCCCTCGCCAAATCCTGCAGAGCTTCGTCTGCCTTCGTTGAAGGCCGACGTCGTTATCGTTGGTGCAGGATTTAGCGGCTTGCAGACTGCGTATGACTTACACCAGGCCGGTCACAAGGTTCTTGTCCTTGAAGCCAAGAAGAGGGTTGGCGGCAGAAGCTGGACAATTCCTTTGAAAAGTGGAAAAGGAAGAGTCGAGCTAGGTGCGACTTGGATCAACCAAAAAACCCAACGAAAGGTCTACGGACTCGCAAAGCAATTTGGGCTTGATACTGTAGAGCAGTATGCGGAAGGGCTTGCAGTTTACCAAGATACCAACGGGCACGTCTTTCGCACTGATGCAACTTCTGTTCCCGAGGTAAGGCTCCACTATATTCTGTTATTTCGGTACGTAAATACTTACTCTTTCAGGATAAAACTTCACCAGCGATTCCTGGCAAGAATTTCAATCTTCAGCAGATGTTCCAGCAGGTCGAACTGTTACAGAAGGAAGTTGATCTCAGGAAGACAAGCAAATTTCCAGTCTCGATCGATGTGTCTGTTGAGACTTGGATCAAACAGAACCAGTTCACGCCATTTGCTGCCGACTATCTGCGAGCTTTTGTGAGGGGCATAGTGTGCCGTGAACCAGAAGACGTGGGAATCCACTACGCACTTGATTATATTAAGTCTGGTGGGGGGTTTTGAAAAGCTCTTCTTGGAAGGTCCGGAGGGGGCCCAGGCCTTGAAAATTAAGCAAGGTATTTAACTATTTCGAGCATGTTTATATCTTGAAGCCCCCCTAACATGACATAATTAGGTACATCTGCTATTGCTGAAGGCCTAGCAAATGCACTGCCTCCCGGCTTTGTCATGCTTAATACCCCTGTCGACAGAATCGAGCAATATGGGCGCAGTGTTACACTTGGTACTACGAATGGACTTACTGTGGAAACAAAGAAAGTAGTCATTGCTATTCCGACACACGTCTACCAGAAAATCCATTTCTCCCCTCCATTGCCGTACGAAAAGCGAGCCATCGTCTCAAGAACGAAGCCCGGCCACCTTGCCAAAGTCATCGTGACATACGCACGACCGTGGTGGAGAGAGATTGGCTTGGTAGGCATTTTCCAAAGCTTTACAGGCCCAATCAATCTATCATGGGAAGTCTCAGACTTCGCCAACAAACAGTACTCCTTGGCCTTGTTCTTGTGCGGAGACGCAGAGAGCAAATGGGAGAAGCTATCTTCGCTCCACCGAGAGGAGGCTTTAATCAACCACCTGGTGGAGCTGGTGGGACCGGAACATGGGCATCTAGCCAAGGATGTCCTCGAGATCAATGAACAAATTTGGACGCAGGAGGAGTACATTGAAGGGGCCCCTACGTCGGCCATTGGGCCAGGGGACCTGTCGCGCTATGGAAATGCGTTGAGGGCACCTTTCCAAAATCTCTTCTTTGGGGGTGGAGAAACCGCATTTGAATGGAAGGGGTACATGGAGGGTGCCTTGAGAGCGGGTTCTCGTGTGGCGGACGAGGTTAATGATGCTCTTTCGGCAGCCTCTAATAGCAAGCTTTGATCAATTATGAAGGCGGGGCTTTATTGTCGACTCATTGTGCATCAAGATCTGGCCCTCGTTGCATATTCATGATAATCATCACAAAGAATGTACATGGTTTCAGCTATTTTTCTACTAGTACCAAATCGTAACGCGAGTACTATAAATAGTTACAGGTATAGAAATTATTTTTCCTGTCATGCATGCGTCCCTATAGGTTTGTTTGCGTGGTGATGTTGATGTTGACGAGGTGATAGATAGTAGTTAGTTATCTCCAGATGCCTGGATGTCTATTTGCCGCTTTATTAACGACTTAAGTGTGCAGAATCATCTATAATGAATACAATTTGAAGATTAGCTCTAATTAATTGATTGTAGAAACATTTGGAGAGCCGTGATAACTGAAAGCTCAGGTAATCTTTAGGAATTTGAGAGGACATTGAAATATCGAATCAGATGTAGGTCTGCGAATGAGGTCCTTCCAGATCGCTTACTACTCCTGAAGTCGATTTCAATACTCTTAGGTTATCCTGACCAACTACGAATTTTGTGAATATAGCAGTTTAATATTCTGTGGAAGATCAGCTGGCAGGCCCAGCAAATTATTCAAATCAATATTTCGCATATTTTCTCCCAAAAGGGGTAATATTTAATGACTCTTCATGCTGCCGGTGCCACAAATCGAGCTTCGCGATACGCTTAACCTAGTTCCAAATCGAAAGGACCTACCAAGTCGCATTTCAACATCAAGCTTCAATCGACGCTTTTTGTCTGAGTAATCTGGTCATTGAAATAGGTATATTAGTGGACTATATTAGGAAGTAGAATATCATCCTTGACATGCATCAGGCCTCTAATAGTAGACCCTCTCTTATCATTTCTCCTGCTTCAATAATTAGCCGAGCTATACGCCATGCCACACATTTCGCTTGAAGGTAAAGTAGCCATTGTTACCGGCGGCACCAGGGGCATTGGGTACGGAATTGCAATAGAGCTCGCTCAAAGGGGAGCCGCTGTTCTTATAACATATGTCTCACCAGGCTCTACAAAGCTTGCACAAGAGCTCATCTCTAAAATTGAAAAATTCGGGGGCAAAGCAGCAGCTGTTCAAGCCGATTGTTGCTCGCTTGACTCCCCAAAGTTGATTGTTGACACGGCGGTTAAGTCATTCACTGGAAATATTGACATTCTCGTGAACAACGCCGGTATTAGCGAGGAGCTGTGGTTACGGGACTGCACATACGATCATTTCGAGAGGGTGTTCCAGACGAATGTGCGCTTTCCAATGTTTCTTGTACAGGCAAGCTTGCCGTACTTAAGCAAGGGTGGGAGAATTCTGAACATGTCGAGTGTCGCGGCTAGAGAAGGTAAGTGGTGTCAACTTTTCGAAAAGTATTTTCAGTCGGGCAAGATAATTCTGACAAAAAGTTGAATTAGCATGGAAAATGCATACGGTGTACAGTGCGTCGAAGGCCGCCGTCGAAAGCTTTACGCGTACCTGGAGCTTGGAACTTGGCCAAGAATATGGAGTCACGGTCAATTGCATTAATCCAGGACCCGTGGCAACGGAAATGTGGGAGTAGGTTGATATGGACTTTTTGCATCAGCGATAGAAGTTTCAACTGACGTTTGACTTTTCGCAGTGCTATGCCTGCAGAAACCCAGAAGGAAACTCAGAAATACATCGACAATATCCCCGCTGCGCCTCGCTTGGCTACGGTTGACGACATCGCACAGATCGCAGCATTCTTGTGTGAAGATGGGGCAAGATGGATAACCGGCTCGACCACTTGTGCTAACGGAGGAGCTGTCATGGTTTGAGATGCTATCAAGGAACACAAGCAAGAAGGAAATTAGATCGGGGCAACTATTTATGAAAACTCGGACCAATGTAAAGACATCTGAATCCAAATTCAAAATTCTGAGATCTCGAGATGAATACTATTTTGTAGTATTTGAAGAAATTAATAGAGCGTAGAGAGGAAGGACGACGAGGAGGAACCACCTACAAGTAGGTGCAGACTGCGAGTACTTTATTGGGAGATCAGTATTGGCCAGTTCGGAATAGCCTAAATGAATGATTCTTCATATAGATGAGATTCGTTACATAGACGAGATTCGTTACATAGATGAGATTCGTTACATAGATGAGATTCGTTACATAGATGAGATTCGTTACATAGATGAGATTCGTTACATAGATGACAGATTTCCGCTGTCAAGCCCCCCCTGAAAGACAGATGCGGCAGAGATGTAGCAGCGCATTTTCGAACTACCCTGGAGACCCTTGGCCTATACATTCTACCTATTGGCCTTATCTACATTTCAAACAGACATTTCCATTTGGCAACCTCCATCTATCAAAGCATGCTTCTTGTATGTAAGTTCCCGCCATCGATGACAATTGTCGTACCATTGATGTGAGAGGATCCACGACCCGAAAGAAAGACCACCAGCGCCGCAATATCTTCTGGTCGGCCAACCCTTCCATTAGGAACATTAGAAGCGACATTCGCAACTCCCCCTACATTCTCCATGCGATCAAGCGTCATCTTCGATGGGAACAGGCCCGGGGCAATAGAATTGACTAGGATATTTCTCGGCCCGAGTTCAACGGCCAGGTTACGGGCTAGATGCATGACTGCGGCCTTGGTCATTGAATACCCGTATGTAGCCTGCGATCCCAGAGTACCTATTCCAATCCCCGCAATGGAACCTGTAATCAGTATTCTTGATGGGTGCTGCCGTGTGGCATTGTTCTCCAACAAACGCGCCATCCTATGCCAAGTTAGCTATAGCTATTGCAGAAAAGGTTCCACTAGCACTGATGTACAGACCTTTGGATCAGCAAAAATACACCTTTGACATTCACGTTGTAAGTTTTGTCCAGGCCCTCCTCCGGGTGGGTATCAAAGGGTGCCCCCCAGACAGCGCCAGCGTTTGCAAAAAGAATATCGACATGATCTGTTGTTTTGGAGATCTCGTCAACTAGGATTTTGACGCCCGAGGCTTTGGATACGTCAGCTGGGATAGCAATAGCTTGTGCTCCAGCTCCTTTGTTTTCGAGAGCGTTCAAGGCCTTGGCAGCTGCCTTGCACTCTGCAACCTTCCGGGCCGTGATGTACACTTTGGAGCATCCTGCTTGCAAGAGACTAACACTTGTTAAACAAATTGAATTTATATTGAGCACGAAACATACCCAGAAGCGGCATGTAGTCCCAATCCACGCGAACCTCCAGTCACAATGGCAACCTGTCCGTTGAGGGTGAAAATGGACGAGAAATCGGCCAGGGCGACATTTTCTTTTGCGGACATGATGATGGTGCGGGCTTTGCTGGCGTGTGGAGCGCAGACAGAGAGGTGAGACTCTAACTTGTGTTGAGCTTAATTGCAGAGGTATCCGAGGCTTTGTAAGAAGCTCCCTTTAATTAAGGGCAGTAGCCGGGAAGACAAGGCCCATTAGTTCTGCCGAGGCAACTTGCTAGCCATCGATAATCGGACCTTGTATAATCGGCCTATTTGTACGGAAAAGGAAATTTTTGCCCTGCGGTTAAAATTGTTTTCTAGCTCAGGAGCCCTCCTGGGTGATGAAAATTCTGATAGCCCCGGCTGCAGAAGCCTACTGGACCAACGCATCGAAGCAGACTTGGGAACAGCCATGAAAATGATGGTCTGGCTTGTTCAAGTTGCACATATTTATTTCATTCTTGTTGTGCGAAGACGAACTACTTTGTGCTCTATTATTCGACTATTGTTTCTCTTATTTCAAATGGTGACATGAAGTAGTTTCTATTTGGCCCTCGAGGCAGTACTACTAGCAGTTATAGCTACTCCGTCTAAAACGATGAATAGATATATGTAGACCCACCGACAAAAACGCCCTATAAAGCAGTGATAAGCTTACCTGTGTTACCTCCTTCAAAGAGCCGCAACCAGACCTTTGGTATATCCAGAAAAGTTACTGGATCGATGGTCTGACTCTTTTCACCAAGCACAACCTTGCGATCGGCAATGGCCTGCTTCAGAACATCAATAGCGTCTTGGGCATGAGCAGCGTAGTCGAGAACAATGAAACCTTGGATTTTCAGTCTCATGCTGACGACGTGAAACCAATTCTCAAATTGTGCGCTTCCTTTCTCATTGTATCCAGATATGGCACCACAGGCCGCAATCCGGCCGAACTTTGACATCCGTGGGAAAATATGGTCTAAGATGGAACCTCCAACACAGTCGAAACACACATCCACCCCGCCGGCTGATCCTTTCTTCAGGTCATCCACAAATGATTCAGACTTATAATTGAGACCTGGGGGCAGTCGGTGAGAAATTTAGCAGGTCTATCATGTTCATGGGGAGAACTTACATAGATCGGCCCCAAGACTCTCCACCCATTGGCATTTCTCATCGGTCCCAGCAATGCCGATGACTCTTTCGCACCCAACTATCTTCTTCGCAATTTGTATTACCATGCTCCCCGTGGCCCCTGCTGCTCCAGACACTATGACCGTATCTTGTGGCTTCGCCTCGCCTTGAACCACGAGCCCGTAGTAGGCAGTCAGCCCAGTGTTTCCTAGAGCACCCAAATAGTGCGTGACACTTAGACCCAGTGGCAGGGGCTCTAGAACGGTCACGGTCTCGTCAGGCACTACAGCATACTCCATCCAACCGATATTCGGAAGAACAACCTGGCTTCCTGCCTTGATCTTTGATGACCGGCTAGAAAGAACCCTTCCGATTCCCCGAGATGCCATGACCTGTCCAACTTCGATAGGCTTCAGGTATAATCGATCCGCTGGCAGCTCTGCATCGATCCACATCCGCTGTGCGGGATCATTTGAGAGAAAGCAGGTTTTAAGGAGGATCTGACCGGGCTCAAGGTTTGGCAATTGGCGCGTCTCCAGTTGGAAGGTGGAGTTCGGTCCAGATATGATGGGTTTTCCGATCGGCTTTTCGGCCAATACCCAGCATTTTGTTCTGGTAGGGAGATCCATTTTCTTTTGTTTCAAATATTGAAAATGAAGTCGTTGTAATGTCAAGAGCCACATATACGAGAGGTCAGCGATGGATCGGCTTTATTTCGTATGGACTTGACTCCGAATTATATTGACTCAATAGGACAGGCTGGGGCATGGAAGCATAATGAATGAGATACCAATCAAAATCAAGTGCTCAAATAAACGCCTCAATGGTGAATGGCGACAAATGGTGCTTCAAATGCTCTCCGCTTGTAGATGCTGCGGGATTAGATCGAGTCGAAAGGAGAAAGTTTGCCGCTATCCCCCAAAGCGCTAAAGTAGCCTTAGCCAAGTAGACTAACTTTCCTGGGGCTGTGAGACTTAAGCGGCTTTAGTATCAGCTGTGACTGTTATGGGGAATTTTACCAGCCACTCTGAAGCAGGGGTAAGCTTTCCCTGCTTGAACATCTCGGGAGGTCCTGCTAGAGTTGCTCTATTGGAGAGCAGTGACACATCCAAATTTAGTCTGGCTTAACGGGCTCCAATTCAGTGTTTGCATAAATCCTCGCTTCCCTTAATCCATAAATCAGTTCAACGCCGGTTCTCGAGAATTTATTACCTACACGCTGAAGTCAAAAGATATTTGTTCTAGCGGAGACCAAGCAAGAATCATGAGAAAAACAGTACAATGTGTGGTGGCCTACCCGGCAACATTGCCCTGGGGAGCTTCAACCAAGTTCGATCTGGAATAGTAAGTTAGGAATGAATATCAGAGACATCCACGTTCTGAACCATCTAACCGAGTCATCATAATCAGCTATCTGAAGACCCACATGGCATTGATTGACAAATATTGGGGTCCCTACGGCCTGAAAAGCTGGGAAGTGAACGAGGGTCTGGAGGGTGATGGGATCAGACCTCGGTACATCATCCAAGCTACTCTTCAATTTGAAAGTATGGAAGGATTATTGGCTGCTCTAGCTGCCCCGGAGACCAACAAGACGAGAGCGGATATTTTCAACTATACCAATGTGGAGCCTGAGATCTGGGTTTTGAAAGAGGTTGGAAGAAGTATGATTTAATTTGCCGAAGACTCTACTTTGCCTCAACTTTCTGAATGCGTTCAGAAAACATTCTACTTTGGCACTGGCATGGCCGAGATACTACCCAGAAGGCAGGCACCCTCCCTATCCTTTCTTCTTCTTTTCTCTACTCTTCAGATTTTGTATTGAATGCACATATTTCTTCATAGCTGGGATCCTGTTACATCATCAGATTTTGGAATGGGTCAAGTGTAGTGCCTAGCTACCATATGTGAGCTTTAGACCAATTCTTCGATAATCAAATAGGTAGAACAGACCACTGACACTACCTAGATACAATTAGGGTGGGCTGCTTGTTGTCCCCATGTCAGCCTTATGACATCTGTGAAGTAATCAATCCAAACCTTCGGAATCAACGCCTAGTGAATCGATATTGTTTGTCCAATGGCTGAAAGCTATTTCGCTCTTATCATTGATGAATGACTCCTTCAATATGTCCGATTATCCGGATCGCAAACCAGTTTCTTCTTAAGCTTAGCCAAAAAGGTGTAAATTAGGATAACAATGCCAAATTGATCCGTAGACCCCACCTGAACAGCCAGATGTGGGAACCCCGACAGTCGGCCTGGCCTAGATATGTAGAAAAGTGGACCCTCTGACTGTCGAGGTGAGGTGCACCCTGATTGTGGTGGGTCTAGGTTTCTTAACATCCCATTCAGCCTTGAAACCCCGCACAAAGGTTGTCCTGCTAGCGCTCACCGTGCTTCAGTTCCATGATAAGGAAATAATGTGATATCACCATCTTCGCTCCTTCCAACTTCCAAGTGTTGTAGAACAGATTCAATGCCAGATAAATTTGGTTAGGGGAACCGGTGTCACAAATTGGTTTGAGTCGGGACATGCTGTGTTTATTACCCAGAAGACCCGACCATGCCGAGAGCTTGAACTGTAAACTGCAGAGTCTCTCAATGAGTGACCCATTTCACATTGAGAAAAAAGGCAGAACGTCGACAGCCTGATAGGGCACATAGGATGGAATAGGGCACCCTCCTAATGGGGGACATTATGAAGCTTGAAGCTTACAAAGCTCGTGAGAAACATACATCATATGAGTATGAAAACAGACGGGACTTCAAGAATCAAAATCTTCGATCCTATCTTCGGCTTTAAAAATAGGGAGCCTGCTGACTTCCGTTATCGCCTCAACCTCGGAAACCCAAAAGCCAATCCGAGCGGGGTTGATTCATTACCCTCTATCTCCACCCCCGCATTTCGCAATTTCAAGCTGAGTACTATTTCAGTGTTTGTCTTATCTTTTGGCTTTGCCTCTTTATATGTGTCCGATTTCAATTCATTCCATTTTACACCGTTTTATAACGATAAACTCCCCTCCCAGCAAAATGTCTGGCACGCGATCTCGAAAAGGTAAGACTGAATAATCATCGCTAAATACTCAGAACCGCGAAATCGGACATCTATGTCAAGTTACTCAATCGTCTCTAATAGGCTGCTCGACTTGCCGCGAAAGAAGGCAAAAGTGCGATGAAACGAAGCCCACGTGTTTAAACTGCCGAAATAGAGGAGTTACTTGCGGTGGATATGCCCTGCGTTTGACCGATTTCAGCATCTCCGATGGTTTTCAAGGGCAGATGGTATGCAAGATGGTTCGAGGAGCCCCAGTCGGTGCTTCTCAGGGTCCGCGAAAAGCGAAAAGGTCCAAAGGAAACCCACCTCCGGCATCTTTAGATGCACCACAAAGCGCACAAGATATTACACTGCCGCCTCGGCGGACCGTCATAGTGCCTGAAAAAGAGCAGAGTCTCCCGAATGAATCCACGTTAACAGAAAATCCTACATGGGACTTCCTAGACATAGCCTTGGATGACGGAGTACAGACAGGCGTATCCCCAGGGGCCAGCTTGTCATGTAATTTCCCCGTGTCCTCGCCGTCATCAGAAAGAGACAATATTCAAAATCCCTGGCAGATCCCGCAAACTGGTCTCGAAGATCAAATGGACAAGAATTTGGATGTTGGGATGTTGGACTCGCTGTTTTGGCTAGACAACCCAAAAAGTCCCCTACAGGTTCCCAGCCCAGGGGGTACAATACCCGCTATCACTCACGATAATATTCTACATGAACCCAGAAGTCCGACGAGGGTAGGGAATCTTTTGAGAGGTGAGGCTAATAATGGCACTCAAAATTGCAACGACCTGATCACCACCGACATGGACCGAGCTTTGAACACAACACGACCCAGCGACTCCGACGCCTTCGAACAATATCTCCTCAAGCATTGTGGGTTTCTCTGGAAATTTAACAAAAGTGAGACGACTAATCAAACCTGTGTTCGTTCTTTCAGTTATCGATATTCTTGCTCCGTCTTTCTACCCATTTGATTCCAAGCGAAATCCCTATACGGCCGTCTATGTTCCACTGGCCGGTCACTCATCTGCCTTGCGCCATGGAATTCTTGTGGCCTCAGCTAATCACTTGGTCTCGTTGGGTCAATTTCCTCCTTGGGCTATGGAGCACTATCGCTCGGCGCTGAAAGATTCTTTGCGCAAAAGATCTGATTGTGCTGATGCGAATTGTATGATGGCCGCCACTCTGCTCCTGTCTATCGCAGCTGAGGTATAACTCCACCCTTACTATTTGACTCATATGATACCGAACACGAGCACTTGTACTGCATCGGCTCTTCATTCCTCACTTCTAGTCTAGTGCAAGTGCTAACTTGTTGCCCTATCCTAGGTTATCGGGTCTGGAATAGGTACATGGAGCGTGAAGCTGGAGAATGCCCGAAGGCTTCTTTTTAATGGCAATCACGGCAGCCAAGGACCCAAAGAAAGATTCCTTCAACTGCACTATACCTGGATGGCCGTCATTGGTCGAACTCTCTGGGCCCCAGTCTTGCCCATGATGCCCCTTACCGACCATCAGCTTTTAAATGACAGTATGGGATCTCCTATGCCACAATAACCTACATAATATACTGACGGTAACTTTAGACCACGAGTCGGAGATAGAGCTCTCTACGGAGCAGGAGCAATGGTTCGGGAATTTACCAGACTACTCCATGCTTGTGTTTATGCGCACCGCGACAGAATTTGCCCAAAAGGTCCGGCAAATCCAAATACAAGCAGACCCAGTCCAAACAATGCAGCAAATGCTGCCGGAAATAGCCGACCTGATTATCTCAGTCCGAATGTGGCAGCCAAAAGCCTCATCCGTAATGGAGCCGTATACAAAAGCAGCCCTTGACGTGTGCGAAATTTGGAGACAGGGCCTGCTCTGTTACATTTACACCGATATATGCGCCCTTTCGTCAAGTAATAATAGACTCGGACGATGTGTTGCAGCTGCAATCCCGGCCATCCAGAGACTTGCGTGGATGCAGTGCGTTCTTTGGCCGGTTTTTATGATTGGGCTACATGCGAACAATCAGGAGGATCAGTCTACGATCGAAGGCAGTTTGCAGAAAATGAACTTTGAGCATCGTTTTAAAACGCCTTTATCTTTGATTAATATCCTTCGGAAGGTCTGGAACTCACATGGCTCTTCTATCAAATGGAGGGATATCGTGTCTGAGTGTGGGTTGGAGTTGAATATTCTGTTATGAGGAAGCCTGCATCTCTACCAACTGACATCGAATCAGTATTAAAGTTGCAGAGTATCCATATGTAAAAATTAGGGATATCGTTTTACATTTATGGTGGCACTTGAAAGAGGTTTTTGGTAGAGAGCGTGGGATATCATGTTGAATGGAGTTAATGGTTTATGTAAAACAAAGGGACACCTGCAAGTTGTTGATATGTACAAGACTGTTCAGGCTGAGGCCTCACACATTCCAGATCGGCCACCTTTATTAGCATTGCTCCTTTGTCTTCACAAAGCAGACATATCCTTGAACGAAACAAATTCTCATGAACTGGCCAGCTACACCGTCGATTTGCGAGAACAAGGTCTAATCATCTCTTATCATGTCTTGTATGCATTTGTACCAATAGACTCATCTCCTTTTCGGAATAATATCATGGGAATAGCGGTCAGGAATTTTGGATTTATCACATTTTATTTGTGTTATTTGCGCCTACTAGCCGAAGGCATTTGGTGCCAACTTAACCAACACCAGCAAGCTCTGGCAAGAAAATCTTAAATTCATAACGGAAGCGCTAGGCCTAGTATGGCAGCCAAGCAGCAAGTGGGGCCAGCTAATTATGGCACATGAGATCATGAGATCACATTTCGTTTTATCATCCCGGTACATCTAACAAAGTTATTCACTGTCAATCTTTGTTAGAACTATTCTAATCCTTCATCTGTCTACCATGCCTTTGACAGGGCATTGTCTTTGCAAAGCTGTGAGTTATGTCGCTGATGTAACTGAGCCAGACCTGGTGGCCTACTGCCATTGTGATGGCTGTCAGCGTCAGAGCGGTTCGACTTATTGTGAGTTGATATCAGCTCTAAACAAAAATTTAAGAAAAGTAAAATCATCTACCTAAACAGCCGACTTGTCGCCTTGCAGCACTTATCGTGATTGTACCCAGATGCGAGCTTGCTATCAATGGCGGAGTCCGAACTTTCAGCAGTAAAGGCAGCTCTGGCCACACTGTTCTCCGTCATTCATGCCCTGAGTGTGGTAGCCCTCTGTTCGACGAAGCTACCAGCGTACCGGATGAGATAGCTATCAAAGGCGGTTCTTTGAAAATTAATGCCACGTCATAAAGAACGCACCTTTGAAGCTTATAGATTACCATACAAGATATCCCGCGAGGCCAGGACCATCGATTCGACTACCAGATTAGGGTACCGCTGCCGCGAATGGCGCTATTTGGAGGACTATATCGACGATAACAAGCCTGTTCAAAAGCAATCGATTCAACGAGACTGAATCACGTTTTAAACGGGGGTGATGTAACATGTGGACTATACTCTGTTTCCTATTCGGGTTAGCGCGGCTCGAACCCTATCTACGAGCCCCGGCACCTTCTTTTCATCTCTTCCCTACACTTAGTATTATTAACGAATACACTCATTTCCTCATGAACTGGGACCTATTACACAACCTACTCAAGCCAAAGATCAAGAGCTTCTTTATATAATTCTTTAGTCCCCAGAAGCTTCCCATCTTTGTTTCAAACTTCGTCTTGTCCCTTAAAAACACTAAGGAGATAACTATTCTTCTGCCGTTAGAGGCAACGTCTTTCTTTAGCTATATTATCACGCCTAGCAGGAAAGGCCTGTCGGTCTATATTCAGATATTCGTCCGACTTCAGGTCTAACAGTAGACCTTTTAGAAGTAATTAGATTCTGGTATAGACAAGATAGTGTAAAACATACAAATCATAGAATGATAAAGGGAAATCAGAGCCAGCCTTCATGCTTGACAGGTTTAAACCCGACGCTAGGTATGATAGAGGAATGACTGGCATTAGCCACGTTATACATTAGAATAAAAAGATAAATCAAATGAAAGAAATTCGTTCAGTCCCATTTCTGATAGAATAGGCACAAATACCGCTTTTTTGAAAAAAAAAAAAAGGGAGACATTCGGCTTACAGACATCAGTGTGCTAGTTGTCACAGAACAGATAGCCTTTTAGGCTATACTAATTTTAGAATAGCTAGGGCTATACTAGGGAACGAATGTTGATTGGATGTAGAGCGTTAAGGGGTAACTAGGTGTCGAATGATGATCACTGAGTCTGAGCCCGTGCTGACATCTACACACTGAGCCTGAGCCTGAGCGCCCTCATAAAAGCGGCGGCAGCCGAGAAAGGAAAGCCCCACCTGGCAGACAATATTTGGTTTATATAGTGGCATATCTTTGTATCGTCTTTACGACACTTACCCCATTTGGACAGGAAGGTTTTCGATGGACCCATTTCATTTCGCTTGAGTTCATGGTCCGGCTAGAGGCTCAGCAGTTGCCTTTCCTCTTTAATTACTGATTTCCCTCCACGGCTATTCTGCATTTCCTCGAATAGGCCCGGGAAGTCTCCCTTCGATGGGAACTTGAAGAGTACCATAATATTCACATCTTCTAATTATAATTAGCTTTTCTAGCGCCTGCCAAATATGATGGAAATGACCCCTCTGACCGATTCCCGAGACAATGATCACGACACCCACCCCCCAATACCACAATCCGAAGCGAGCAGCAAAAAAGAAAAAGAACCTCTCGCCGTCAGAAAATCTCGCAGATCTATATGGCTCGATTCATGGTTATTCGAGTGTATAGCACTGGCATTCAGCATTGCCTGTTTTATCGCTATAGTTATCGTTCTGCTCATATACGATGGCAAACGGCAACCCGACATGGCTAATGGCCTTACTCTCAACACGATCATCTCGGTTCTAGCGACAGGGTGCAAGTCGGCGTTGGTCCTAGTTATAAGTGAATCAATCAGTCAACTGAAATGGCCATGGTTTCAAAATCCTACACAAAGTCAAAATCAACTGGTCACCATTCAGAAGTTTGATGCTGCGAGCAGAGGGCCTCTCGGATCATTTATGATGATCATCCATCATCGCGCACAGTCCATTGTCTCCTTCGGCGCCGCAATCATAGTTCTTCTACTGGCATTCGATCCGTTCATGCAACAGCTTCTGACATACCCAGTCCGACCCATAATCAGCCAAGACAGCACCGCCAGTACGCCACAGCGACTTGCACACCTTCCCCTGGAACAAGACTCCACATCCGCCTCCTCATCCTCCTGGGACAGTGCTCTTGCACAAGCCCTCTGGACAAATGGCGACTTTACCGTTATACCCCAATGTTCATCAGGCAATTGCACATGGGATATATTTTCGTCCGTGAGCGTATGCAGCCGATGTGAAGACGTGACCTCCACCATTAAATTCGACTGCGAATCACCCTTGCCTTCAGTGAACGACGTAAAGAAGGCCTTCAACATATCATGCTATATTTACCTACCTGGCGGCATACCCCCCCATGTTTAACGTACTCGGTACCACGGACTCGGACGAATACTCCTCTTCGAGTCCCTCTTTAAATTTCCCATCAAAAATTATATGGCAGCCTTTCGATTACAGCTTATACCTGTCATCACATTTGCCAAACTATACGCTCAACGGCGTGATGAATCCTCTTTGGACAATCGCCTACACCCAACTCGAGCTAGACGGAAACCGGGTCTCAACAAATAAATCTATTGCTGATGCAATTCAGTTCAAAAACGCGACCGCATGCGCCGTTTCAACTTGTCTCAGAGACTACCACGTCTCTGTGAATAACGGTATTCCCTCCGTTCGATCTAAGAACTTCGAATTCGGCACTATCTACGATAATCCCTCCCCGGATTCCGATAGCTGGTCAAGGTGCTGGAAGCCCGGAGACGCTGGAGAGGACAAAAGTAAATTTGCCTTTTGCGACGACTCGATGTCGTCTTTTGGAACCGATTCTTTGGGGTTTATTCCCGATGCACTAAACTTGGAATGGGATTTTGATCACGTACTTCATACATGGTCCTTAGCGCCCACTAATGACGAGGAGATTCCGAACTCGAATCCAATTCTGCAGCAATATGTTCGCGTTGGCTTCGAAGAGGTCGTTACCAGGATGGCGGACTCTTTAACGAAGTTGGGTCTGGAAACTACGAATCACAGTGTTATTGGCACAGGGTATATTCCGGCGGCCTTTGTGGCCGTGAGATGGCCTTGGATTATTCTCCCTGTCATTCTTCTTGTTACTGGGGCTTTATTCTTGATGGTTACTATGGTCATCAGTAAGAAAAGCCATGCGCCGCTTTGGAAATCCTCTGCTCTGGCACCCTATTATCATGGAGTGGAAAGGGGTAGTGATGATGAGGATTATGACGAGCTCCTGACTGCCAGCTCTATGGAGAGAAAGTCGGAAGGGGAAACTGTTCAATTGCAGCGCTCTGAGGAGAATGGGAGATTGGTGTTACAAAAGCAGGGCATATTGGCCGACTCCTCTGGGCAAATTATTCAACCGAAATAACGATATTCGGAGTCATGGTGCAAAGGTTTACTGTGGTTTTCTTCTGCATGATATGCGATATACATAGAATAACCTAGAATTAGCGAGTCAAGCAAAGATTATACAAAAAGTGGTTATTAAGCGGTTAGGTTAGGTTATCCATGGTCATAAGCACAATTTGTGGCTGCGGAGCCGTGGATTCAATAGCCATCCCCACTAATCCATTCTTTACTAGTATTTGTTGCCCAACTTACTGAGCATCTCATGTACATTCGAGAAGGATTAATTTATTATGCCACCATGTGTGTGAGAGCTGCCAAAAGTTACAAAAAATGCCAATATGTTCCATTCCCTGCCCGCTAGACGCTCCCATGGTGCCATTGTCTCATTCATTATCTCATCATCCATGGTATCCTCTACCTTGGACCATGCCGGGAGGTGAATTTTCACTCGCAGCCAGTCAACCTTTGAGAATGAATATCAGAACTAGTAGTTCCCAATACCTTCCTAAAACCAACATATATGATATGGCAGCCACAGAAGTTTTCAATTTGAAAACGACCATATTGGGCCCACAGCTGCTCCAAGATGATCTGAGAAGGATTAGTGTAGGTCTCCACAAATACATTACTAGTAGATAGATGCCAAGCATGGCACGACTCTCTCTACCTCTTGTTGTTCTTCCTTCCTCAAATCTACACATTCCCAAAAGACTTGCCAATCGTCCTCTCTCCCATGGACCCATTCACAACTCTGCCTTTGGAACTCATCCAGCGAGTTCTTTCCTACATACCTGATTTTGTAGGCAAGGAAAGTCTTCTTTCCACTTCACCATGGGTCCAAAAAGTCTTCCGGTCGCAACCTCGCCGAGTCACATTAGACCTTATAAGGTGTAATACTATAACCTCGATGCCAGAAATTCAAAGACTACTCTATAATATTACTACGATCAACATCCCCTCAACCTACTGCAACAGCATTGATAGTTACCTAAGGCTATGCCCTAATTCGAACTCACAAACGGATAACATGGCCGAGGGTACTCCATCGGTCCTACCCGATAAAATAACGACAGAGGAAATAATCCACCTCATCTACCTCGCAGCGAATACACAGCGACTTGCATGTATATGCCTCTGCCACATGCAGCAAAATTCCATCTATGCAGTGGACAAGTCTCATGGCCCTGGCTCCACAGCAGCCCAACGGGCCGCTGAGCCAATCGTTTGGATCGAAGAATATCGCGTATAATGGGTCTATGGAATTTCAGCACTACAGCACCCTTCGAAATACCGCAAAGGAACGCTGGAATTGGTCAATGGAATCCTTGCAGGATTTGGACAATTCTTACGTGGCTTGGAATGATATTTCTAATTACTTGGGAGAGCAGATATGGACTGTGGCTGCTGTTGTGTCGGATTTGGGGTTGCTGCCGTTATACCGGCATTCGCATGAAAATACTAGCCAAAGGGCCAGGGCAAGAGCCGAGGAGGAGATAAATATAAATCTAGAAGAGGACGCAGAAGAATCCTCAATTCCCGCTTGGGAATTTCCAGCTGAAACGCCAATTCCAATTCCGTTCTTCGCATCGCTGGAGCTGGATATGGAGCTATGTCCACGTCTTAATTCTAGGCGGGCTGGCCATGGTTACGACTATCCAATCTGGAGTCCTCCCCCACTCCCAAACGATGAATGCCCGGTCGAGAAAGTTTGGAGTCAAATTTCGCGCTCTCGGCTACAGATGTCCAATTGCGCGCCTATGATCCGCGCGCACACCCTACTATCCAAATCTCGACCAGGATTCCAGCAGGCTTGGCGGGATCTCAGACAATTTAAACCCTTTCGGCGTATCGGGGTCATGGTGTGGAGTTTATGGCGCATGTACTCTGTCGGATTTTATTCGTCTCTTCCCGGGGTAGGGAAATAAGCACAACAGATGGAGGCTGCGTTCGAGGAGTGGACTTTCGCTTGTCGCCGTATGATGTTATTTCCAGATGGTTGGCATTGATTGTGATCATAATTCACACCGCCTGATGTGGGTGTGAATTATGATCACAGTCCCTCTACATTAGTTAAGATCATAAATCCTCTTTGATGAATATCTATTATCTAGAATGTTAAGCAACGATCTATTTCTTTCTAATAATGAACGTCCGAAATACTGCCCCTGCGACAATTAGGCAATACCAAAGCTCCTCCCATCCAAACAGGCAGCCCACACAGTATTATGGAAACTTATGCCACCGCACTAAGGATGTGCTCAATCAACTGAGTTCCATTCAACTCAACCGGCATGGCTTCATCCAGCGCCTTCTGCGAATACTTTGGAGGATAAATCACATCCCGATTGATATATCCCTTCACCCGCTTTGCCATATCCCCCGTAATCTTTACATCTCTCTCCCACCCTTCAGAGACAACTGCACCATAAGCACCGAGATCCAGACAGCAAACGTATGCAGGCTGAGTATAAGCTATCAAGGGTTCGTCAAGAAGATCAGCTGCGGCGTTATACCCCGACACACGACCAAGCGGAATTGCATGCTGACAAGACATCATAGTATAGTGGCCTTCTGTATCCGAACGAGCATAAGCTGCATCACCGGTGGCAAATACATCCCGAGATGATGGAACGCGAAGGTGCTGGTCGACGTGAAGACGACCAAGTCCATCCTTGGTTCCGGAAATTTGCTGCGTTAGAGGTGTTGCCCTCACACCAGCGGTCCAAATGGCGGTCTTGCTTTCAATTCGCTCGCCAGATGCAAGAGTCACACCGTCAGCATCGATTGCGGAGACGGATGATCCGAGCTTCAATTCAATCCCGAGATCGTTTAAGGCTTGCGCTATAACAGGACGAGGCCCAGGTCCAAGTGCGTGACCAACTTCCTTAGAATTATCGATCAAAACGATTCGGTGATTTGGAATACGCGTCAGGCGTTTGGGAAGTTCTGTCACGATCTCAAGGCCTGTAAACCCGCCACCGCATACGACGATAGTATCGCGGGCAGGGCTTGAAGGAAGGGAAGCCAAATGCTCAATATGAGTCTCAAGCTTGATGGCTGAATTCATTGAGTCGATATCGAACGCGTGTTTCTCAATTCCGGTAATCTTCTGAGGCCGCACGATAGAGCTGCCAGCTGCCAGATAAGGCGGTCATAGTCAAGACTTGACTCGAGACCGGATGCAGATTGAACAGAAACTGTGTGTGTATCGGAATCGATTGTTTTCACAATGCCTTGGAAGAATTTGATGCCTGCATCCTCAAACAGAGCTCCGAGGGGGTGGGTGAAGCTGGCCGCATTCGCTTCGTAGAGTCGCGGACGTATGACCAGGGTTGGCTCGGGTGAGATGACGAGTACCTCGATATCTTTCTTTTTCTGCGAAAGATTGATAAGGCGCTTAGCTGAAAAGGCACTCCAGACGCCGCTGAATCCGGTACCGACGATGATGATTCTACTAGTAGTCCGAGTCATTGTTGAAGTTGGAAAGATTCAAAAGGTGTAAAACCGCAAAGAAGACGAGTGGTGTTTCAATTGAGTGATGTTCAATGTGAACTATGAGATAGAATTAAAGATTCTATAATCTATATAAATTCTCCGGGTAAGCCTTTAAGATATTGCGCAATATTCGGGAATCACAGTACTACCGTCAGTATTGTGTTTGGTTCGCCGAGTTACCGTCCGATTCCCGAGCGGGTGCCAAATACACGGATACCCGAGTACCCGTTCGTCATGGCGTGCTATGAACATCAATTCTCTCCTGGTTTCTCGCAATGAATACACAACAAAATTCTAGCCTCTAGGGCTATGTGATCTTCTCTCGCTTGCTTGGCCTGTCACTTGCGTCTTGTAGAGTGCGATAGGGAGTAGCCGTGTCGTGCCCGCTGCGCTGAGTTGGGGGACAGTGCAACTATACTTAATTAGACTTCAGTGTCAATGAGCTAGTGTAGAGGAGAAAATCAAATAGGTATAGAATAACGATAATGGCTTATAGTACATGCTAATCTAGTAATATAGGTCTTTATCATTTAAGATGGTGAGAAAGAAGATACGAACTACTAGGTTGTTACCATTTTTCATGCCTGACGCGGATGGCATCCACCTATGCATCCACTGCCTACGCTTGTATCTAGCTTTCGTCCTAGCTTCTTCTTTTTCTTTCTCCTTAAGCTATTGCTTTCATCAAACTGCTATAACTACCTTTTCCTAATATCGCTACATCATACCTTGGACTCTGTGGGTATCTAAGCGTCCACACTGTAATAGTTTCCAACACTCAAAGCCCGGAGATCTGAGCAACCTTACAGGAGTATAGGTATTAGTATTATAAAGTCTTCTTTTGCTGTCATTGAGGTGTTTACTATACACTAATATTTCCTACTGTCTTTTCTTGTATTCAAATGTCCCAGTGACTTTTCCTTCTTTTTTTCTACTAGTAGATATAGCGGGCTGGTATAGTGATACGTCAAGCTCTAGACAGGAGGAGGTTTCGGCTCCCCAAGCTCTGGCTGGCTGGACTTTGCGGTTTAGAACTTGAACTGCTTTTGTCTGATTAGTTGGCTAAGTTGTGCTTTATTGTAATAACTTTAGATAGAGTAAGGGAAGCTTGGTTGGGGGTCAAGAATATGAGGAATGACTTCAAGTTAGAATATTGAGGATGAAGAAATATAAATAAAGTTGAGATTTTGTCAAATAAACCCGCTCCGCTTAAAAATAAATCCAAATCAAACCCAACCAGCTACCTAACACCACACCATACCCCAATCCAATCAATGAAAGCTACGCATGCGATGCCGAGCACTGGTGTTACACCAATCACACTATTTTTTCATCCCTCGTCAGTATGAGATCATTTTCCAGGGGGTGAATACATGGGGAGGCCTACCATCGTGGCTGAGCATCCCTCGTTATGCTCGATGCAATAATCACCCCGGCAACTTTGGCATGTGTGTTGGCAGTCTCGCTTGCAGGATGCGCACTATGATACAGATACGTTAGATACAATTCGAATTTGCACAAAAGAAGGCACTCACGGTTGGTCCACATTCCCAGCAATCTTTGCTGACACCTCTTTGTAATCTCTGTGAAACGAAATGATATCAGCCACACTGTCTTGAGAAATCTTCCGCATTGCATTGCATTATACGTACCACACTCATCTCCCCAACCGGACGAACCGCAGTCTGATGCGGCGACAAATTAGCCCTAACATGCTGCGGATTCTCCAGACAATTCTCGCAAAACCATTTATTGCACCGGTGACACCACCGGTCTGTAAGACAATCCGTGCATCGAGCAATCAGCACAGGGTGTTTACCAGGGATGCGTAATTCAGGACGCTTGGCGAAGGACACACTGGACTGGTGCATGGGTACCGGTCCTAGGAGCGGGAATTGAATGTCTCCACCACTGCCAGTGCCAGTGCCAGTGTCACTTTGGCCCCAGATTGCTGGGCCTTCGGGGGAACTGTGGCAGCCGTCGCAGCCGCGTGGGCCTAGGGCGACTGTTGCCACTGCGGGGCCGAGCATGGGGGCTACCTCTGGGGTAAGGGGTGGGGGTGGGTTTTCGTCCCCTTCCACCGTTGTGTAATTGTTGACATCATGTCGTGTTCCTCGACAGAGGATTGCGTCGAATGCAATTATTCCCTCGCATTTCTGGATCGTCTGCGCCCAACCTTCCTCTATGCTATGCTTGTAGAGCTTGCCGGTTGGCGAGTACCATTCATTCTGCTGGTGTTTGAGAACTGGGGTGGATTCTTCGTCTTCTGCATCGGAGGAATTGTTCGAGGAAGATTCACTAGAACTCCGGGTATTTGCGTTTCCTACGCGGTCACTCCACCAGTCTCTGTATCTCCGGCGGCGCACAACGGGTCGCGGGGCAGTGTGTCGCGGTGAGAAATGGTAGATTCCTTTCACTCGGGGTGTTCCCTCTGGACGTGTGGGGCGAACGGAATATTGGATGGCCTGCATTAATTTGCGTTCGTTGAGATTACGACATTCGCGGATCGATAGTATGTTGACGTTAAATCGGTCTGTTAAGATGACTTCGGCGACTAGATCGGCTGGGACGGAGAGACCGTCTAAGACGAGTGTGCGCACGTCTTGGAGTATAGATCTTCTTTCCAGACTGATGAAGATGTGTCGCAATGGTTTGGAATAGAATTCATCTTCGGTTTGGGTATCATTTTCATGGTTTGTAGGTTCTCGAAGTTGCGCGCCTCTGCAGCGGGTTAGATCGAGGTGTCGGAAGAGGTATGGAGTGTGTGTGATCATGTTGTGAAGCAGGCGTGAGGATGAAGCCAATGCCATCATTGATGGGACGGAGAGGTATGGGGCCATGTGGTCGAGGATTAGGCTGTTAGTTAGCATCTCCTCGAGTGGTGCTTGTCGCGGCGGTGCGGGTGCGGGTTGCGCGGGTTGCGCAATGGGCGCTGGTGTTGGGATAATTTCCAAGGGAGTCAGCTCGCGCACCATAGGCTCGAAACCCAATTCCTTTGGGGTTAAACGCCGTGCGCCGTAGAAGTCGGGGGCTCGACCGATGAGGTTTTGGCGATAGGCCTCCATTGCGCCGACGGAGACCTCATCGCCGATGCGAAAGAGTGGCGCATGAGGTTGGATCTCCTCGAGAGCTGCTCGAGCCTTGACGAGCTCTGACTCGAGGAGGTGGATGGTAGATTGGAGGACAGCAGGCATGGCGTCGGGGGTTGGGTCAATGGTGGAGATCAAGGAAATCCAGAGGTCGTTGGACATAGTCCGAGGATACAAGTTTATATATACTCCGTAGAGATGGGAGTGAGTGGGGGCAGTCCCTTTTTTTTGTGAGGGGAGAAGTGATGGATCAACTTAATCAAAGAAAAGGAAGCATGGGTGGGTGGGGGGGGAAGAACAAAAGAACAAAAGCTCCGGTGGAGAACGGAAATTCAAAGCCGGGGTGGAGGGAGGAGATGGAAAAGATGGAAAGGATTGGATGAAAGAATTGAGTAAGAAGAGTCGGTCTGGTAGGGGAGTACTACTCTAGCACGCAAGGAGTAGGGGTGAGTACAGAGTGCTTGTAGTTAGGGGATGCAAGTATACAGCAAGTATACTTCATGTCATAACTGACTGCCACTCGTAGTTATAACTTATACTCCTCTAGTACTTATACTCGTACTTATCACTTCTATCCAACCTCTTCCTCCCCTTCCGCAAGGGGTATCCCGCAATGCGGGACTCCACAGGTACGCACAATCATGTACAGTATGTACACATCGGATCAGAAGTATCCAATTCAATCGTGTAACTGCCTCTGCCCCCATCCAACACAATCTTGACAAGCCCCACTGATCCGCCGGTCACGCGGGTCTCGAAAAGACTCCACTTTCTTCTGGCGCCGAAGTGGCGAGATGCACGCTATCGTGGTCCAATAGTCCATTGGTACTATACACACTCAGTAAGTACCCTGGCCGATCCCGGAAAAATCAGATCAGGCTGATCTTTGCTCCTATGTACAATGTGTTACGAACTACGAGTACATCTTGGCGTCGAGGCTGAGACTGAGACTGAGATACGACTAGGACAGGTCTTGGATCAATAGCCGCTACCGTTATACCTACTGTATGAGTCCTCAATGCCAATGCCAATACCAATGCCAATGCTGCCAAGCCAAATAGCTGACGCTGGGGAGATCCTGCCAAGAGGATAATGGCAATCATGGTATGTTGATCCAGTTGATCAGGGATCAGGGATCAGGGGAGATCCCTGCTGTATTGCAACTTGCCAATCTGGAAAGGGAAGGGAAAGGGGCAGTGCCGTTGAGAAACACTCAATGTGTACTCCGTACGAGTATTTTGTATTCTGCTCAGGGTACTCCTACTCCGCGATTGCTGGGGTTATCGCGGAGTTTAGCAAGGGCAAGTTTAACGATTGGTACTCCAGACAGAACAGAATGTTGGGCTGGCCACTAGTCTAAGGTTGGTTGTCGGTGAGTCGCATCACCCCACGCTTCCGGGCGATTCGATGTCGGGGTAGTGTCCGAGTACATTAGTACGGAGTACTACGAGTATATACGGATACAGGTGTAATTTGCATTTGTTCATATCGCTAAGCGAAGTTCATTTCATATTATCCACTTGCCCAATCCTTAAATGCAATGCGGTCATCCCGATCCACTATGGAATAGTCCCCATCCGTCCCGGAAGAACGAACTCCGAGGAGACAAGTGTGTACAGGAGAGTACTGGTATACTGAACTACCTCGATTGGATCTAGTGATACATGGTCGTCGATCTCTTGCTCTTGCTTTCGCGCTCACTTTACCCCTACTCTACTTCCACAATTTAGACACGGCCACCTCCTTGTCATCATGCTTATTGAGAATCTTGGCCGTCGCCAGGTCAAAGTCCTCCTGTGTAACGTGCACTCGTCGCTCACGCAGCGCGTACATACCAGCCTCCGTGCAGACACCCTTCAACTCGGCTCCCGAACACCCGTTCATCTTCTCCGCAATCTTGGTAAGGTTGATTCCGCGTGTCAGGTTCATCGATCGGGAGTGGATTCGTAGAATATCGGCACGAGCCTCGACCCTGCAGATCAGATCATGATTAGCACTTGATCCTCTGAAAAAGATCGTATAAACACCACAGAAGGGGAAAAGGGGACTCACGAAGGAGGGGGGGAATTCGATCTTGCGATCAATACGCCCTGGTCGCAGAAGCGCCGGGTCCAGAATATCCAGTCGATTGGTAGCCATAATAATCTTGATGTTCTTAGTCGGCTCAAAACCATCCAGTTGGTTCAGCAACTCCAACATCGTCCGTTGCACCTCCGAATCACCACCACCAGCAGAATCTATCCGGCTAGATCCAATGCTATCAATCTCATCCATGAAGATGATACTGGGCGCGTGCTCACGAGCCATGACGAACAACTCTCGCACCATGCGACTACCCTCACCAATGTATTTCTGCACCAGTTCCGAACCACTCACCCGAATGAAACGGCAGTCGGTGTGATGGGCCACGGCTCGTGCCAGCAATGTCTTTCCGGTACCCGGGGACCGTAGAGTAGGACACCCTTGGGCTGTGCGATACCAAGAGACTCGAAGAGCTCTGGGTGCTTGAGACCGAGCTCGATCACCTCCTTGATTTCCTTGATCTGTTGGTCCAGACCTCCGATCATGTCATATGTACTGTCGGGAACCTTCTCCACCATCATCAGCGAGACGAGCGGGTCGACGGAGGATGGGAGCATCTTCTCCAGTTTGTAGGAGTCGGAAAGGAGGGCGACTCGCTTGCCCACGGTGAGCTTTGCAATGTCGACGCCGTCGGCGATATCCACCACTGTTTCAAGCGCGTTAGAAATGGGTTCCCTTCCGTTGTCTTTGATAGATATCACACAACCCAAAGATTGCTTGGACATTGTAAATGCATACCGTATTTTCCTTCTGGGTGCACCTTCACCAACACCTTCTTGGTGCTCATCACCTTGACGACTTCGCCGACATACGAGCCGGGTTGCTGAAGCAAGCCAAGCTCTTCCCTCAGCAGACGCACCCGGGAGTTGTAGTCATTGCGCTGAGCCTCTAATCTTCGAAGAACTGCTTGGCCCTGGATGATCTCGAGCTTCATGCCCTCAATCTTGTTGCGGTAGTAGTTGTCCAACGCCATGGCGAATGGAGGGATGGACGGGGGACCAAAGGGAATTCAAAAGCGATGGTCTCGGTCCAAAGGTGTCTAGGTCCTCCCTTTATAATTCCAGACGGGTGGGTGAGAGAAGAGGAGGGCGGGAATGATGGAAGATGGACGATGGGTAATGAGAATGGCGATGAGGATGACGATGTTGACCTGCCGGCAGCTCTGGTGTTCCGCAGCTTCGACGAGCTGCTGAGCACATGACCTGGTCTTTGCTTGGCCTTGTGGCCTTATCTGTCAGGTAAAGAAGGAGTGCAAACATGCAAACAACTATCTAGCTAGTGCAAACAGTGCAAATGAGCTGACCTACCCTGCTGAGTCAGTCAGGCATCCGCCAAGATGATTGGCACTCGTTCCACGGTTGCACACGGCCGCGTGGAGAGCTTCCCTGACGACCCTGATGACCCTGCACCTGCAGCATCTATCTTCTCTTTCTCAGATGACCAGTGGTTGTTGATTTCATCTGTTGAAGCTGTGTACCCCGTCATGTAATCGGGTTGAATTTACTTTTTCTTATCATTCTCGATCTTCGCGATCGTTTTCGCCCTTCACGTTTCTGTTTGGCTTTCCGCTGATCACTAGGACCCTTCCAAAATGGCGGATAAGAAGGACAGAGACACCGACAACCCGGAGGCGTCGGTGTCGGCGTCAGCATCATCTCGCCCTGTCGGAACACCAGCTAGCGACTATATTTCCGCCTCATCGGTACCTCCAGTGAGACCTGCGCCATCATCCCGAAGAACATACGGTGAGATTACTTTTTTAAGCTCCCTTGTGTAACACGAGAAAACGTCCCTCGGTTGCTGATAGCTGGGGAAACAGGGACCCTGGATGCATATACCATCGAGTCAACTCCCGAAACCCGCCTCGACGAATCCCAGGAAGATTTATCGTCTCGCCCATTCGTCTCCCCTCCTCCGGCCTCGGATAAGCCCAGAAAACCCTCCGTCACCAGACGCATGTCCTCCAAACGTCAAGTTCCCCATAAGGGTCAGGAGTTCTCAACAGATGATGATGTACAGGAGGTCGAGCAGGACTTCGCCTCCTACCAGGCCTCTACCACGCAGCCTTCCCCGAGAATTCGTCCCTTGCGTGCACAGAGCTCCACTCTTAGAAGACGCCCGAGTGTCCGCCCTAGCCCACTGACGCGAGCCGAGACCGATAATCTTGACGGAAATGACGCCAGCTTGCCAGCCCCCGGTCTCGAAGCCTCGGTCGAAATTCCATCGCTGCGAGAGTCGGACGGGGAAGAGGAGGAAGAGAGTGCCGACGAACCGCATGATACTGAGGAGGAGGAGGAGGACGATGACGATGATGAAGACGATGTCGACGACGCGAGTGACGCGGAGAGCTTCACGCTCAAGGACCGACAGCAAGCCATTAATGAAACTCACCCGTTCGGTATCAGGATATGGAAACCTGCCCTGTATAAAAAGAGCCGCTCGGTGGAGAAGAGCGCTGAAGGTGATATCCACTCATCTCCAGGGGGGGCGGTCAGCCCTATGCTCTTCTTGACAAACATTCTTTGGTCCCTGGTTTTTGGTTGGTGGCTTGCGCTGGTCGCTCTATTGGCTGCCATCGCATGTTTCGTATTCGCTTATTCCTCCAGCGCCGTGGCCTATGGGAGAGTATTTTCGGGACTTTCCCGATATCTGTTCTATCCATTCGGCTCTTACGTTCTGCTTGAGACTGATGAGATTTATGCGGAAGAGGATGAGGGTGAAGGACGCAGTATCAGCGAGTATGAGCAGTGGCAGAATGGTGATTTGGAGCATGGTCGGCTCTTCTTTGGCCCGCACAGGGACCGATCCCTCGTTGGTCGACGTCGAAATAGTGTTGATTCCGCCAGTGAGAATGATAGTCTTCTGGGTCGGACACAGCGAGGACAACGTGAGGATTCATCACAGTTTCCTCAGTCCAAGCGGCGCCTTTTCGGTCGAGGAGAGTGGACTATTGGCCGAGTTGTCTTTTTCATTTTCTTCTACTTCTTAGTGGGACCATTGATGCTCATGGTTTCGCTCGTTTGCTGGCTGCTTGTCTTCTTGATTCCGATGGGTCGAGTGACAACCATCCTTGCGAGCCATCTGCGGCGACACCCTCTCGCCTTGTCATTTCACTCCGATACCTCATATGCTAGACTCAGCTCGGGGTCTTCTTCGCCTTCCATCCTCCTCTGCACATACCGAGCCGCCGGATCGAGATACTGGAAATATACGATTGACGGAACGAACATATTTTTCATCAATTTGCTTGGCGTCGTCGTCTTTGTGATTTTCGACTACTTCGTGCTCGATAAATTCCTGGGCTTGCAGTCCTGGCTGACCCACCCCGGTCTGATCTTCACTCTTGCTCTTTTCTCCGTCATCCCACTGGCATATTTCATTGGGCAAGCTGTGGCCTCAATTTCGGCTCAGTCGTCAATGGGCCTGGGTGCTGCAATCAACGCATTTTTCTCGACTATTGTAGAAGTTTATCTCTATTGCGTTGCTCTAACCGAAGGCAAAGCTCAGCTGGTTGAGGGGAGTATTATCGGTAGCATCTTCGCTGGTGTTTTGTTTTTGCCTGGTCTTTCCATGTGTTTCGGCGCTATCAAGCGCAAAACACAACGGTTCAATGTGAAATCCGCCGGTGTGACCTCGACAATGCTCCTATTTGCTGTAATTGCTGCCTTTGGGCCCACCCTTTTCTACCAGGTTTATGGCAGTGTAAGTATCATTTGCCTCCCCTTGCTGAATCGCGAACCGCTAGCTAATCTGCATACTACCGCCATATAGCATGAACTGAATTGCCACGCATGCGAACAGCCTGGGATTGACAGGGACTGTCGCCAGTGCTATTTCTCCCAAACAGCTGCGGTCCAGGACTCGTTTTTCGAAAAGGCGGTCCAGCCTTATGCGTGGTTTGCTGCCTTTCTCCTCTTTTTATCATACATCATCGGCCTTTGGTTTACTCTTCGGACCCATGCTGCCTTGATCTGGGCTACTGAGATGGAGGAAAAGAAGGCTGCTCAGGCAGCTCAGGCAGCCCAAGCCGCCCAATCTGCCCCGGACTCTTTCCCATATGAGCCAAGACATCTTCTGTTCTCTGGTGGTGCTCCCGAGGCCTCTGGCGCAGCTACTGGCAACAAGGATTCTATTCGGGAGTCCCAACTGTATAAGCGCATCGTGGGCCAATCACTCAAGCACTATGGCCTGGATGACGGCAATTCCTCCGGCAACTGGGAACAAACAGAGAATGGCGGTTCTTCCTCCACCGATACCAAGGGAAACACGCCCCATCTGGTACCTCCTCGAACAGCCGGTGCTGATGGCTGCCCTGTACCCAAGGCCATACGGGGTCTTACTGGCGAAGATAACGAGCGTCTTGTGCGTCAGGTCACCGATGTTGCGGCGACTGCTGCGGCCATGGCTGCTCGCGACGCGACTAGGAGTCGTAAGCCCGCAGGTCAACAAACTGCCGGACGCCATGCTGGTCGGGCTATGGCAGATCAGGTGAAACCTCCTGGTGACGAGGGAGATGCTTCCGGTATTGTCGTCGACCCTACCGCCCATGCAGCAGCTGGAGGAGGTCATGATGCGCCGAATTGGAGCAAGGCCAAGAGTGCCATCATCCTAATGGGAGCTACGATTCTCTATGCCATCATCGCTGAGATTCTTGTCAACACCGTTGATGTCGTGCTGGAGAATGTGGACATTGACGAGAAGTTCCTCGGCATTACTCTCTTCGCTTTGGTGCCCAACACAACCGAATTTTTGGTATGTAGCATGCTATCCTCTCGGCTTCGGGTCTTTTAGACTCTTCCGTGCTGATTTACTGACACTTTGCTTCTAGAACGCTATTTCCTTCGCGATGAACGGCAACATCGCCCTGTCCATGGAGATCGGTTCTGCATACGCATTGCAGGTTTGCTTGTTGCAGGTTCCCGCTCTTGTCCTATTCAGCGCCCTGTATACCCGCTCGATTGACCCAGCCGAACTCGCGAGACATTCGTTCAAGTGAGTATCTTTGATATATACGATATTTCCGAGACCCTCCTTACTAACTTCAATGACAGTCTCATCTTCCCCCAGTGGGACATGATCACCGTGATTCTTTGCGTTTTCCTCCTGTCGTACGTCTACGGCGAGGGAAAGAGTAATTATTTCAAGGGCTCCATCTTGGTCCTTACCTATCTCGTTATTATCAGCGGGTTCTACCTGTCTGGTTACAGTAACCTGGATAACATGGGCATCGACCGATTCGATACCCTTGCTCTGGGAACAAGCCAGTCCCAAAAGTTCTACACCATTGGACGTACCCGTGCCGGTGCGGCCTATTAGTTGGACATAGCTGGTTAATTGATTTCAAATCTTCCATCAGTCTTTTGTTTTGCTTAATTTCTTCGGGACCGCCATGGTCGACTCCACCTCCCGTCCCGTATCATACTGTCTTTGCATAGCGGATTTTCAAATTTGCATCTTATGATATGACTTCTTTTTTTTCACTTAATTGCACTGCTCGCTTGACACTAGCTTTTTTTTGGAGGCATTCTTGCTGGACGGGGCCCCTATGTTGCATTTGGATTTTCCTGCGTTTACTCAAGCTGAGGCTGTAAGCCCAGGCGTCTGGCATCTGTTTTCAACGTCCGTTGCCTCAATAATGACTGGATTCAAATTGCTTTTCTGCTTTTGTAAACTGCTGTAGTGACTGCAGATGTAAGACATCCAATACCATATAAACTTATCCCTTCGCATGATGCCGTTATTCCCTCCCACTCCCACTTCCACTCCCATCAGACCGACCCCCATTCTCCCACAGCATCATCAACCGATTTCCGATACTTCTGCTGCTTAAAGCACTGTTCCAAGAAAACCTCATATTTCGCCCGTAAAAGAGCCAACTCCTTCCCATCTTCTGTAGGAACAACCTTCTTACCAGGCTTACTCATTCGATCCATAATATCCCACAAATCCTCCGTCTTACCCTCAGTATCAGCACTAGCTGCCTTCGCGCCCAGCATAGCCGCACCATGACACACAGCCGCGTGAATATACCGCGGTATAACGACCGGCATTCCACACGCAGATGCAATCAGATTAACAAGGATATCATTCTGACACTGCGAACCAGACATGAAAATTGACGTGAGGCCGTGACCAGCTTGATTCATCGTTTCGACAATCTGTTTCGTTTGAAGTGCGATGAATTCCATCGTTGCGTAGTAATATATCGCCAATCCGTCAACGGACTTATCACTCGTTAACCCGATGACAGAACCCGTCATGGCTGGATCGGCAATGGGAGACCTATTCCCCCATAAATCGCCGTAGAAGAAGAGATGTCGGCCCAGGTATGCGATGCAAGGCGCTTTCTGCTCAATTACCATCTCCTTCAGATGTTCGTTCAGATATTCGTATATGTTTGTGTGGTAGGACTCTGCGATCGAGAGAGCCTGGTTGAACGCGGGATGTGTTTCAATAACATGTTTCAATAATTCTCCCGTGGCAGATTGTCCCCCCTCAGCCATCCAGTAATTTGGAATAATGGTGTCTCTGTACGGTCCCCAGACACCCGGTACAAAGACCGGATCAGCAGACATCGCCAAATGACATGTCGATGTACCCGCCACAGCCGCGAGACGAGAAAATGCCTGTGCCTTATCATTCTTCGCGGCATCGGCGTTCAATTGGTCGGAGTCGAGATTGATTTTCGCTCCCACGGTTCCTATCCAACCCGCATATGCGTCGATGACTCCACTGCCGATAGCAATGCCAGCAGGAAGACCTAGCTCTGTAGCAGCCTTTTCGCAAAGATAACCAACAAGTTCACCGGCAGAGAGATAATCGCCATTCTGTAAACAACAGGGTCAGCTAATCCAAATCCTTTTGTAATTCAAGGCCAAGGGCTCACCACCCCATCAACACCACCCATCCTCTTAAAATCATCCTCAACCAAATCCTCTAACCCAATCTCTTTCAAAAAATCCTCCTGCCACCCCTTAACACTCCCATCAACACCAACAGGAACATACCCCTGTTTACAAACAGCACTGCAAAAGCTACGCTTCTCATTCCCTGTCGCGATATGCGTAAGTGCATCGGCCAGATCGTAAAAACTGCATTTTTCAAAAAGTTCCGCAGGCATGTGATTCTTTAACCAGAGGACTTTCGGAACTTCCATTTCAATGGACATTGTTCCGCCGACGTAGCGGAGTAGGTTGTGATTTGTGGCGTTGATTTTTGCGGCTTCCGTGACGGGTCGGTGGTCTAGCCATAAGATTACGTTTCGGTCTGTGTCGAAGTTGGGTCCTGTTACTGAGATTGGTTCGGAGGTTTCGTTGTTGAAGACGGATAATGAGCATGTTGCGTCGAAGCCTATTCCTCGGACTGTTGAGGGGTTGATGTTTTGCTCGGTTAGGGCGCGTTGGACGGCGGTGCAGATGCAGGTCCATATGTCTGTTGTTGATTGTTCCTGGGTTGAATGGATTAGCTATGGTTCTTTATTCGAGGTATGTTTATGTATGTGTATGGGGAAGATTGTACGTAGAATCCATGGTCGGGTTGCCAGAGACCGATATTCTCGGAGGCTAGGCCGACGATGTCGCCTTTTGCGTCGATGACGCAGGCTCGGGCACTGCCTGTGCCCACGTCTATACCGATGTAATGGTCTAATTGGACTTGAAGCTCCTCTCGTGGGTCACTGGAGGCTTGTCGAGAGGCCTGGCGATCGGGACGACGGTGGGGTAGAGAGGTCATGTTGTGATCTGATAGTTCTTTCTCCGGGGGTTTGTATAGAAATGAGAGAGTTATAGATGAGGTTCTGAGGATATTCCAAGTATGTGTTCTCGGATACTTCTCAAATATATAGTGGAGGGCAGGAATGGGGGAAGAGGCGAGAGGCAAAAAAGACAACAATTCTTGAGTTTGATGGCGGGGGATGAGTTCGCTCGTTGGTTGTGGGGAACAGGGGGGGGAACAGGGGGGAACAGGGTTAGTCCAGTTCTGATGGAGATATTCCAAATGCTGACTGGTAGATATAGCCGACGATTCATTTTTGCCTAAGTACCATCTACACAGTAAATATACATAATATAATATACTTATAGTTACAGCCTATGTACTACTAACTGCTATTGAAGTACGTTGGTGGACCCGCACAGCACGGACCCGCGGACATCCTCGACTTCAACCTCACCTTCAACTTCAAGCTTGCTCCAACTCCACCTCCCTCACATCCACATCCACAACCATGAACCTCCTCACCCTCCTCGGAGCGCTCTCGCTCCTACTAATCTCCGCCCTCGCCGATTCCACCGCCGACATCTTCTACTGGCCCATCGGCGCCTCATCACCCTCCGTCCTAGCCCGCGTCTCCTTCGACCCAACAACCCAGAAATCCAACGTGGTCTCCTACAACGCACCCTCCGGTTCCACCGACACCCTCGTCCGCATCGGCCTATACACCACAACTCCCTCAAACCCCAAGCAATGGGTCGGATCTCTCGTCTCGCTATCATCCTTAACCGACAAATCCCAACAACCTACTTTCCGCCTCCATCTCGGGACCGACCAATGAACTCTATCACGTTTCTCTGGCCGCTAAGGATGCTACTTCTCCCCAGGCTGAGCTAGTGTTGAGTGAGCCCGGTGCGCAACCGCATCTTAATCGTCCGGTGGTTGTTGGTCCGGATGGGGCTGATACCGAGGCTGTGGAGGAAAAGAGCATGTTGCAGAAGTAGGTTTCTTCGTCCACTCCTGATTTGCGTGGACTTGGCTAATATATTGGTTTTTGCAGGTATTGGTGGGTGCTTGCGATCGTTTTCTTCTTGACTATGACTAGTGGCGGCGGGGGAGAGTAGGGATAAAAGCGGGTTCGAATAGATTGTTGAATCAATTATCTCTTTCTTGATACTGGGAACTTACCGCGGAGCATTTTCGTTCCGACTATTCGTACCGTAGCGACGGAGTCCCTGTATATCCCTATATCCCCAGGCTCGCATGGCTAGGGCCCGGTTTGCAGCTTAGACTACATCTTGAGGTGTGGAGCAGGTTCGAGGTAAGAAGGTCTTTTTACGTTCAGTTCAAGTGGCAAGTATTACAAAAACCATTGGGGTCGAATGAAACCGAAAACTGAAAAGATTGAACTCCATGCATTTGGTATCGAGCAAACTAAACTCCATCCATGTGGACCCCTCAGGGTCGTAATCGAGCTGGAAAGTATGAACACACAAGAGAGCAGGGGAAACAAACAACACCCCTTAACACAAGCCACACAATCGCTACATATCTCCTTCTTCTCCTTCTGAGTCGGAGTAGTTCAGTACTTCTATCGGGCCATGCTCCGGAATACCATCGCTGTCAAAAATACCCTTGCAGTTCTCAACAACTTCCACCCCCCTGCCATCCGACTTGAGCTTCAGGAGCATAAGTCCTCGATCAGTCATAGCAATCAATACATTCTCGTCAACTGTGAATTCGATCTGTGAGCAAACTGCACCCAGATCAATTACGACAGGCGGTAATTCCGTCACACCGATTGTCGACGACGTCCATGATTCAGGGTAGAAACCACTCTCGTTACCCTCGACCAACGCATGCGGGTTCAGTACCCAGACTGTAACCGTTTTCCAGCTCGCAGCTGCGATCCGAGTACCACGGAAAGAAGTAGTCATCAGAGATCTGTGCGAGGTATTCGATTCGTGATATCCGTCCAGTCGGGCCATGATCTGCCACTGGTCGAATCTGCGTCCGCGGTCGAGATTGCGCTGATGGTCACACCGACCAGAGAAAGCTTCTGACTTGAGCAAGCATGCTACTGTCCAGTGCTCTACTCGGTGAGTGGCAATTCCGACGGCAAGATATTGCCAGTGACATCGGCCGCCTGGGAGCTCGTGGCCTGGTTCATGCTTGCTGAAGAATGGAAGATCGATCGCGAATTGCAGAGACAAAGAGTCTGAGAATCTAACTCGGCAAGCATTGCGAGCCAGTTTGGGTTGTTCCGAGGCACCCATCGATGGTAGTGAATGGAGTTTTTGGAATGAACTGTAGAGAGTTTGCCCTCTATGGTAATGTAGCAATTGGCTCCATTCATCTTTGAAAGCCAACCCCATTGCGGGGCCTCTTCTCTCGATTTCTTCATGACTGAACCCCTGGCCGCTTGTCTCGGCGTCGGTCTCGATGGTCTCAGTGAGAACGCAGGAATCGTATCTCGATCCTAGTGAAGGCGTCAGCGAGCGAATTGGTCGATAACCAGGAGTAACTTCAAACAAACCTTTCATTTGAATCGTTTCATCTTGCTCCTCGTCCTCATCGTCCTCATCATCGTCCGCATTTGCGTAAAGCATCACATGATGGTCATTGTGATGATGGCGATGCTGCCACGAAATAGCAAATTTGAAACCTATGTCCGAAGGGGACATCGGGGCAGCCGCGACAGCGACAGGCTCATATTCCTGCTCATCGGGGAAACTGTAAATGTAAACGTCGCGAGATGGGCGATCCGCATGGAAAGCAAGGAAAATGGTTCCGTCTGGGCTAGATTGCATTGCTTGCTGGATGAAAGGATGGTCGGTGTCGCTCTGGTCAATAAATGGTTTGAAGCGGTGCAGAACATAGGTCCCATAGTAATTTTCCCCGTCGGCTCTTTCATTGCCCCCATGAGCAGTGAAAAGGATCTCCCTCTTTCCGAGCTTGCTCGCTGGCGACTTCAGTGGGAAATTGAGTCTTATGTGCACACTCCCTTCTTGAGATATTCGACAGCGGTAAGTGGTTTCATCATTCTTGAAGACGAGAGCGACGTTGTCGAGAGAACCGAATCCGAGAGATGAAGCACGAGTATCGAGCACTTTGTTTGAAAAGTTGAAAAACTTGCGTTCCGAGTAAAACTCCGCACCGTAGAGTTGGTGGTATGATAGGTGAACAAGCAATCGGAACAATTGTCGGTTTGATGCTGATCCGAGGTATTCATCGTTGAGGCAGCCAGGTGTATTCTTTAAATGATGAGTAATGAGCTCTTTTCCGTTGGTTGCAATTGACAATAAGGTCCGACAGCTGAAAGCGAGCTGAAGGTAGCTCGTTGTATCGCACGTTCTGAGGACGAGCTCAACCAGCTCCGTCGGAAGCGTAAGCAGCATGTTACTAAATTCAATCCGGTTGCGGATGAAGTTGGGAGGGGGCTTGGATGGTGATGTGGAAGAAAGGAAAGAAAGAAGGAAAGGTAGTGAAGGATGTTTATACAGTTGATGGATGTGCAGGTGCACGTCCCCGAGTGGAGGTGCTGCCTGGGGCCACGACAGGCAGCCGCGGGAGTGGGGCAGCACTCAGGAGTATACGATATTAGTTGTGTTGACTCGGTTTGGATAAGTTGGAGATACTCAATTAATTACAATGGAAATGCACTAGATATTACATGAGCCATACTTGCAAGGCCGTGAGTAACATATAATCAATGCCATTATGCTACAGGATACAATAGTTCCAATCCTCAACCTCAATGAGATCCGGAATATAGACTAACTTGAAGGCACTGATTTACTTATGTGCCAACCCTACTCTGAGAACTGAATATCCTTCTATAATTCATAGAATCATTCATTCGTGTTCGTGTTCGTGTTCGTGTTCCTGTTCCAATACTCGCTTTTTTAAACTGCTGTAGAGCCAAGAGGGCGATGTTCTTTGTTTTTTCATGCATGCAGCCATCATCAAGCCTGAACACCCAGAAATGCAAAATACACAATGTACAGTGGAAAGTTCCAAATAAACAAGCCAAAAACAAAGACAAAGACAGGGTATCCTTTCCATTTCCATTCCCATTCCAACCCACTCATTTATTACGGACCCAGACCCGGACCCAGACCAAGGTCCAGGCCCAATGGGTGTCGTCGGGTCGCAGCCATTAGGTTTCCTTCTGCGAAACAAGCCATTCAAGAACACTTTCATAACAAAGCACAAATTGACTCAGGTTTTGGACCATGCTGGGTCGCTGTGTACGGAAGTCTTCCACGGTTTTCGAAATCAGGTCCAGGTCAAAGTCACGAATTTCTTTCGATTCTTCCTTCGAATTGGTGGTGGGGTTGAGTGCACGCTGTCGTTTGAGAATGTCTAGCACAGTGTCGACCGTGCAGAATGTTCCGGTTCGTCCACACCCAGCACTGCAGTGGACCAAGATCGGTCGCTGGCCACGGGGTTCGGCTTCCTGGTTCCCGAAACCTGAATCACTGGTAGACCGAGCCACTTTGTTACACTGCTCGATCAGATTGAGAAGATGGGTTGGCTGTGAAGTTGTGCCGAAGTCAGGCCAGTAGGGGTATTGAATTTGTGTAATGTCTCGCAATGGCTGAAAGGGGAAATTGGCGTGTTGAAGACTGAAATGGCGGACGATTATGACTGGATTCTCATTGTTCTCGTTAGGACTTTGGGCTGACTTGTCCACTGCCTTGGATTTATTCAATGAGGGGTCGATTGGACGCCCCTTGGACTCGACATCGATATATCTCTCTGAATAGGCCTTCACCTTGAATGGTCCATAATCGGCGGTCCGCCAGTAAGGGTGACTCTTAACTTGCCCACGCTCAAACTCGGCGGTCAACGAAACGAGTAACCTGACATCTTGTTCCCAAACAACGCGCCAAAAGTCCTGTTTCATCAAGTTTAGCGGATATTGGGCGGATTGGGGGGTTCAAAAGAACGATATCACTCACGTTAAAAGTGTCCGGAACCGGAGCCTGGGTGGCGATGTAATGCCGGTTGCTCAGCTCAGTTTTGATGTGATTTGCATTGACATAATCGCAGTCACCCAATGGGATTCCTTCAAGTCTAACACGAGAGTGTTCGAAAGGATAGATATCGTTATATCGATTTTTCGTGCCTTTTTCAATTCCCGCAACACGATACTTCTTGGACGCTCCCCCAGCAGCAGCAGAAGGGCCCTCATAAGACAAGGCCTGCTTCATGCGCTCCAGTTCTTTCTTCTCCAAGTCTAAGAATTTATCCGAGACGATTTGACCCTCGTTCTTGGCATCAGACGCCTTCCGAAGCCACGGAGGAAGGGATTGTTGCTGTGATTCGGACATATTTTCTGGCAACTTCAGAGACATCTGCCCGACTCCGCCCACGAGATCCATGTTCTGACGAATATTTCCAAAGAAAGGATTGGCTGCCGAAGATGCATCTGGGAGAGCACAGCCTCCTACAACAGGGGCAACAGATCCAAGATTGATACTCATGGAGGGTCGCTTCTTGGGAGATGGCCCTGATGTCTGCGACTGTGGTCGGTGAATTAAGCGCGGAAATCGGGCCGAGAACCCCTTAAAACCATCCTGTAAGATCAATCCTTCACCTGCCCACCCCTCTGCCTCGAATTTGCCAATCACATTCAAAAGAGGGACGGCATCCTTTGCCTCAGTCGTGGCGGAATCGTAGACGATGATTATGCGGCAGTGTTTCCACCGAGCAAAATTTTGTTTATCACTGTCATTTGTGAACGTGCCCTGGAGTTTCTGCGTGTTAAACGAAGGTCGCTTGAGAAGTGTGGTTGGAATGCAGAGGTTTAAAGAGCCTTTAATATTGGATTGTGCAAAATGCGTGTATGCGCGAACATCCAGCAAAAGAAGGTTTTTCGAATCGCTTTGGATTATTTCGGTACATCGCTCGGCGGAAACCCAGCGAGATGGCGTCATAGGTGAAATGGTGTCTGCAATTACAAGACAATCAGTTGAACAGGCCATTGCCAGGTACATTTGGCGACGTATTTGCTTACCCTGCGAAACAGACCCTGTCCGTTGCTGGGCTACCATGCCATTTCCTGTGATACTACCATGCATTCTAGTGCTTGCCTTACCGTGGGCCACGGACGGAAAGGATGTGTTGACATCCTTGGTAGAAGGACGCCTTTGGAGGAAAGACTCGCGACGCCCTTTATCGATATCAGACTCCGATCTCAACAGGTTCACCAGTCCCTCGGAGACAGATTCTTGGGAATAGAGTTGAAGCTTCGGGCTAGGAAGTGCGCCGGGTAAGGATGCCCAGTTCTTTTGTACGTGTGGGCCCGGGTTCGACGTTGGCGGGTTGCCGGAGTTTTCCACTGCGAGGCCGAAATAGTTGGGACTCGGACGCTCCGATAGGGAGGCCGTCGCTGGAAAATTGGGGTTCGATGGAGATAACATCGGATGAAAGGCAGTCCTTCCTTCATGGGAATACCCCTGTGCAGTCTGTGTCTGCGCACCCTGCGCCCATGGGGAGGAGGGTGATCGCCCAGGACCTGTCATGGTCTCTGGTGCTACTCCTGCCGCTTCAGGTCGAGGAAAGTGTGTCGGTTTCGGATGGTAATAGAATGGGTCAAGACAGCATTTAGAACGAGAGGATGTCAATTCTGGTATCAGCAGGTGAAGTCGGGGGAGTATGTGTGTGTGCCAAGGTCGGGGATGTACTAGGGTGTGGTTCGTAAAGAGAGATATTATCACGGTCGAAACCAGCAGAACTGACGTAAGGCAGAATGATGTAGCAGAGGGGCTTAAGGGCAGAACGACAGGAAGGGTCAAGAGGCGAAAAGAGCCCAGCCAGGACCAGGACCAGGATCAAGAGAACCAATGGATGAAAAAGGTGGGGAGGCTGATATCAGAAGACTTGGTTTCCCATGATTATTAAGAGAACCGAGAGGGGGGGATGACTGGGAACTTCGGGGATTCCAGAAAAAAAAAGGTATGACGTTATTGTGGGGATCACGGGTTCTCGGCTGGACTTGGCCATTCCCCAATTGCATGGATCGCGATCTAGATTATCTCTTAGGTATGCACTCAACACAGATGTGCATACCTGAATGAGCTAGGTCTGACTGCATACTCCGTACATACAACTACAAACCTGCCTGCAGAAATGGTAATCTTTAACGAGATCACCACCAGGAAGGGGGTGCCCCACTCGTAAGCAAAATGTCGCCACCGACGTGGAGGACTCGATTTCGGTGTATCCATGCAGCTAGTGATGTACTAGTAGTTAGCAGCTACAGTAGTTATAATCCGCATGTGTTGTACAATTCACAAGATATTATTATTTACAAGGGCATTATGGCAGTATTCTGCAGAGCTACCAGTAGCCTCGCATGAATGCTGTCAGCATTTCGAGGTACATAGTGGTAACCCTAAATGATACTCGTCCAGCGCTTAACGCTCCTGCCAGCTCATAGGGGCCCGGCCAAACCTACCACTCCACTCCACTCCACTCCATTGTTGCACGTCAATATGACATGATGATAGTCAGGAGAATTTCACACCTGGGGGGGAGTATCTGGCCAGTCGTGTGCTGGCCAGCTCACTGGGGTACATATGTATGCTCGTACTGCTGTACATGACCCAGGCATGTTGCTTTGGTGCAAAGAAGATCACGCCAATAAACGAGTACGAGGAGCTCGCTGTTCTCTTCTCTGCCCATCGGTCCATAATATATTCTGCAATGATCATCGGCTCATGCAGGGTTGAAGCTCGTCACAACTGCCCCTTTTGTCCTTGGGAAAATTGAAGCATAACTTGGAGTTCAATTGTCAAATACTCCCAGGGTCTTTCAGAGTTTTCCATCCGGTTCGCCTTCGAATCGCTTCACTCGTGTTTGTTCCCAGTTATCCAGGTCCTTCGCCATCAGTCTCTATAAGTAGAATTAGAATGCTATCAAGCCAAATGATCAGTTTCTGGGGGCCAGGTAGAATCTGCATACGTAGTATTCTTCACGTTCATCGCCGACAATTCTGCGGCGAGGGTTTCGTTTGATTCCTTCCTCCCCACCGGGTCCCTTAAGTCCAAGTTCGAACACTTGGTCTTGACTCAATTGCTGTACTTTACGGTCATATCGTTCATAGCGGAGAGCGGCGGCCGGTGTAAGAGCAAATGAGCCAGCGACAATAACGGCCATGAATGGAAGTCCGAAGAGGAGGAAAGGGTGTCGAGAGAGGCGCGTTCGGTAGAAGGCTCCGAGCCGTTCTCCGAAAGTAGAGGATGCAGTGGTCGCCCGGCGAAATGTTTTAGACTGGAATGCAGGCATTGTGGGATTGCTGTAAGTGAAGGGACAGACTTTTAGTTAAAGATCAAAGTCAAACCAGAGAGGAACGAAGTAAAAAACGAAGTCAAGAGGCTCCAGGCACGTCCAACGGAGAAGTGTTGCGCAACTGAGATGGGCAGATCCGGCGAATTGATTTTCCGGGATACCGGGACATTTTGTTTGGGGCTCCCAGCTCCAATCCAATCCAATCCAGAGCTCATTTAACTGCCACTTACAACTCCCCGTGGTTGTTGGCATAAGGGCAAGGCATTTCCCCAACTAACTTGAATCTCAATTGATTGTTGGGGCACTTTTCGCCGTTGAAATCCCTTGGGCATCCATCTACCGTCCATCACAGGATCTCCGGTAGATTTTACATCCTTCACCTCGCGCAAAGCTCGCGACAGAGTCGCGACAATCTCTGCTACAACTCAGGCGACAGAAGCCCTTGATACTCTCCCTTGATCTCGCCAACGCATTGCGCATAGCCTCCATGGCATCGAATACAAGCTCTCTCTTCGGAGGGGGGTGGTCTTGGAAGCACAACAACCCCTCAGCAGTCGAGTCTTTTCGGGTCGAACACCGGTACGAGTGCATTTGGATCCGCCGCCCCTTCATCTGGAGCTGCGCAGGGCGGCCAGACCTCTTCGCTATTTGGACAAACCCAGACTCAGCAGCAACAACCCGCCCAGACCTCGTCATTGTTTGGCCAAACCCAGAGTCAGCAACAACCCGCTCAGTCCTCTATACTCGGACAGACTCAGCAATCAACCAACACCGCTCAAGCACAAGGGGGAGCATCCGCCCAAGCAACCCAGCCTGCTTTCTTCAACAGCCTGCTGGAGCGTGGTAAAAAGCGCCCACTATCTTCAACCGCACAAAATGGACACTTTGAAGATATCCCCAGTCTGCAACTCGGCCTGGATGATATTCGGAGGAAGGCAAGGGAGCTGGGTACATCTGGAAACAAGGACTCCCAACAGACCACGAGCAAAGCGTAAGCTAATCCGTCACTCCTCTCCAAACAAAACGAACACCTTTAACTAACTGTTAAATCTTACTTCCGTCAATAGTCACTATTTACTTGCCTCTTCTGGGATCGCTCCTAGTCGCACTTTGCGTGACCTTCGATCTCTAGACCCGCAGGCATCTGTCGCTGCGACCAGGGAAGCGGACAGCTTCGACCCCGATAATCAACGCTTTCTTCGAAATATCCAACAGCGTGGTCGGCAGGCCATGATCGCGGAGAGCCTCTCTCGCGCCCAGAGAGACTTCGATTCATTCTTGGAAGAAAAGGTCGACATGGACTGGGAGGATCAACGCCGGAGAATCTTTGATCACTTTGGACTTTCTCAGAAGGATGCTGCCAATGCTGGTGGTCAACTGAAATCCACCACGACAGGAGCCTTTGGTCGATCCGGAAGACAATCCAAGCAAGCAGGCCTGAACCCTGGCGCCGCTGCATCTCGCAGGAGCGTCTTTGGGCGTTCCGGTCTTGATAGATCTGTTATTGGGACCCCCGGAGCGGGCCTGGCGAGTCGCCAACTTTTCGAAGACCCCGCGGAGCGCAGCGAGGGCCTGACTGCGCCTTCGGCAAATATGAGATTCTCGCGTGAGAAGATGAGCAACTATGCTGAGAAGGTTCAGCATCTGAACAATGTTCGACTGCAAGATCAAACTTACCCAATTCTCCATCAGTTCTCAGAGGTAGAATTACAATCCGGCGGCGACATCCCCACCAAATCTTTGATGCCTATCAAGCTCTGATCAATATTGTTGGCGAGAAGCCAAGCATTTCTGGCGCCGAGGATCCCCTGGCTGTGAAAGAGCGTCATTACGCCGACTCCTATCTGGAAGAATCCACAAAGTCCCGCACAGCAATTAAACTCAAGCAACGAATCATTGAGGGATCAAGAACCTATCTGGAACACATGTTTTACAGCCAGGTGGAAGCTGACATCGCCAAGAACCCTCGTGAAGCGCAGGTTGGTGGAATTCCCAGTGTGATCAATAAGATCCGTGCGTATATTCGCCTTCGTGCGGCCAGGAAAGATCTGGCGCCAGATGGAACGGAGCTGCAGATGATTGGACCGGATTATTGCTGGATTCTCATCTTCTACCTTCTTCGATCCGGCCATATCGACGATGCGGTCCTGTACGCGACGAGCGACGGTGGATTCAAGTCGATGGATCACAAGTTTGTGACTTATATTGCTACCTGGGCGAAGGAAAGGCGACTTCCCCGGGATCTGCAGCAGAAGATCAACGGCGAGTATCAACAGCGTGTGCGAAATGCCCCCGAGGGTACTGTTGACCCGTTCCGAATGGCCTGCTACAAGATCATTGGACGATGTGATCTTAGGGAACGTCGTCTGGATGGTGTCAACCAGAGTGTCGAGGATTGGATGTGGCTGCAGTTCAGCCTCGCACGTGAGGATGACCGCGCTGAGGAGGCCGCTGGCGATATCTTTGGCCTCGAGGATATTCAAACTGATATCACAGAAATCGGTCAAAGGGTGTTCACCAAGGGCCAGGACGGGCCCGGCGGTTACGGAACATTCTTCCTCCTTCAGATTCTTGGAGGCATGTTCGAGCAGGCTGTGGCATACCTGGGTACCTATAATTCCGTTGCGGCTGTTCACTTTGCTATTGCATTGGCATACTACGGTCTCTTGCGCGTGTCAGACTTCTACGTTTCCGGGGATGAAATCCGTAAGCCACCCCTTTTTCCTTTCATTTCCTATAATCTGCTAACCATAATTTCCCTGGCACAGTTTCTTTCACAGTGAAGCAGTTCCCGCAAATAAACTTCGGATACCTGATCACCCAATACACGCGGGAATTCCGAACCGGAGACGTCGAGGCTGCAATTGACTACTTCACATTGATTTGTCTTAATGCAGACCTTCCGGGGGGCCTTGGGCAAATCCCAGTCGTCTGTATGCCATGAGGCATTGCGCGAGTTCATTCTCGAGACCAGAGATTTCGCCAAATTGCTCGGCGACATTCGTTCGGACGGATATAGAATCAAGGGCGTGATCGAGCAACGCCTTTCCCTGATCAACCTCACAAACCAGCAAGACTTCTTGAAGAACATCACTGTCCAGGCTGCTGCAGTGGCAGATGACAAGGGATTGGTGACCGACTCTGTCCTTCTCTACCATCTGGCAGAGAACTACGACCGAGTGATTGAAATCATTAACCGGGCATTGTCAGATGCCATTGCTGTTGAATTAGGCGGCGCCGTCTCCAAGCTTCAACCTCTTCGACCCAGAGCCGAACAAGGCCAGCAAGAAGAGCCTGGCAGCAGTCTCAGCCTGACCACCGTTGACGACCCCGTCGCTCTCGGCAAAAACATGATGAGTCTTTATGAGTCTCAGCCAATGTATTACGAAAATATCCGACCGATCCACAAAGACTCTTGTATCCTACTCATCCGAATGATGGAAGCCAAGATCGAGGTTGAAGCTGGCAGATGGCCGGAAGCACTCGACGCCATCGACCGCCTGGGCGTTCTCCCCCTTCGTGCCAACGGCTCAATGTCCCACATTCGCAGCGCCGCTCAAGCATTCTCCTCCTTCCCGGAGATCATTTCACGCAACATCGGTCCCGTCATTATGTGGAGTATCGCGTGCATTGGCTACGAGCGTCATAAGCAGACTTCGGGCCCCTATGATACTGCCACTCACCAGGGCTTTGCGGAACAATTGCTCGGTATGGCTAAGGATCTCATGGTCTTTTCTGGAATGGTCAAGTACAAATTGCCTCCTAGGGTTTATGAGGCTTTGGCGAGGGCTGGTGCCGATATTGGTGCCTACTAGATATGATGACTAGTTAGTGGTAAAGTTTGGGGGAGGGGGTAGGATATTGCATCGGAGAGTGTTTTGTATTTCTCTTAATACACTGGCAATTATCGACTTTTATTTTATTTGGTTCGATTGAATGTTTCCATGTCGTACTTTGTAGTCTTTGAGGCCGTGCTACTCACGGGTTGATATGTTGATTTTTGAAAAGAACAATCAAAAGTATTCTTTGTAAATTTCCTGTGGTTCTTTGAACTCGTTGCCTAGGATTCCCATAATTCGTTGAACAATACTAGGGCTCAAGTTGCTGCCAGTGCCTGTTCAACAATTATGTGGCCCTAGGCACCTTCCTCAATGGAAAGTACAGCTGTAAATACTATTGACACGGCCTGACAGTGAAAGCACCTTGATTGCCCGTGGCCCTTGGCGCCGACCACAATGGAACCAGAGTTCGAAAAGCCAGAAATGTTGTTTCCGGAAGCATCAATATTTATTCTAATAACACCAGCACCAGACGCGGCTCGTCAGACTACGCAGTGGGAGGACAACGTGAGGATGATCAAGGACTTCGCCAATGAAAATGGCATAGACATGACTGCACAGGTTTTCTTGATTGCTTTGCAGCGCTTGAACAATACTCTCTCGTTGTATAATTTACGTGTGGACACGATCGATGAAATACTCGCACTGGTGGAAACTTCTGCCGAAGTCAGTGACTTTATTGCTGGCCTGTCACCCGCTCAATAGACTAGTTTTAAGGTAATTCTTGACAACGATGTCAAGCTGGTCGAATTACGACAGATAATGAATAAAGAAGCCACTATTGTCTATAGGGGCCCGAACTTACTCTCCTGAGAGAAAGTGTAGCTAGTCTGAAATACGATCTTGGATCTGAGGGCAGTAGCCCGACACTCAGAGATAGCTGGGCGGATTTAAGACATTATGGAAAGACTAGACGTACAGAAGGTGTCTGACAACGGGCCTTTGGATAAAGCTTCGGACGATGAGGATACTGAGACGAACCCTAGTAATGATAATAAGCTATTCGTCAACGTGACTTAAAATTAAAGAAAGAAAAAACCCAGTGTATTGCTATTATGTACCTCGTTTTAGTCTTTTATATCTGAACTTTATATTCCGCTATCTTTTACTTGGTTCGGTTTACGCTTGTTTTAGTCTTTTATATCTGATCTATATATTCTGCTTCGGTTTATGGTTTATCTATATATATTCTAGCGAGGATGCTGGATCCTCAGAGATGGGGTACTATGTAGAGGGGGGTCATATGACCCTCCCTATATCTAGGATAGTCTAGTTAGCTGAATAGGATCATCATCACACCTACGGAGCACTTCTATACAGCTGGTTCCCAGTATACTTGTTCGATTACCTATATATTATTTGTTCATTCAAGTCTACAACTTGCATATTTCTTCTCCTCCAACCTTTCACCCGGACCGAAAACCGAGAAAACATTCACGGGAAGGCAATTGTTTTGACTGGACTGTGTGCGGCCACCTGTCTCTTCCATAAGCTCGCCTGTCTTCCATCCCCCTTGCGGGGAACGGACTGCTTTTATATATCGTGCAAGCCTTACTAATAACCACGCTAAAGCACGGTCACTACTAGTAAGGCTTACAATACTTATTGTATTTCTAAAATAGTAAAAATAATCAAGACTAGTATTACTTTTTGAATCTTTACTGCTTTACTAGGGAGAAGTAAATATAAACAAACTATGGTTTGCCATGGTTAGGTATCAAAGGCGCCTCGGCACAACAAGCGCGTATTCGGTGGGTTTGCCCCCACTGCGCCTGCCAAGCCTCTGGGGATTCTCTCCGCGACATTTTATCCGCTGTGCACCCTCAAGCTTCATTCGATCTGTCTATGGAGTGGAATTTTACTATTGACTCGAGGATTTTCCGGCCTCATCAACCGGTAATCCACTAAATTTACGCGCATGCGCGCTGCTGGGCTTTAGCACAATATGGATCACGATGCCGACCATGCGCCAGATCCAGCTTCAGGTCCAGGCTCATGGTCAATAGCACCGGAGAATGGCTCGATAAGTCGAGCTAGTGCAGCACAGCCCAGAGATGATGTGGATCACACTGAAGAAGAGCTTGAGCTCGTACCACCCGTTCCACACGATGCGATGGATGAGGATCCTCAACATTCGGGTTCGGATCACCCCGCGACACCAATGAATTTGTCCGGCGCGTTGGAGAAACAAGCCAGACAGGCCGAAGCCAACGCCAACGCCAACGATTTAAGCTCGGATAACGCAGCCAATGACCCCGCGATCGCGGAATTGGGGGGAGAAATCGGGTCTTGCTTTGTTCAATAACCCGCCCAATCTTTCGAGGATCCGCCGGGTGCTATTCGAGTGCAGTGATGCTATCGAAATCAGTCTTGACGAATATCAAACCTATTGGCCATTTATCGACAATGTATGGGTTAAACAAAGATCCAATTCCAGCAAAGAGGGTCACTGCACAACGGACTATTATATGTGTCGGTTACGAAGGCCAACGCATCGCACATCTGAGACTCGCCCTCTGCCAGAAGGGAAGCGTCCCCGAAAGAAACGCGTACGAGAAGGGGGCATGTGCAATTTTCAGATCAAGGTTGTGCGTTTTGAGGGCGCGTATTCGACCGTGACTATCGCCAGAACGCCCGGAAGTAGTGATGTTCATTCTCATGATCTCGACTTTATCGATCGAGTGAAGCGGAACTCTGGGCTCATGGAATCGGCGCGAAAGGAATCATGCAAGGGCTACCTTCCTTCATCTATATACACCAAATTCCAAGAATATCCTGAAATGCTTTCAGAAGCAGGGGGTCGATTCTTGACAGTCACGGACGTACGCAATGTTTCTGCAAAATGGCGCATCCAGAACCCGGAGGTCAAGCTCATTCCGCATGATGGCTACGAGTACCAAAAGGGTCATGGGATCGTGAGGTCCCAGGGTGCGGCGGAACGCTCCAACGAGACGATATCGGCCCAGTTACGAGTTCACTCTCAGGACTCGGCTCCGGCTCTTCCTCCGGATATCCTTTCTTTCCCGCAATTTTCATTGGACTTTTTACAGCCCTATTTACCGAATCATGCCGATCGTCGCGGCGAGTTTCCTCACGTCACGTTGTCCTACGCTTCATCTATGGACTCCAAGATCTCTCTTCGGGCGGGCATGCAAACGGTGCTATCTGGACCTGAGGCGAAACTAATGACACATTACCTTCGTTCTCGCCATGATGCTATTTTGATAGGCGTGGGGACCGTGCTTGCAGATAACCCCGGTCTAAACTGTCGCCTAGAAGGAGCCGGGGGGGTTCGGAGGTCTTGGAAGGATGTGGCAGCCACGCCCGGTGGTGATTGACCCTACAGGACGATGGCCTGTTCATCCAGACTGTCGAATGTTACGAACGGCAGTGGAGGGGAAAGGAAAAGCCCCATGGGTGGTGGTGTCACCGGGAGCGCAAATCAACCCACAAACTCTTATGATGCTCAAGGGCTACGGGGGCGACTTCCTTCGAATTGTGGAATATAACCAACACTGGCGATTACATTGGGAAGGTGTTCTTCGGGCACTGGCATCTGAAGGAATCAAGAGTGTTATGATTGAAGGCGGCGGGACGGTCCTCAGTGAACTGCTCAACCCAGAATACACCAACTTCATCGACTCGATTATCGTGACGGTGGCCCCCACTTATCTGGGTAGCGGCGGTGTTAGCGTCAGCCCACACTCCAAACTTGACCAAGAGGGCAACCCTAATGCCGCTTTGAATCCGCGCGAGGTAAAGTGGACTCCTCTGGGGCAGAATGTCATCATGTGTGGCAAAATTCGACCACACGAGGGAGAGTAGAGTGTCAATGGCAGTGGTAATTGCAATGGTAATTGCAATGATGGCTTTGTTTGAATATAGACTTGAATAATTAGCAATAATGAATGACCTTGATGATAAAGAAAACAAAAGTACAAAGAGGTTAAACTGCATTAAATTCTTAGGTAAGGGGATTATTCACTGGGCGCGGAATGCCGCATTATTTACGTTCTGCCACCCTCGAGCTACTTTTTTTTCTCTTCCGCTTTGTGTCGCGTCTTTGTTCCATCATTCCCAACCCCCTTTCCCTTTTCTGCTTTGTTGCATTCCAAAGCCACAATGCCTCCAAAAAAGTCCACCTCTACAGCCACGAGCTCTTCTACCAAGGCCGCTGCGCCCAAGACGAAGACCTCGACCTCTGCGAAGGCGACCACTCCCGCGCCCAAGTCTACTTCTACCAAAGCTGCGCCCAAAGCTACCTCCAAGACCACCACTAAGGATACCACAAAGGCGACTCCAGCTCGCGGTCGCCCTAAGAAGATGGAAACTGAGACCGCGACAAAGACTGTCCCCAAGGCTTCGGTGAAGAAGGAGACTGCGGACAAGTCACGTAAGCCTGCGAAAGCTGCCGCCGCTGCCACCACCACTACCACCAGCGCGTCTCGGAAGCGCAAGGCCGATGAAGTTGAGGAGAAGCCCCGTGAGATCAAGAGGTCTCGCGTTGTTGAGCCAAAGGCACCGAAGCCCCCGAAGGCACTGCCGCCAAAGGTCGTCATCAACAATGCCCCCAAAACACGTCTGAATGTCTTCGTCTGTGGCGAGGGAAGCTCTGGTGAGCTTGGCCTGGGAGCGGCAAAGAACGTGATTGACGTGAAGCGACCGCGTCTGAACCAGCTCCTGGCTGCTGACAAGGTTGGCGTTGTTCAGGTCGCGGTTGGTGGTATGCACTGTTTGGCCCTGACCCACGACAACCAGATTTATACTTGGGGTGTCAATGATCAAGGCGCTCTCGGTAGAAACACTGATTGGGATGGCGGATACAAGGATATGGACGAGGGCAGTGACTCGGACTCCGATGACGATGACAGCGGATTGAACCCCCGGGAATCTACTCCCACCGCAATCCCCGAGTCATTCTTCCCCAAGGGCACTGTCTTTGTTCAGGTTGCTGCTGCCGATAGCGCGAGCTTTGCGCTTACTGATGATGGCCTTGTCTATGGCTGGGGAACTTTCCGAGTAAGATCCAACAATTGTGAAACTTTACGCTCTAGTGCTAACATAGTCTTTTTTTCTTTCTCTCAGAGCAACGACGGTATTCTCGGATTCGATGAGACCCATCGCGTTCAAATGACCCCGATCCTTATTCCTGCCTTGAAGAAGATCACCACCCTTAGCTGTGGTGCCAACCACGTTCTTGCGCTTAATGATAAGGGCAAGGTTTTCGCCTGGGGATCTGGCCAGCAGAACCAGCTCGGCCGAAGAATCGTGGAACGCAACAAGCTGCACGGACTGCAGCCGCGCGAATTTGGCATTCGTAAGAAGATTGTCTCCATTGGTTCCGGTTCATATCACTCCTTCGCCATCGCTCAGACCGGTACCGTTTACTCGTGGGGTCTGAACAGCTTCGGCGCGACCGCTATCCGTGAGGGCGCCGGTGATGATGAAGCCGCCATTGTCCACCCCACTATCGTCGATTCGCTCTCCAACAAGGATATCGTTCAGCTTTGTGGTGGTTCTCACCACTCTATGGGTAGAACTTCAGACGGCAAGTGTCTGGTTTGGGGCCGTCTGGACGGCTTCCAGAGTGGTCTGAAGGTCGATTCCCTCTCCGATGATGCTGTTATCAAGGACGAGCGTGGACGCCCCCGTATCTTGATTTCGCCTACCCAAGTTCCCGGAATCAAGGCCAAGGGTATCGCCGCGGCTTCGGACCACTCTCTCGCCGTCGATGCTGATGGACGTGCCTGGTCCTGGGGATTCTCGGCTACCTACCAGACTGGCCAAGGTACCCAAGATGACATTGAAGTTGCTACCGTGATTGATAACACCGCTACTCGTGGGAAGCAGCTTAACTGGGTTGGTGCCGGAGGCCAGTTCTCCGTGTTCACCTGCCCGGCGAGCGAGTAAACCGATGATTCTCCGACAGACCTTTCCTCCTACCTCTAAAAAGTCATACTCGGTATGTCTTGGGGGAGCTAGGAGGCTTTTCCTCTTCCCTGCACTTTTTCCTGTTTCCAATATTTTCCAATCTGCGGCGCACAATGTGAAATTAGCTCCTCTCCTACAACCAAGCTAGGCATGTCAATTATAATAATAACGAAGATCCTGCTAGTACCTTTTGGGGTGCGCTTTATCTCTGATCTTTGTTTGTGTTTGCGAAGTACGGACGTGAAAGGATGTAAATGTGTTGTGTTTCATGCGTGTCATTATGTACAAATTAGAATCTATTATAGGTTTCTTCGACTGCTACAACCCAAGTTCATTCATAGCTTCGTAGTCGGCATCAAAGTCGTCCAAGGTGTTTTCGTTTTTCTGTGGCCCCGACCCTGACGTTGGCTGTATTCCCGACATTTCATTATCTTGCTCTCGGAGGAGATCTTCGAGATCGTCGAGTTCGTCGTCATCGGGCTCGGGGTGGCTGGTTGGTTGCTGCCGGGTATCTGCTTCTGGATCTGGAATGAAGAGCTGATCTGCATCTCCATCTGCATCTCCCGAAGGACCCGCCAGTGGTTGTGTCTCGCCGTTCTGATTCTGATTTGAAGAAAGTCTCGTGGGTAGTTCGAGCGTTTCTATTGTTGGTTCAGGATCATCCCTGAAGAGCTTCGGTTTCTCTTCCTCGATCCATTCTCGTCGCATGGTTTGGATACGTTTCGTGTGGCCGAGTTTCTCGACCATGGCTAGACCGTCTGCAAATTTGGCGCGGGGGAATAGCTCGTCTAGCCAGAGTTGGTAGAAGTTTAAGAGACGGGCTGCATCGGAGAACTATGCAGGACAGAGGCTTGTTAGTATCTTAGTCTCTCTCTGGTGTTGCGCTGATCCACACTCACCTCATGTCCTTTGCCTTTGAATCGGAGTTTCTTTTTCGCTGATTGTCGTAATTTTGGAATCCCGGCTTGTGAAAGAAGACTGGTGGCCCGGTTAGTTCAGTTCCAGTTCTGCCTCTCTCATATCTATCCAATATTGCCATGTATATGAACAGAACTGGCGGGGTTTGTCGACTTACCGGTTCTCATCGAGCTTCGCGACTGGCTGGCGTTTCTTGGTGACTTTGACTTCTTCGTCAAGACCTAATCCGAGTGATGAAGGGTCTCCGGTCTTTGGTTTGGAATTAGCATTGTCGACATTGGTGTCGTTGTTTTCGGCGAAGATGTCGTCGAGGCCGACGTCGTAGTTGAACAGATCGTCCAAATTGGCGGGGGAGCTTCCTCGCTCAGGAGTAGAAGGCATGATGGTACCTTTGGCTGGATCTGTAAAAACCAGTGGAAGCAGGGAAAGTTGTCGGAGTCGTAGCTGCAACTAACCAAGTAAATCCACTGACAATTCCAGACATGAACCTGCCGGCGGTCCAACTTCCCCCAGAACGCGTGCCCGCGGCAGTAAACGCGTCCCAAGCAGCCAATCATATGGCGGGTAATCGGTCCTTGGCGCTAGTCCCAATATGGCTAGCTGCCCATGTCTGGCTGCTCTGATTACCTAACATTTCAACTTCCCATGTTCCGAACTCGACTCTGCACCTAACCCGCAATCCCACCTCCGCGCAATCTTGAAGATGGCTTCCGATCCTAAGGCGGCCGTGGCCGTTGTGCCACCCAAGCTGACCACCTCCGAATTCCAAGTATGATTGACCCCATACCGATCCCAATTGGTCCGCAAAGCTAACCCTCCGCCCTCACCCAGGTCATTGACACCGATCCGTATGTTTAACTGACCCCCAGCCCCAATCCCAACCCCTCAACCCGGGCCCTGCCCTCGAATTCCAGATCAACAACTCACCAAAATTGAACAGCCATGTGCGCCGTGTGTTTGGATATGCTCGGAACTCCGACTACGCCCTGGCCGGTGGAGCAGCTGCCGCTTCCCCTCTTGCGTTCTGGGTCATGGAGAAGATGAGCCCCACGGGCGTTGGCCGCGGCGGTTTCTCTCCCATCATGCGTCTCGCAAGTGCGATTGGATTGGTCGGTGGTCTTCACATCTTGTATCAGCGATCTTGCAGTACGCTTTCCCCCATTCCCCGGGCCTTGTGAGATGAAATGCTCACAAACTACAGACCGTTTCTACGGATTCGCCGAGAACCAGAGAGAGGTTGATATGGATATGCGCGAGATGGTCAACAAGGTCAAGCAGGGCGAGCCCCTGTACGGCGTTTCGCAGATGTCCAACTACCTGCAGGGTGTCGCTGCCCGCAACTCCCGGTACTCCCAGCTGTTCATCCATGTTGTCCCTTGGGCCAACTTTGCCAACCACGACCAGGTCAGTTTCCTCCTCCGCTGCATCGTGTTGAATAACCATGATACTAACACACGAATAGCACGGTGTCGACACTGCCAAGTACTACCAACAAGCTGAGCGAGAGCTTGAGGCTGAGCGGTTGGCCAAGGCTGGTTCTGCATGATTTGAGTTTGAGTTAAGAATTACTTCAAAATTATCTTGTTCCCGTGAAGTTGCACGATTTCTGTACACATATCCTTTTTTGTGTTTTATTGAGGCGCCCTTGAAATTAAGAATACAAATTTCCCCATCACATTATGCAAGCCCAGAACGCCGGATGCTTTGCATGTAAAGTAATCCCATCAAGTCTAGACCCATCGAATATCCATGTCTAGCATGGGTGAAAAGCAGTCGTTACACATCCTACCACACATCCCATCATAAACGAGGAAATACTCAAATAATGGGCATAAAATCCTGGTCGTCCTCTTCGAAATCGAACGTCGTGTTGAGCGCACGATTTTTCTTCGGTCGAGGGTTAGGCGCTGATATCATTGTTAGCCTTGTTCGTTTTCTATCCTCTCCTCTCTTCTCTTCACTTCATAAATAACCTTACCCTTTTCATTCTCTTGGATGTAAAATTGACGGAGCAGAGTGATCGCTTCTTTTCTGTAAAGCCCGACGTACACGGGGTAAGGCGGATCGATAGATTTACTATTGATCGAGTTAGAATTCAATAAGACGACCCGGATGAAAATGGATGGGGAAGTAAACACTCACTCCGAATGAACTGTCAGTACGCCCCCAACACCTCCGAACCTCTCATTGTGAGTACCAAAAAAGACACTCCTGATCCCGTACTGCCGGAGGGCGGCGGTACACATAATGCATGGCTCGACTGTCACATAGAGGTCGGTCTCCTTGATGGCAGATTTGGGATAGGTCTGGAGCATTTCTGCAATGGCGAGAAATTCGGCATGTCGTGTGCCCTGTAAGATATTGTTAGCCATGACCACTTTTGATTTGGATTTTTTTTTGGCTCTTGGCATCGTTTGTAGAGGGGGAATGAGGCAAGCAAGACAAGCAATTGCAACATACATTCATTGAGCGATTGGTATCATTCATACCCGATCCCACAATCTTGTCATTGTAGACTAGGACACAGCCGACTGGGGTCTCCCCAGTAGCGAGTGCCTTTTCGCCCTGGAAGATTTTGTCAGATTAAAGGAATAGGTAGAAGGTGTAATTTATGAATGAAACTCACCATCGCAAGTGCTTGCTTCATGAAGTAGCCATGTCGGGAGTCTTCGCGAATGACTGGAGAGTTGACTTCCTGCTCCATGGTTGGTGGGGCGATTCGAGTCACCAGGCGAAAATATCAATAACGAACTTGAATTCGGGTATGTTGAAGAGATTAGTTGGAGTTGTAAGTTTGTATGAGTCGTGAAATGAGTCGTGAAAGTGAGAAGGAAGAGGAAGAAAATGGTGGTTTCTCTTTTCGAAGCAGCGGCGGGAAGGTTCCCGCACTGAAAACTCCAGCCATGAAGTACTCATATTTACATACTTTACATATACATATATATTATATAGACTTAGCTTGAATATGACAAGATTTAATTCTACAGCAATTGTAATAAATATTCTCCTTTCCATTCCAACCTCCTCATCCTCATCAAACCAGCGAAATTTGAAATTCGAAAATGCGGACAAGGTGGGTACAATTGGTGCCTGAGGTGTCAGTGACATATCGCTCCGCGTCCGCGTATCTGCATCTCTTCTCTCGTAACCCGTGTCATTGCTGAATACATCATTCGGTCCGTGGAAATGTTTGTTCCATATGGCAGCGGACACAAATCAAGCACATGGCATTATGCCTAGTGGGCAAAGACCCGCAGAGCCAGCCTCATCCCTTCTTGCGGCGCATTTCGCCCCTCGTCTGACATCCCATGGACACAATGCGCAACGACTTTCGCGAGAGACCTTTTCACAGCTTCGTCATGAACTTCTCGGCGATAGACAGAGCCAAATCCGCGCCGATGAAGGAATCACAGACATGAACAAGTTGATATGCATCGTCCTGAAGGCAGGCCTAGAGGTTAGCCCGAACAGCAACAGCAATAGCAACAACAACAATCCAGAAGAAGAAGACGTGGAAGGACAGATTCTGGACTGTTTGGATATCATCCAAGCAAGCATTGAAAAGGCACCCCAAGTGCTATGGGATATTTCGGATCCCCTCATTTTGGGCGAGGATGTTCACGCGCCATTGTTTGCTTGGCTGATCCTCCGACTGATCAGATTGGCTAGTATCTGGCAATCGGAAACTGTCCAGTATCGAATCCAGCAGGTTTTAATGGAAATTTCATGTCTTCAATATAAGCAAGTGCGGTCATCAGCTTCGTGCTATAGCATTCTGGCTTTTCTTCGGGCTTGTACCTCAGGTTCGTATATTACCGCTGTGTGCTGAGATTAACATTGCCATGGCCCGAGCTAACTGAAGACAGATATCATATCTACGTTAGAATCTTCTCTAAACAAGGGTTGGCACAGGTCTTACAGTCCGAGGCTATCATTGCCTGGGTCTATCGGATCACTCCTGATAGATCTGGACGATCTAACTCTACCCATGACCTATTGAAGAAACCCACAGAGCTAGGGCTCTTCCCTGAAACCGTCGCACTAGTTTCTCACCTGCTAGATTCTTTCAGTCCAAAAGCACCTGTGCAGGAATTTGAAAAGCTCCAGAACCTTGATCTTCGTCAGAATCTCTCGGGCGTCCTGAACGGTTTCAATCGCCTGCGAAAGGTCCTGGTCAAATGGCTGCAGGAGTTAGGTTCGAGCCTGGGCCCTGGCGAGGATAGAGTGCCGATTCAGTTTTTGACGCATGTTCATCGTTTCTGCGTTTCAAAATCTACCTCGTCAGCTTTGTTGTCGGACGTGAGCTTGACTTCCGCATGGCTACAATGTCTTGGTAGTCTTCTCGGGCCCAGTGTGACTCATGGACTGTCGAACTTGCAGATAGAGCTTGGAAAATACCTGGAAGAGATGGCAGAGTCGACAAATCAATCCAAATTGTTCGAAAACCAAACAAGGGAATTGCTTTTGCCGGTCCTCGTGGATCTTGGTCATGAGGAGCAGAGTAGTAAGCCAATCGAGGCCTGTCTTCTGGTAAATATTGACATCATATATTGGCAATGGGATCTTCAACCGAGCTAATATTTTCAGAATTCAATCCAGAAACTCCAGTCGAGGTTACTGGAGACAGATAAGTCTCCAGTAAACGTACTTGATATCTCTACCCCACAAAAGAGCCCAGATACCGAACAGATGGATACCGAACAAATGGGAACCATTCAACAACCAGTGATTTTGGATAAGGAAGAAGAATGGACAGAAGATACCCAGGCTCCAAAACGACTCTGCTTCATTCCTGGATCTACCTCCAGTAGTCTGCTTCAGTTCCTCACGGGTAAACTGTCATCGCTCCTGAACTCCGGTGATAATTCGACGGTGGAAAGTCTCCGGAAAACAATTGAGTAGGTTCCATGGCGTTCTGTTTCATGATTGTGATTGGATCTGTTATTGACATTTCGCCCTTTTGCAGGAGTTCATACACCCAGATCTCCGAGCCCCAAAAAAGTGAAATCTTGGAAATCGTGGGCAAGCTTTCTTGCGCCATAACCGGAAACCTTGTACAAAGGCCTTCTGAGGTTATATCGCGCGAAATTCTATTCTGCGAGGTGTGCGATGGTGGAAAACAAGAGCAGACAGCAGAATACGACGGGCAAAGCGAAGAAGAATTCGCCAACCTGTGGGAAATGTTCAACTTCATTCTTCCTAAATTGACGCGTACCCGGGATCCGAGAATCGCTGCTATGATTGCTTTGAGAAGGATCTTGATGCACTCGACAAATTTGAATCAGATGCAGCTTTCAACGTCAACGTCTGGGGAGTTCTGCCTCCACTCACTTCGAAGCTCTATTCGTGAGCTTCGGATTGCGACTGGGTATAGTTCACATGCCACAGTTCCTTCTTTTGCATAGGCTAATTATTGTATAGGAACGCGGTGCCTGCCTTCGTACGCCCAGATCTCCAACAAGACATCCGCCGGGCAAATTTTGTCGTTGTTCTAGAGTGGCTCAAGAATCTGTCAGAAAAGGATGAAATCCCTTTGCAGGAGGCATGCGTTTTGACATTGTGTCGACTTGCAAGGGTCTCGGATGACGAGGAGAAAAACATCATTTTACTACGGTTATTAGAATATCTTGGACATCCAAATCCGTACGTCTGCGCGATTGCCTACAACGAGGTGAGTTGCTGGCACCGTACTTGCTTTCACTCATCATGAGATTAACATTTGAAATTAGCTTTCCAAACTTGCACAGCAATTCTCCCAGACTCCCGCAAGCCTGTTCCGGCCGTACTGGAGAACGCTCTCGGTGGCAGTGGTCAAGAACCTTCAATCCCGCCCATATATGGCCGAGCAGCTGTGTGAGCTGCTAGGAATGAAAGTTGATAGCTTCCTACGGTTGACGGAGGTTCATATTCTTCCTTACTTGGTGCTAACGAGAAGACGAGATATAATCTCCCGGATTGGAGCAAGTCGCAATGAAGGCGAAACGCCTTTTGATGTCTGTTCGGAAAAGAATAATCTCGCTGCAATCTTGGCTTTTCTTCTCGCTCAACAGTCAAATGATCCGGAAGCTATGATCATGTCTCTCCTTGCGGAAATAGATTCCGCTTTTAGAGGTCGTACGTTGGCTGAACTTGTGAGAATCGAGCCTATTTTGATTGCCTGCGATTTACTCAAGAATCTTGGCAACTCAGGAGATCAGAATAGGGAGAAATTCCAACAAGCTCTCTATCAACTCGCTTCCTTCATCCCTCGAAAATCTTCACACAGCAGTTCTTCCAAAAAGTCAGACCTTTTGATTCATTTCATTGAGGAGCATGTCCTCGGAATCATTACCCAATTCGCGAATGCAATCAATGACTTCCAAGTGAGGCAGACATTAGCAGAGAAAAGGCGGAACCTCAAGGCGATCGAGGAGATGATCAACATCGCCCAGGGCCATGTTAGCAATGCCCTGCCTCAAGTCAGCGCCTGTCTTCGGTCAGCACTAGAGATTGAAGAGTTGTGCGACCATGCCTTTTCAGCCTGGAAGACTCTTATCAGCTCCCTCAGCGATGAAGACATTGAGCCTCTCATTGACCAGACATTTGCCATTGTCATCAGATATTGGGGGATATTAACTATTGAGAGTCGGCATAGTGCCTATCGACTCATCGATCATATACTTACCAATCATCCGAATCTTGTGCGGGATACTTTCAATACAATGCCTTCGCTGTCGTCTATTCCTGAGCTGCACCCACTGGAGGCTAGGGTCAATGAACTCAGATCTCAGATGGATGTTCGAAGTCAATTTTTAGCGCTTGTTCGTCGCTGTCAGAGTGAAAATGCCACTGTTGTCGAACAGGCTCTGAAGGAGCTGTCTCCCTTTCTTTCGGAGAATGAGGAGTTCCTTCATGTTTCAGTTCTCAGTGAGCAGCCTGATCCTATCATTGCTCAATTGACGAGGGCATTGCTAGATTGCTGCGTGAAATTCAATAGCAGCTCCGATCCCATAACTTTGCTTTCCTCACAGTGTTTAGGTCTTGTTGGCTGTCTTGACCCCAATCGCGTGGAGACAATCAAGGAGAAAAAGGATATCCTTGTTCTATCAAATTTTGATCGGATGGAAGAGACGATGGAGTTTGTGCTTTTCTTCCTTCAGCATGTGCTTGTTGATGCATTCTTGTCTGCTTCTAATACGAGAGCCCAAGGATTCCTAGCATACGCCATGCAAGGTCTGCTCAAATTTTGTCAACTCAACGTGGCTGTTACTCAGACTCAGCGAACCAGAGATTTGCAAGGAGATGAAAAGTATCAGCGATGGATGGAACTGCCTGAAAGTGTGCGTAATACTTTGACGCCCTTTTTGACATCAACATACACCGTCACTGTTGTCACAACCAACTCCAAAGTCAACTACCCTTTGTTTTCTCCCGATATGACACACAGTGAATGGCTGCGGACGCTAGTACAAGACCTCCTCGAAACAGCGAGCGGTGATAATGCGAAGATTGTGTTCGCTGTTTGCAGTCGTGTTGTCAAGGGTCAAGATATTTCAATTTCTTCGTTCCTCCTTCCTTTCGCGATCTTGAATCGTGTTGTTGGGGGTACCGAACAAGAGCAGCTGGATCTTCAGCTGGAGCTAACCAAGGTGCTCTCGCACCCTCTCCCAGACACAAATAGCAATCTTCGAGAAACGATTCTCAGCTGCAGTCAGGTAAGTGGTTTTCTTTTTCATACCCTATTTCGATCTATCAATGTACTTACTGATTGATAATTCGTAATTCGCAGAGTGTTTTCGAAGTCTTGGATTATCTGTCAAGATGGCTCCAAGGCAAGAAGAAACACATGAGTGGTCTTAACCAACAGGCTCATCAGTCATCAAGTCGATCGCATAGGGAGACTGCGCGGGATCCACTCCATGCCAAGTTTTCATCTCAGATCAAATCAGTTGAATCATTACTGGCTTCAATACCCCCGAAAAAATCTCCAAGCGAGCTGTTGAGTGCAAATCTTTCTCCCGGGCCTTGTTCCACTGGGAACAGTATATCCGCAAATGCAATTCTCATGTTGAAGTGAACGAGCAGTCCAAACCTGATGCCTTGTACCAGCGACTTCAGGATATCTATAGTCAGATTGATGAACCGGATGGTATTGAGGGTATTTCAAGTCATCTTTCAGTACTTGACATCGATCAACAAGTTCTCGAACACAGAAAGGCTGGAAGATGGGCCACTGCTCAAAGCTGGTATGAGTTGCAGCTTGAGAAAGACTCGAAGAATGTGGATGCGCAGTGGAATCTTGTCACCTGTTTGAAGGAGTCTGGACAGCAAGGTATCTATCTCCCCAGCCGTCTTTATTGTTTTGAAGAGCACCAGCTAACATTATTCAGATGCGATTCTCACTCGTTTCGAGGTTCTCAAAGAAGATAAGCCCGCGGCTTCGCGCTTTTTACCATTTGCAGTTGAAGCCTCGTGGATCACCAGTCGATGGGAAAAGCTGCAGGGGTATCTTGAGCTCTGCGAAGAATCTGGGACTGGTGAATTCAATGTGGGTATCGGGACTGCTCTGAACACGTTGCGTCTGCCTAAATCCGGAGCCGAATCGTTTACGGATATTGTGAATGGCTTGAGACTCCAGGTTGCCAAATCATTGAATGCCAATTCCGTGGCCTCGCTGCAGTCTTGTCATGACGACATGCTACGGCTGCATGCATTAGCAGACGTGGAATCAATAGCCAATGCAGAAGTCAAGGGTCCAGGGTCATATCAAGGGCTTCTCAAGGCCCTGGACAGACGGCTGGATGTTCTTGGTGGTTACATTGCAGATAAGCAGTATCTTCTAGGTCTCAGGCGAGCGACGATGGAACTAGCGTATGATTCATTCGATTACATCTTTCGTGGCGAAATGGCAACTAATTATTCTCGCAGGGGACCTTTCCCGAATTCAGATATTGCGGCTGCGTGGCTCACGAGCGCCCATCTCTCTCGAAAGGGCAATTTTACAAGTCAGGCATACCATTCAATGCTCCACGCAGCCAGGTTGCAGGATCGATCGGCTACCATTGAACATGCAAGGCTTCTTTGGAAAGATGGACATCACCGCAAAGCCATTCAAACGCTGGAGGGCGCTATATCCGCGAATGAAGCTAATCCTCAAGAGTCAATTTCGGTCGATTCCGACACGGCGTCATCTCTCTCTGGTGGTTCTGGAAAGCACCAAGGTGTGTTAATTACCGCTCGTGCGCATCTTTTGCTTGCAAAATGGACGGATAGGGCTGGTCAGACACATTCCCAAGCCATTGTACAGCGATATCGCGAAGCGATCAAGCTATATCCGCGCTGGGAGAAAGCACACTACTACCTAGGAAAGCACTACAACAAGATTCTTGATTCGGAGAAAGCTAAGCCTATGGGCAAGGAAGCCCAGATCTATCTCAGCGGAGAGGCCACAAAGCTCGTGATTGACAACTATCTTCGCTCGCTAACCTACGGAAGTAAATACGTTTTTCAGACGTTACCGAAACTTTTGACGCTCTGGCTAGAACATGCCTCCATTGTCGACCAACCGATTGATCCAAAGAGAGGGGATAACGAAGAGTTTCAAAGACACACCAAAGCTCAACGGCAGAAAAGTCTGGACGAAATGCATGCTCAGCTGAAGAAGTATATCTCTTCTCGTCTGCAGCCTGCTTTGTTGTTCACTATCTTGCCACAGGTTGTGGCACGAATCTGCCACCCCAACAGCACCGTCCATGATCTGCTGACTCGCGTTGTGGTCAAAGCTGTCCACTGCTTTCCACAGCAAGGTCTGTGGACTGTCTTGGCCGTGGTAAAGTCATCTAATAAAGACCGAGCATCAAGAGGATATACCTGTCTCAAAAAGATCACGGTGAGTCATAAGATCATAACAGGATCGCCACAGTCAAAAAACTAAAGCTAAACGATACAGGAATACACCAGCAAGCATAAGACAGAATCGGCCCCCGACATTCATCGCATGATAAGCCAAGGTCAAAAGTTTTCCGAAGAGTTACTACAACTCTGCCTGGCGCATGTCGAGGAGAGGGTCTTCAAAGTCAACCTCGCTCGCAATCTGGGATTCAATCACAAAGTGGCTCCGTGCCGACTAGTCGTGCCATTTCAGGCCATGCTAATCCCGAGTTTACCATCAAGCCACGATTCGGAATATTTGAAAGGGTTCAGACCATTTCCTCGGGATCCAACTACGATCGACGGTATGTATAATATCCAAAGACAATATCTGTCCTGTACGTCGTGGTGGCTCGGCTAACTTGTTCTCTCTTTTTAAGCCATTCTTGATGAAGCGCAGATCTTGCACTCTGCTCAGCAACCACGAAAGATCAGCATTCGAGGCTCAGACGGGAAAATTTACAATGCGCTGTGCAAACCAAAGGATGACCTGCGTAAGGATCAACGTTTGATGGAATTCAATAATATGATCAACCGGTTCCTCAAGCGAGATGTGGAATCCAGCAAACGACGAATGTGTAAGTGAAAGTTTTCCAGGGCCGGATGTGGTTATTTTCAGTTATTCTTATGACTAACCTTAATCAAGATATCAAAACCTACGCCGTCACACCCTTGAATGAAGAGTGTGGTTTGATTGAGTGGGTCGATAATCTACGTACATTGAGAGATATCATCGCCAAGGGACTTCGTGAGAGGGGTGCTGCACCTAATGTGAGTCTTTCTCTACTGGGTACTCTACCGGGTTCCTTTTTCTGGCTCACTTTGCTGTTCCAATGATTCTTGCGAAGCAAATGAATTGCTAACCTATTCGGGATAAAGTATACTGAGATCAGACACTATCTCGACGAGATATGTGCAGACCGTTCGATGACCAAATTACCTCTATTCACTACGAAGATTTTGGCAAAGTCAGAAGACGCCCTTCCGTCGAAATTCGCTCTGTACTTGAGCAATGCTAACTATTGGTTTTGATCCTGCAGGTGTCCCCCCGTTCTTCACGAATGGTTTATCGAAATGTTCCCCGAAACCGAAGCATGGTTCGCCGCAAGGTTACGATACACGCGATCTTCTGCGGTGATGTCTATGGTTGGATATGTTTTAGGGTTCGTGACAGTCAATCAGATTCAATCTATCTTTGCTTGAGGGTTGATCAATGCTAACTGTAAAATCTACCAGACTGGGTGACCGACACGGAGAGAACTTGTCCTTTGAAGAAGGTACTGGTGGTATTTTGCATGTTGATTTCAATTGCTTGTTTGACAAGGTACGTGCCCTGCTACCAATTATATTCTAGTCATGGGTTACTTGAGAGAATATGCTGACCATCTAATCTACACAGGGCCAAACGCTCGCAAAGCCAGAAGTGGTTCCATTCCGTCTGACGCAAAACATGGTCGATGCGTTCGGCGCCTATGGGTATAATGGTGAGCTTGAGCTTGAGATAGCGTGACCCTACGGGTTATTGATTACTCTAGATTACTGAGTACTAACATGTGTATTTCTACCAATAGGACCATTCCGAAGAACATGCGAAATTACACTGCGCCTTTTGCGGCAGAACGAAGATGCTTTGATGACTATCCTTGAAACCTTCTTGCACGACCCAACTACAGACTTCATCGGGAAAAGAGTGAGTATTCAGAACCCCTCATCTGCCGCCTTGCCTCGAGACTATAAATTCAATGTAGACTAATCACGGTTTTTCTTTCCACAGCGCCGTACCCATATCAATGTTCCTGATACGCCAGCCGGGGTTTTGGAAGATGTTCGTAACAAGCTCCGAGGCTTTATGTCGAAGCAACCCATTGCTCTTTCGGTCGATGGACAGGTGGATGAGCTGATCATGCAGGCCACCGATAAGGCAAACCTGGCAAAGATGTACATCGGGTGGTGTGCATTCTTCTAGATTTGATGGTATTCTGATTCTGCGAGTTTCGAGAACCCATCCCATAGTCATAGTCCTACTCTTTAAAATCAAATCAAGCCTGAAAGAAAAGCAATCACAATGCCCGGTGTCCTTGGGTGCATCCCATCATTCCCATTCCCGGTGCCTTCGTACGGAAAGGTTCAGATTAGTTAGCGGGTAATGAATGCTATGATTGGTGTCTGTGTTTTGTTGCGGTGATAAATTTGATATTTATTCTCCGGCTAGGGATCATTTGCGCTGCCCCGCGATAAACGTATCGTATTCTGGTCTAATGGCGATTGCGACTGCGGGTTCTGTCTGACGTCGGGGTCCTTCCGCCACGGCTGCTGTCGTCATAGCTACTATAGCTAGGACTTCTCCGTCGACGCTGGCCAGAGCCCTTTGGCCGAGTACTGCCTCGTCTTGGCGGAGAGCGAGATCGAGATCGAGAATAGGATCGGTTCCGTACCGGAGATCGGGACCGCGAGCGTGATACAGACTTGGGTCTATACACATCGTGGCGTTCGCCAGGACGTGCGCCGCGACCCTGTCGGCGCGGAGGCGATTTGGCATAAGACCCCCTTCTGAATCCGGAACGTCCTCCATTTCCTCGGTCTCGGTTTGCTGGAGGCGGCGAACGGGAGAATGTTCGGCGGGGAAGAACAATGGCGACGTTCAGTACGGCCCCGTCTAGTTGGGCTTCATGCATGTGTGCGATGGCCGCCTCGGCGTCTGCGGGGTCATAGTACAAGATGTATGCGGTGCCTCGGTTCGTCATGACTAGAGAAGAGAGGAGCTTGATTAGTGACGCTGGTTCCAGAATGAGATGGCAGAGGCTCGGCTCTTACAGGCTCGGTTCACCGGGAGATCGAGGTATTCAATATCCCCAAAGCTACCAAATATCTCGCGCAAATGAGCTTCCGTGACATTTTTTGTTAATTTCTCCACCACGATCTAAACTCGTAAGTCAGCTGTTGTTATTGTTGGAGAAGGAGAAGGTAGTGCCCTCAGGGCTTCGAGTCGATGCATGACGAAACTCACCTTGGCGCTTTTCGCTGGACTCGAGGCCCGACTGGGTGATCGACTGTAGCTTCGGCTTCGGCTTCGGTAGCGTCGACTGTCTTTGCTACGACTGCGCGATCGAGTTCGGCCTCGTGGAGGTGAAGGTGACCGAGTGGCACTTCGCGGACGCGAGTCCTCGCGAGGACGGGGAGATCGAGATCGAGACCGCGTACGCGCTGGGGGTGATCGGCTGGGCGAATGCCCGCGAGGGGAACGAGGAGGCATATAGGCGACTGAGTTTTCCGAGTTGCGGACACTTCACGAGCTTGAGAATGAGGTTGAGTGGGTTCGGAAACAAGGTGTCACGCGCGGGATTCTATGCGAATGCGGATGTGACTGGAATAGTGATGGGCTCTCGAGGCACCAATGGCTTTGAAATGGATAGGTAGATGGCGGCGATGGTTTAAATTTCAAATTACGACAGATCACGGATGCGCGAGCTGGCGAAGATGTGGAGTTTGGGGTTGAAGGTGAGGTGAGGTGAAGTGAGGTAGGGTTAAGAAGGCTAACGTTCGGCGCCAGCAACTGGAAGAGCTCCCTTTGTGGCCTCAGGCCATAAACAGTCCCAATCCGGACTAGTCTATTTACTATAAACCAATGTACAGTAGCAATTACAATTTGTACAACACTCACTATTAACTATTATACTTGAAAATCTTGGACATATCTTCTCTGGCCATAAAGGTCACAGTCATTCACATATATTCTATTCTATGATTGAGCCTCCGCCCAATGCTCATATTCCTGAATAACCTCATCCGTAATCTGCCGTTTTACCTGACTCAGCGCAATGTCAAAGTGCTCGGGCTTAAGATCCTGTTCCTGCCCCGTCCTATCCTCCTCATCAAGCGCCGCATCACCCGCAGTCTCGCAGATACTAACAATCTCCGCTCCAGAGTATCCCTCCATCAGATCAGCCAAGTCATCCAGATTGACTTCGGGACTGAGTACAGACTTGGCAGCCCAGATACGCAGAATATCTCGTCGAGCTTCAAGATCAGGCGGTCCAATATAAACGAGTTTATCCAGTCGACCGGGACGCATGAGAGCAGGGTCCAGCACGTCCGGTTTATTAGTCGCTGCAACGACGAGCACACCTCGTAATTCTTCGATGCCGTCCATTTCGTTCAACAGTGTTGTGAGAACGTTCACGCCGCCTTGGGAGCCGCTGCTTCGTCGGCCGGCAATGGCGTCGATTTCGTCGAAGAATATGATACTGGGTCGGGCTGCTCGGGCTTTGCGGAAGATTTCTCGGAGGGATCGCTCGGACTCGCCGACGTACATGCTGAGGATCTCGGCGCCCTTGACGGCAAGGAAGTTCAGACCTGCTTCTGTGGCTAGGGCTTTGACGGTGAGTGTTTTGGCGCAGCCTGGGGGTCCGTAGAGAAGGACGCCCTTTTTGCTCTTTACGTTAAGTCTTTGCATTCTTTGAGCATGCTGTTTGATATTTGTTAGACTTGGTGACAAAAGGGAGGAGGGGCCTTGCTGGTTCTTACCTTGAGAGGTCGCTCGACGGCATTCTGTAGACGTTCTTTGATCTCTTTCTGTCCACCTATATCCGACCATCGCACTTTGGGAGTTTCGAGGAACACTTCACGCATGGCAGTGGGTCGGATTTCTTGGAGCGCAGACATCATATCTGACATTTGGATATCCAATTCCACGCCGGCTTTATCTTCGCCCTCGGCCGAAGGTGAAATCTCCAGATTCTGAAGTGACAGCCCTTGCTCCAGGCTCTGCCTTTGTCGCGCCTTGCGGCAGATCACTTGTAATAAAGCAAACAGATCCGCTCCGACATACCCATGAGTCTTCTCAGCAAGCAAATCAAGAAAAGAGTCGCTCAACCCAGCAGACACTGGGCCCCGAAGAGCACGGAGGATTTCAGCACGGTCTTGTGCAGTCGGGACTTGTAGTTCGATTTCCGTTCCCAGTCGATGCGGTGTGCGAAGGGAATCATCGACGAGATTCGGGTGTCTTGTAGCAGCAACAACAAGGACAGACGCATCCCGAATCGCCTCTAGATTCTCGGAGAGAACGGATGCCAAAGATTGTGATTCGGGGGAATTCCGTTTTGGCGCAATGAATTCTAGTTGGTCGATTATGAGGACGCTGGGTTTAGAGCGCACTGCTTCTTGGAAGATGTTTCGGAGTTTTGACTCGCTCTCGTTCATACTCCTACCGAGGGACGAGCTGCCGATTTTGAAGACCTGTCTCCAGCCTGCTTTTTCAATTTGCTGCAGAAGGGTTGTTTTGCCGGTTCCTTTGGGACCGTAGATCAAGATTCCCCGGTTGCTTTGGTAGAATGATGGCATGACTAGTTTGTGTTGGTCGTTGAAGTCGGATAGGCTCTCATTGATATCTTCGATCTGCCTTGAGAGACCACCCAGACCCCCCGATTCGACCAGAATTCTGGTAGATGATTTCTCTTCTTCTGCTTCGCCCATATCCGTTCCGATAGATACTTTCGTGCCTTTTGAGACGAACCGGAATATGGTGTGATTGTTGTAGCCGGGAGTTTGCGGCTGTACCGTAACCACATTGAAAGCGCGACGCTGACCCTTGAGGTCTAATTCGAAGACCAACCCGTTGGCAAGGACTTCGCATTTCGATAGATTTGACTCCAGAGCCCATTCCCAATAATGTCTTTCGTCGGCCGGGATCTCGCCATATTTTTCAAGCCTCTCGGTGTCGGTGATATCGGCCAAAATGACGGAAGCAAGTTCCTGTAGACAACCATCAATTTTGGTTATCGCCACTTTTTCTCCAACCTTGATGTTGTAGCGGTCCTGGAGAGCTCGAGAAGTTTGAACGACTGTATTTTGTATATTCTCCACGGCTGTCCAGGCGATAGCGGTCTTTGGCTTTCCTTCTGCCATCGTTAAGTAACATAGGTCACCGGCTCGAAGTCGTGAGCTAGCCATCGATGAGGAGGAGAGGTATATCCTGAATGCATCTTTGTTGTCGGCCTTGGGGTTGGGCTGTTTCGACAAGGGTCGAACTGTGAAGCTGCGAACGTCGGCCATTTTTAAGGTGCTCGGAGAAGCTGGGGCGTGGGATGGTGGAAAGACTTGGCGCAAAGCAAAATGAAGGCACTATGTTCAACAGAAAGTTGTATATTTCGGTATTGAAGCTTGCTAGCTTGCTGTCCCGGGTGTTCTTCTAATTGTGTGGGTTCAAGGAACCATCACTCGAGCAGATATATTTTTTTTTCGATGGTTGAACTGCCGCTTCGGCGCACGGAGCACGGTTCGATATGTCTCCGGAATGACGATTGGAAAGAATGACGATTGAGAAGGAGTTCGGAGGCCGCACTATCATGGATCGCCCCGGTATGCGCAAACAAGGGTGTGAAAAGATTGCAAGTCCGAAAACTGCTCGAAGTGTGGTGGGGGAGGGGAGAAGATCTTATCGGCGGGTTGATACTCAGGAAAAATAAAAGTGGGTCAAGAAGCTGCATCAGAGACACGAGGCGGGGCATACCCCTATAAACTCTACGGAGTACTCATATAAGGTAGTACATAGCTAGAATTAAAAAGAGAAAAAAAAGAACCATATGAATATTCACTTCGACGGCGTGACACTCCAAATTATCTGAAATGGGAAGTTGAGGACGTGCCGCCCGAGGCTATGGACAGATATGTATGATACTCGAGGGTAATAGGCGCCAACTCTCCATAGAAACCGGACATTCAAATCTTAGCACATGAAATTGCAGGGAAAGGATATGTTCTGCGCAGGAAACGACCAATGGGGACGGGGATGAGAGAGGAAAGAATAAAACTCAAGAGAGACACGCGAAAAGGGAAATTGGGTAAGAAAAAGCAAGGAGATAGAGAGAGAGAGAGAGAGAGAATAGTGATACAGGGGGTCGTCTAACAGCACTTTCCTCCGCTGCTACCATTCAAACCCGAGCCCTGCTGGTCTATATTGACCCCCGAAGTCCCGCTTTGTTCGGTCTTGGAAGTGTCCATGCCCTTCTTGATATCGGATGCCAGGCTATAGAATGCCTTTTCGATGTTGATGTTGTTCTTTGCGGAGACCTCCAGGAAGGGAATGCCGAGTTCGTCGGCAAGCTGTTGGCCTTGCTCGGTGGAAACAGCCCTCTTCTCCTCCCAGTCACACTTGTTGCCGATGAGAATCTTGTGCACTCCTTCGCTGGCGTGTTGTTCGACATTAGAGAACCAGGTTCGGATGTCTGTTCGGGGAAAAAGGAAAGAGTTAGATCATGTTATATCCTAGGGTAGGAGAGGAGGTGGTGTTCGCAAAATTGGGCGGGACTCACTTTGGAAAGATCGTTCATCGGTCACATCGTAGACAAGGAGAATTCCCATCGCACCACGGTAGTATGCCGTTGTGATGGTGCGGAAACGTTCCTGGCCCGCGGTGTCCCATATCTGGAGTTTCACTCGCTTGCCGTCCAACTCGATTGTGCGGATCTTGAAATCGATTCCGATGGTGGTAATGAAGGAGGGGGTGAAGGAGTCTTCGCTAAATCGCAGGAGACAGCATGACTTGCCGACGCCAGAATCGCCGATCAACAGCAACTTGATCTGCGGTGCCATAAACCCGTTAGCAAATAACCAAATGAAACAAATCTGCAATCAATATCTTCTATGCGTACCAAAAAGTCGTAATTTCTTGTACCGGCCATGATTGTCTATTGGTGGTCTTTAGGGAGGTGAAAAAGGGACGGAGAGATAGGAGACGGTCAAGTTGCTGGGTAGTCCCACAAAGAGATCGGGGGAACAGAACAATCTATGTCAAGCGGTCTGGAGCTGACTTTAAACTGAGATCTGATCGGCAGTGGCGGGTCGTTTATCGTTGAGAGGGGTGGGAGGTGGAAGGGTTTCGGTGGCTTTGGGACGGTATCAGGAGTGTCGGACCAAGAGTGCAGATCGTCCAGTCTCACACAGTCAGGTGATCCAGTGATGTCTCTCGCCTTGCAAGAGTGTTTAATTCAAATCAAGCCTACAACCAGGGCAGGCAGAAGATTCAGTGAAGAGAAGGAAGCAGAGATGAGATGGAGGTGGTCGACACCAGGTGGAGAGTGATGACGGCGCGGCCGCGGATGACCTCATTACGTAAGCTTCCAAGGCCACCGCCGAGACGAAGGCGAAGTCGATGGCGACGGCGATGATGATGTTTACAGGATGGCAAACCAAAGAGAGGAAGGTATTTTATGGGTCATTAGAGGTAGTCTATCAACTACAGTATGTCCATCGCATCCTCTCCACCACTCGAAGTTGTTTTTCCACCCCACTTCGAACGTCCAGTAGGTCTTGAATATCCTCTCGAAATTCCCGATACTGCATAGCCCCAAGCATCGGTTTCACTTTCTGAAGCAGACCTTCGGCCTCACAAATGAGTCGTCCGGAGTCTTTGAAAGAAATCACTCCGTTGGATACAGAAGCAGCCAGGAGGATCCGCGTAGAATTCCTAGTTTTATTAGCCTGTTTTTCCCTGGCTTGCCGCGAAGGAGGGAAGAGAATATCATAAACATACCTTAGACTTCGTTTAAGTCCGACCTGTCGCTTTCCTTTTGCCAGACCTTTCCGGTTCCCAAAAACCCCAAGGAGCCAGCGTAGACTCGAGTATGAAACCAAAATCCCTGGTGTAAGTCCAACAAAGCTGAAGGGGGTGTTAATCAGCGGGGAAATGCAATGAGATTATGATGTGCCACTTACCCAAAAACAAGCTCTTGACTCTTCAAGAGGGCATTAATACCACTTATAGCAATTTCGACATCAACCTTAGTCTTCTGGATCTGAATCAAAAGGGCACGGACCAGATCTCCGCGAACGGTCCCCTTGAACGGCGATCGCAAGTCTCGCTCGTAAGCCCTCAGCACTGGAGTCAAATCGCCTTCTTTAACTGCATTTGTAATGAGCGTGGCGTCTTCTGGCGTCATAGCACTCTGCGAAGAATCAGGCCGATCACGAACAAAGTCAAGGACCATACGTTCCAGGCTATCTCGATCGGCGACCAAACTGTTCTTGCTCATGATGGCAATCTCGCTCTTCTCGTCATGTCGAATAGTGCCAATGAGTTTGTGGACTGGGGCCACGACCCAATTTTGGGCAAAGTCGATAACCGTACTGCCAAAGTCCATTATCCATTGGAGGATGTCGTCCTTGCGGTGGAGCATGAAGTTGAGAGAAACGCTGCCTGAGAAGAGCATGATGGATAGTGGGAGCCAGTATCGGATAATTGCGCGCGGGCGTCCGTTACGATCGATCTTTGTAGAGACAGATGCTGTGTGGTTGGGGAGCTGGGTGCGGAGGACGTGAATGAGACGCTGGATCAACTGGAGAGGGTTCTCAGTTGCGGACGAATCTTGATCTTGTGCTTGTAGGCGAATCGTACTATTTTCGATCATAGCGGAGACATTTTGTTCGAATTCGGGAGCAGTTGAATGCGAGATACCATGGTGCAATATCGCTTCCGTTAAAGCTATCGTCCGTGAGACGGATCCCTGCCATTGACCCTTGGGCAGGTCGGATCCAAATTCAGCTACTGTGGCTGAGTCTGTAGGGAAGGAATGCCAGTCTTCCATAATGAGTCCAAGACTGCTTGTGTGTACATCCTTGATTGCGAGCAATCGGTCTCTTTTTTGCCTCGCTTCTGCCCGGCACGATCGAATCGGGTCGGAAAAACTTGACAAGGCAGGATACGCCGACACACTCTGGCGAGCAATTTGGTAGAAGTGAGCCCATCTGGCTGCAACAGATCGCGACAGAGAAGAAGCCGAGAAGTCCCGGGCCCCTGGAGCGGTATAGATATCCCTCGTCCAATGCCATAGCCGCACTGGAGATGTTTGCGCCGCATAGAAACCACTCTGCCAAAGAGATCCCAAGACCTCATTCCAATAGTGGATCTCCTCGTGGATCTGAATTGTTTGCTCCAGGAGAGCCTGCATCACAAGCCCGGAGGTTTGCACGGCGGCCTTTCCGGCAATCAGCCAAAGGTGATCGGGCACATGTTCCTCGGTGCGGGCAGCTTCTGAAGCGATGGAGAGGGTGCTCGAGAAGGCTGGGTCGGATAGCAAGTCGGCTAGTCGAGTCGCCGGGAGCAGAGGCTGAGTCTTTGAGGTGACCGAGATCGAAGAGATGACATTTTGCAGACGACGAAGGTGGAAGCCGTGAAGGTCATCCGTATGTAGGAGTTTATCGGAAGGAGGAATCTGCTGTTGGAGGCGGTCAAGTTGTATGTTTACGTAGCAGGCATTCCTAGGATGTGTAAGCTAGGTCCAAATCTAGAGGACTTGGGTAATCTTTTCGGGCCATACTCCTGTATAATCGACATGGCGCCTTCTATCGAAGACACATCAAGGTAGGGACTGTTGGGGAGATGGAGCTCCGCATGTACAAACCGGACATGGCGTCATATACGGGTGCAAACAAAGCAAACTTGACGAACTGCAGGGACCTGAATGAAATGCGCAAACAGTGCAAACACTCAACGATCTTCAGGGCTGCAGTCGTTCACGTGATTGGAAAATCTTGGAAGCTTCGAAGTCCACGGGGCCCGCAGTATACATTACACCGTGTAGGATGTATACTACCATCAGGTTACTGCAGAGATTACGGAGTACTCTGTAGACTGATAAGCCACAGCCACATAGCCACACCATCATACTACTTACTGTGTACAAAAGAACGAAAAGGAAGAATAATAGAAAATCATCTAAACCAATCATAGTACTCTGTAATAATAAACTATATCGTACGGTGTACTCCTTTGTTCGATATGGTCCCAGAAAACCTAGGGATGAACATGCCACATGCAGGCAGGAGCCCCCCTCCGCAGTGGGCTGAGGGTTCATCAGCCAAACAAAAGACAGGCATATACGCATTATCCGGTGAGTGGGGCTCGGATGGTGATCGGGTCGTCAGTGGCCTTACCTTAGTCCTCCCCGTGAGTGGTTGAGTGGTGCGCTTTCCCAGCAGTCCTCAGGGGCTCCCGCGGTCTCGCCACTTCGGGAATGGCCTTGCTCCTCCCTCCGGGGAAAATTAATATTTGCTCCTCCTCGCCCTGCTTTTTTTCTTTCTTTCCTCTTCAACCTCCCTCTACCATCTTCACTCCTCAACCAACTTTCTTCCTTTTTCTTTGGACCTGTTGGGAAACACAATGTATGTTCTTTTCTTTATCCCTTTTTTCCCCCTGCTACAGGCTGGCGGGAATCTCTCTCCCCGAAAGATTTTTAATTAACCCTTTTTGTTTCCCCCCCTCCAGGAATTCCACCGTGTTGCCCTCGGCCACCTACTGGGGCCAGTATGAGGAAATCACCAAATTCAACACCGATTTGAACATCGCCGAAAGATTGTGGGCTGCTTGGTATGCCTGGATGCAGAATGATGTTCTCGCCACCGGCATCATGTCTTTCATGATGCACGAGCTGGTTTACTTCGGTCGCTCCCTTCCCTGGATCTTCATTGATACCCTGGGCTTTTTCAAGAGTTATAAGATTCAGAACGTAAGTTGGGACACGATTCTACGCGTCAATGGTGCTTTGCTAACCCTGGTTACCCCCTCTTTAGAACAAGATCCCCTCATTGAAAGAACAGTGGGATTGCGCCAAATTCGTGCTCCTCAGTCACTTCACTGTTGAGCTCCCTCAGATTTGGTACGTCTCTTCCCCTATGACCAGCATTTGGGATTTATCAAATCCTGCATTCGTCCCCACCAGTGAGTGCTAACAATTTTTCCAGGCTCTTCCACCCAATGGCCCAATTCTGCGGTCTCTCGACATCCATCCCCTTCCCTTCCCTCTGGACTATGGCCTACCAAATCGCCATTTTTTTCGTGATGGAGGATACCTGGCACTACTTCTCCCACCGCGCTCTTCACTGGGGTCCGCTCTACAAGGCTATTCACAAAATCCACCACCAGTACTCCGCTCCCTTTGGCCTAGCTGCTGAATACGCGTCTCCGATCGAAGTCATGATTCTGGGTTTCGGTACTGTCGGCTGCCCGATCCTCTGGTGCGCTTTCACTGGTGACCTGCACATTCTCACCATGTACATTTGGATCGTGCTGCGTCTGTTCCAGGCCATCGATGCTCACAGTGGTTACGAATTCCCCTGGAGTCTTCACCACTTCCTCCCCTTCTGGGCCGGTGCCGACCACCACGATCTTCACCACGAAAAGTTCATCGGAAACTACTCCAGCAGCTTCCGCTGGTGGGACTACCTTCTCAACACCGAGTACACCCCAGATGCTCTCAAGCGCCGCAGAGAAGGGAAGGCCGGAGCCAAGAAGGCTCAATGATCTGATCTGATAATGACTTAATGGCAGCCAGTTTGCCTATTCTCATTCTCTTTGCACTCGGTCTTGGCCTGGTTCGAGCCGTTTTTTACCCCATAATAGCCTATCCTGCTCTTCTAATATTGTTAACGGAGATAGAGAAGTTTTCTAGATTTCATGTCTTCTCAGTCCCGTCTCTTTCAAGAATCTAAATCACATTCTTAATAAATATTCAATCAAGATTTTTTTTTCAAAATGATCTAAAGAGCTAAATGATCTAAAGAGCTTTAGTGTAGAGTAGTGTTGATTTTAGACTGGAAGACTATTCTCGGCTCATCTACAACGCTCTATGCAGCGTCTTGAATTACCAGTGTTGCCTAGAACGCTCTGCTACCCTTCGGCAGAGCCATCCACCTATACAAATTGCTTGATCCTAACAATTCAGGGTACTGAGTATGTCACTGGGTAGTTCAACTGCTTATGTCTCTATTACTGGCCATCTACACCACTAGCATACTAGCGCCAACCAAAGTACTTCCTGGTCCTTCCTATAAGTATTCTAAAGCTATTTACACAATTCACTAATTAATCTAGGTCTAATTCTTATACAGTACGCTGACATGGAGCACTGGGTCAATTGCAGCTATGGAGCGCTGTAAATTCTCTAAGGACTGCGAATGTGGTAGGCTTCAACGGCCCACATCTATCAACATCTATGCTGGCTTGCTGTCTGTCAAGTTGAATATAAAATAGAGATCAACATATGTAAAGTATAGAAATAATCCAGAGAGCCCCAAAAAAAGAAAATGGAGATTTACTAGTGTTTTCAAGTTTGAGAATACTTTCTGGAAGCCTAGGTAAATCACAGAGCATCATGCCTACGACCTTGAACGTTCTCCGAGTAATTTAATAGATTATTGCGATGGATTCTAGACATTATTTATATTCCAAGATTCTACCCAGGAGAGTGTTTCGATTAAATAAGGAAAGCGTTGGTTGAATGATCAATAAGAATGCTAAACACTATTTGGCCATGAAGGATGCTATGTATGGTCGTTAAGAGCTTCAACTGTCTTAGTCCAGCTTGCTCTTTAACTTACAAGAAGTACAACTCTAGACACGTAAAATTTCCGGACGGTAGATAGTTTGAAAGTAGAAGGTATACAATGAGTTAGGATGATTTTATCCTAGCTCTGATCCTCCGAAGTCTGTCTAGACGCTAACACGCATATAGTAGTCCAACCAGAGATCTACATATATGATTTGACTTTCTAGATTGATTTGACTTTTTGAATTCCACTTGGGGACTTTCGTGCTTGATAGATCTCACTATTATTCATTTTTACTTGACCACAGGTTCTACATGGTCCGACTCTGAGACGTTGAAGTGTTTATGAATGTTAGGAGTATTCTTCTCGTGAAGATGCATTGCCATTAATTTTGAGTATCAGCTGAGTATTACGAATTCTGCAGGGACGCGATAAATGACCTCGAATTCTGCCGACCTTGGGATATAGGTTCCCCTCCACTTTTGCACTTTCCTTGCACATGGCCCGGCTTTCTTCAAAGGTACGAAAGAATGGTTACAGATCCTTGGAAATACTCTGAGCATACTGGCAGGCTGCAGCGAGGATAGGATTTTGGCATCTTCATATTCAAAAATATCCTGTAATCTGTTCTTCAAGGTGGCCTTGAATCTTTTAGCGGGGTTTATGTTAAAGTTTTGCCTTACTAAGATAAGAAGCACTGGCGCCAGATGATCAACCTCAACTCCATAGGAAGCTAGGGGAATAAATGGAAAGTTTGCTCATGGTCGTTGTTTATCGGGTGGGAAAAGGTTAAATATAAACAAGGAGGGACAAGATGGTGTTGGCTGCCAGATGCTAGACAACCAGATTCAGGGTTTAAAAGCTAACATGAGCAGCCCCACCCACCTACAAAACTAATGTTATATATTTTTTCATGACCAAAATAGGCCACTAGTTGTCATGTATTAGAAAATATAAAAAGTCGGCTTAATTTATAGTTATAGGCTAAAAGCTATCCAACAGAAGCTTACTACTAGCTAAATAGTATACTATTTACTAACACTAAGTAATTAGTAATATACTGAGATCTGAGTAAGGAGGTTGTTAATTTTTAGTACTAGGCCATTCAGTAATACCATAGAGGTTATAGTTAGAGGAGAGCCTGACTATCTATATAATAGCAATAAATAAAGCCTCCGTGATCTTATCTATAATAGAATAGGCTTTGGGCCTTGGTTTCGCAACTCTGCTTAATTATCTGCTGGTTCTGACTATATCCTGGCATCATCACCTGATTCTAATCATGAATTGTCGTTTTTCTAGTGTAGCTGTAGTACGCGCTGACACACCATAGGGCAGCAGGTTCGACGAAATGTCGCTGACGCATGGGCAAGAGCCGCAACGGGGAAACCTGGCGATCTGGCTACCGGAAGCTCGGACGATTGTTCTCACCGTCGTAGTGCGGGCGGTACAATGGATCAAAGGCATTGTTGATTGTGCCGCAAGCACATGCACCGTGTATCACATCCTGGAGCGTGACAAGGGGCCCATCCGAATATCCAACGCTAATCCTGAACAGGTAATCGTCACGCTGCGCTATCTCGATCAGGAAATCGTCACGCTCTTGGCAAAAGGCTCGAAATCGCCAAACTTCGACGGGGAGGTGCGGCAGCGACATCCATTTAGGCGTTCTGAGACGTACAGTCTGACATTGCGGATGGGCCAGAGAGTCACCTAGAACACCTGTGATCTTCTCGATTGCATTTCTGATCTTAAAACCTAAGTGCATTTTGTCTTGTGGAAAACAGGGATCACTGCCTCACGGGAGACTGGAGCTGAAAATCAAAACTAGTTACAGGAGGCGTGTACTAGTGAAGATTGCAATATGATTGGGTGAGGGTTCCCCAGCCTAACTGTGACGGTTCCGCACTCGCACCCCTGGCCTCGAACGCTTTGATACTCGAATCCCACGCCATGCCGGTTCGCACTCCCACCTGGAAGTGCTGACACCCAGTTAGCACTTCTACGTGTAAGTAGCACGCCCACAGGTACCTAGTTGTAGGCCTCGCCAAAACCCGCAATTTCGACCCGTTCGGGGTTTTCCCAAGGACCAATAAACCCGTTTTATAACCCGCAAATCGTGTCTGTGTACATAAATTGTCATAAATAGGAAATTTTTGGCTTATCTATACCCCTTTGTGCAAAAAAACGGGTTATATATTTGACCCAATGCGGGCTTCGGGTCGAGGGTACCAGGCCGTCGGTGAGGCCTACCTAGTTGCAGAGGGCAGTTAGTAGCTTTAATTAGCTCCGGCTAATGAGCCAAAGGATCTAGTTTTGAGCAAAATGCATAGTTGCGGCATAGCAACCTTCTTACCCGAAACGGCAATCGAGGAGTTGTTCCAATCATCACGTCGATCACAGCGGCGCAGCCTTAAGGCCGAGGGGACCGTGGGGCCGTGGGGCCGTGCATGCCGCTTTGCGTTCTCAGCAATGGGTGAGCTAGCATTTTACTCTACTACTTAACGGCCATGACGTCCCGTATAGATTTCTTTTTCATCTTGTCAGGCTTATACAGGGCATGAGACTTGGGTGCCGAATCATTGTTTACCTCTTCATTATTTTCCTGGTTCCTTCACTAGTATCTCTCGTTGGAGAGAGATAAGTCTTCACAAAATGCCGTCTCGTTCACACTTTGGAAAGCTGGGAGCTCTGCTTTCCGTCATTGGCAGCGCCTGGGCAAAGACCGTCACTACCACAAATGGAACCATTGAGGGCGGCAAGTGCGACGGTTACGATGTAAACTCTTTCCTGGCAATTCCATATGCTCAGCCTCCTGTGGGAGACCTTCGCTTTGCCGCACCAGAACCATATAACACGACATACGATGGGGTACTGAAGGCCACGTCTAAGGCCCTCAACTGCCCTCAATTTACCACCGGCGGCGAACTTGTGGAAGGGGCCTTCTCTGAAGACTGGTATGCTGATTTGATTCCCGAAACATTCTGCCCCGTATATACTGACCCAAAGCTCTGATAGCCTGTACTTGGACATCTGGGTCCCAGCGGGTGCAACCAAGACCTCAAAGCTACCAGTCAAAGTTTGGTTGTTCGGTGGCAGTAATAAGGGCGGGAGCATCTCAATGGCTCTCTACGATGGTTGCCCCTCGGCCAGAGATAGCATCGTTGTGTCCCTCAACTATCGCCTCGGCCCCCTTGGTTTCCTGGCGTACGAGGATGCTGGCCTTAGAGGCAACTATGGTATTCAAGACCAGCTGCTAGCACTGAGCTGGGTTCAGAAGGAGATCGGCGCCTTTGGCGGCGATCCGGACAAGGTTCTGTTATTCGGGCAGTCGGCCGGCGCCTACGACACCTACGTCCTCAGCTCTCTGCCCCAGGCACCCTCTCTTTTCCGCGCCGCGGCCATGGAGTCTAGCGGAGGACATGACTCGCCAAACCTAGCTTGGACAAAGCCATTTTATTCGGAATATATTAGCGGAGTTGGCTGCGACCTGGATGATCCCGACTCCATCACCAAGTGCCTGCGCAGCACATCCATAACGGCTATGAACAAGACGTGGCAGGCCGAAAACAACGCCGGCCCAGACGTCCCTACTGTAGGCACATTATATCATGGCAATGGCATCGGTAGCGCTTGGCTTGCCGTGGTTGACGGCAAGGTCGTCCCCGAGAACCCGGGCAAGATTGGTTCTCGCGTTCCAGCCATCTTTGGCAACACGGCCAACGACGGCAGCATCGACGTTCTTACGCAATATGGCACCGGCATTGCGAATATTACCGAGGCTGATTACAATGAGTTTCTGTCCTACAGCTTTGGATCGCTTGCATCCACCGTCAAGAAAACATACCCTTGGAGTGCTTTTAAGGACTCGCCTTATCCCGGTTACACGGCCATGACAACTATCAGCACTGACTACTCCGAGATATGCCCCAATTATCGTGCCCTGAAGCTTGCTGCCAAGAACGGTATCGATGCCTGGGCCTACAACTTCAACCACACCGACACCTGCGCGTGGGGATTCGATGTGCCGCAGTCAGATGAGATTCTCGCGATTCTCGGTCCGACGCACACGAGCGAGATCCCCTTTTGTCTTCGGACAGACTAAGGGACTACCAAGACCTGATGGAAACTGCAGCTTCACTAAGGCTGAGGTCGCCCTCAGCGACTTCATGGTCGAGGCATGGACAAGCATGGCGGCTAATGGACAGCCAGCTAACAGCAGCCAGTGGCCAGCTTGGACGCCCAGTAAAAGCGAGGGCATTACAATCAACGATGTGGTAGATGTCGGACCGCTGGACTATAAGAAGTGCGAGTTTTGGGACCAAATCCTCGAGGCCGTGCTTGCACTGGATGCCAATGGCACCACCACAAATGTATCTACAAGTGCGAGCTCTACGGCGACATCTCCAACTTCTTCACCAACGTCGGGCAGTAACAGCTTCTGGGCTCCTGGGGGAACTATTGCCTCCTTGTCTCTCCTTCTTGTGACCATCTTGGTTAATTGAGAATCTGTACCTATCCCATGGGGGTCGCTGGTATTCGGTGAATACTAGTCATTTTGTATGGTGAGGGTTGTTGGGCTTCTGGCAAATACCAGCCATTTTTGAGCCCAAATCCCAGCCAGCTTTTTAGTGACAACTAGACCTCGGCAGACCCATGGGCTCTTGGCGGGAGTCCATGGGCTGTTAAACAGTGCAAACATAGAGAAACGCGTGACTGCATAAAAAAGTGCAAGAATTGGTATAAATCCCCTGTTATTATAAGTAATCAGATTACAACATCAGGAATATACTAGACTAGGCCTCAAAAAATACTTCGTTGGGGCGAGGAAGGCCTCAAAAAAGACGTTTGAGGAGTACTAATCTGCAACTGTTCTAGCATCTTATTTTCAGAACTTTATATATATATATAAGGATTAGCTTTGAATATTAGTTATTATTTTTGGTATATAACTTTTAAATATACTTTTTATTATATTTTTGGTAAGTATATTAGCAATATTATCTTTTGAGGGTATTAGTACTAGTTTTATTTAGTTATTTTATATAGTATTTCTAGTAAAATAATATATTATATTAATATACTTTAATCTCTTATAGAATTTAGGATTTTTAGCTAATTTTTTAGCTCCTTTATTATCTATTAATATTATTAGTATAGTATTAGTATAACCTAAATTAAGGTAATTATTTATATATATAAGTATATTATTTAGATATATTGCTTCTTTTATAGCTTCTTTTAGTACTATATATTTAGCTTTATAGCTTAATAAAGCTACTATTTTTTAAAGCTAACTATTCTAGGATATAGGATTAGTTAGGTCTAGATTACTACCTAGGCTAAATATATAGCCAGTAGTAGATCTTCTATTATTTATATTATTTATCTAGTTACTATTATAATAACCTTTTATATATAGGTTATTATCAGAGTAATTATATATTAGACCTTTATTATTATTTTTCAGTATATAGTACTATATATAGTATATAGCCTTAAAATAATCTTTACTAGGATTTAATATAAATCTAGTATAATATAATACAGAAAAGACTATATTAGGTCTTATTTTTAGGGCTAAATATAGTAGAGAGCCTATTTCTTTTTAATATTATTTTATATTAGTATTACTAGCAGTAGTAGTATTTTTTATTAATTTTATTCCTAGTTCTCTAGGTATATCTTTTAGTTTATATATATTATTACCTAAAAATATAGTAATTTAACCTATTTTATCTAATTTAATAGATTTATTTATATTATTTTTTAAAGCTTTTATATAGGATAGATCTTTATATAATACTAATATATTATTAATATAATATATTAGTATATAATTATCCTTTTTGTTTATATATATCCCTTTGTTATATAGAAATACCTTAAAATCTAGTAATTCTAGTACTAATTTTAGGTATTAATACTATAGTCTAGAGGATTATTTTAACCTGTATAATACTTTATTAAGCTTTATATATTTATTATTATATTTAGGATTATTATATAATCCTATTAGTAATATAGTATATATATCGGTGTCTAGATTAGTATAGCAGAAGATATTTTTAATGTTATATTACTATATATATAGGCCTTTATTAACAGCTATTAATAATAGTATATACTATAATTCTGTTCAGTATATTGTTAAAAAGGTTTCTAGGAAATCTATTCCTAATCTTTAATTAAAACCTTATATAACCTATCTAGCTTTATATCTAATAGTATTATTAGCTGTTTGGCTTATAGTAGGTTTTATCTTAAAAACCTATCAGCTATTTATAGGGGTTATATTATTAGGTATATTAATAATATTCTAAATCTTTTGGCTGGTTTAAGCATTATTTTTAGCTATATAAGCTTTATACTAGTATAGGCTATCAGGGTCTTCTAGGGCCTATTTTAGAGTATAAGGTTCCTTTATAGTAGTTATAGTTAAAGTAAAGTTTAATATACTGTGATCCCTAAAGTACTATTACAGTATATTATATCTACTGTAGATAGCTTTTCTTATATATATAATCTTCTATATACTAGATACTACTTAATATATATAACTTTACTCTAGAATCTTATATAGTAGTATATCTAAAACTAAATAGGCCTTTTATAGCTATTTATAAGAAGACTTATCTCTGAGAAAGAGTACTCTTCTGATTAAAATTATCCTAAAAATAATAATAAGATTAAACAGAGTATACAGATAACTATTATTATACTGTTAGAATTCTCCTTATAAAGCTATAAAACCTCTAAATTAAAACTATTTAAGTTTATTTAGATAGGAGATATAGAAAACCCCTAGTTCTTAGGAAAATTATATAATTCTGGTACTAGAAGAGAGCTATATTATATTAGGCTATATAATTTTAAGAAGCTAAGAGAGGATCTATATAATTAATAACAGATAGGTAGAGATTAGTTATTATTACTAACCCTAATTATCTAAGTTATCCTAAGAAAAGTATCCTTCTAATAGAGAATACTCTAGATATAGTCTAAAGTACAGAAGTAAAAGAAAATAAAAAGAAAAAGTATAAATAATAAACAGATTAGACTAAAACTATCTAAAATTATATACTACTTTCTCTCTAAGAAACTACCTTAATATCTAAAAATATAAACTAATATCCCTATCCTCTGTCTGCTCTTTTCTAGTATAGAGTAAATCTTATCAACCCTGCTAATATAAATAAATAATAACTATTAGAGTCTTCTTAATAAACTAGATATATAAGGGTATCTCTAGATATTAAGAGAATATAAACAGATATATTAAAAAGAGATTAAATAAGCTTAAGTAAAAGCTACTATTACTGCTGCTAGAGAAGCTATATAATCTATTTTAGTTACTATCCCTTCTATTATACTAGCTAGTATTCTAACTTCTATTTAATTAGAAATAGATAATTAAGTTTAAGTATACTGAGAAGTAAAGAAAGCTTTACTAAAATAAGTTAAGGAAATCTAGGATTATTATAGAATAGTTTAGTATAATACTACTAAGAAGTTTCTTTTTAATTATAAATACTTTTTTATAGAAATAGTCTGTTCTACTAGTATTAAACTTAATAATAATAATAAGGTTATATATATATATAGAGCTCTAGTAAAAAAAGTAAATAAATAATAGAAGATATACTGCTGTTAATATATATTATTATTCTAAGATAAAATTAGAATATAGTCCTAGTTTAAAGTATAGATTCTATAAGTATTTAGTAAATACCTTAGAAAGACACAGAAATAGAAACACTTTATAATTATATATTAGAGAGATTATTAGTTATTTAATAAATATACTATAAATAAGAGTACTGCTATAGTAAGCTATAAAGATATATAGATTTATAAGGATATTCTAATCTAGTTTATTATTATTAGTATAAAGCTATATCTCTTGTAAGAATAGAAAATAGACTATAAGTAACTAAAAGCTCTTAGGGATATTATTAACCAGTTTATTATATATAAATAAGATAATATATATAGTACCTATATTAAAGGTACTATATAGAACTAAGGAGATCTAATAGATCTAAGTAAAATACTAACTATCTCTAGCTATTTATAAAACTACTATCTAAAAAAGACTCTAAGAAATATCTGTTTTAGCTACAGATAATTAGAATACTTTAAAAGAGACTATCTATAAGCTAAACTAGCAAAAAACTAGATTAGACTAGTAATATTAAAGTATTTATTAGTTAAATAAAGAAGGCTTTAATAGTTTAACTATCTAATAATTCTCTAGATCTATTAGTGTTTATATTAAAGTAATTAGATACTAATATAAAAGGATTAGTTATCTCTATATAGTTACTTATAATAGGAGATTCTTTACTCTTCTATAGGGTAGTACTAGGTAAGTATAGTATAGGTATATATATTAAGGCTTACTTAATTATAGGGTATTATATATTTATCTTATATAAGACCCTATAGAATAGTCTAAATCTAGACTTAGCTAAGAGAAATAGTTAAGAGCTATATATAAAGATATCTAATAGTAGCTAATTAGTTATAGATATATCTATCTAGATTCTACTTACTCTAGATTTCTAGTATAGTATAGTTACTATATAGATACTAGATCTACTAGACTATAAGTTTATTTTAGGAAGAGACTTTCTATACTTAGTAAACCCTTTAATTAACTAGGTAAGCTTACAGATAAAGATATATAACTATTAAGAAACCTATATAATTAAATTAGTTAGATCTAGAATTATCCTATTATATAATAATACCTACTTTAATCTTCTGTTAGTAAAGTAAGCTAATAGAGCTATATATAAGAGAGATACTAAGGCTATATTATTTATTTTATAGCTATAAGATAAACTAACTAAAGCTAAATAGACTAAGTATATTTAGATCTATTATAATCTAAAGGTTATAGAGGTCTTACAGATTACTCTAAAGTCTTTTAAGATATACTTCTAGATAAGCTTCTGCTAGAATATATAATATCTTATACTATTTATACTAATAATACTAAGCTAATTAATATTAATAGTTATCTACTATTAGATAAGAAGCTCTAAGAGCAGATATATTAGATTAAGGACCTACTAAAGAAAGGATTAATCTAACTCTCTATAAGTATATATAGAGTTTCTTAGTTATCTTATAGAGAAACTAAACAGTATCTAGTAAATATATATTAACTATTAAGCTTTAAATAATCTAATAGCTAAAAATAGTTATCTATTACTATAAATCTAGGATCTCTTAGACTATATTAGAACAGTAAAGTTCCTAACCTAGATTAATCTTATAGCTAGATATTAGCAGATTTAAATAGATTAGAACTTAGTTAAAAAGATAGCTTTTAATATAATATAGGGAAAATATAAGTAGCTTACTATACTCTTTAGCTGTCACGGGATTCTGAGTATACAATACCTCCGACACTCAACGCCGATCCGAAGCCAAATCCCCTCTGAGTTACCTGCATATCGAGGCCCACCCGAACCCTAATATATTTAAGATCCTATAA